GTGCAGCTGCATAGCCAACAGGAACAGCATCTCCATTGACTGGTCGTGCAGCTGCATAGCCAACAGGAACAGCATCTCCATTGACTGGTCGTGCAGCTGCATAGCCAACAGGAACAAGTTTTCCCTTGACTGGCGGTGCAGCTGCACGGCCACCAGGAGCAGGATTTCCATTGACTGGCGGCGCAGCTGCATATCCGTTCACAACCCACTCATGTAACCCCTTGGCTCTGGCGGCTTTGACAGCAGCCTGTTTTGCAGCATTGCTCGGACGGCCTCGTTTGCCCGCAGAAGGTTTGTTGACACGGCCCGTGGCACCGCCTTGCGATGTTGCGGTTGAGGGTTCATTGGCGTTTTGTTCCGTCGACACGGCCGCATTGCGTGGTTCGGGAAAGATATTGACAGGACCGCCTGGGGGTGCCGGATTGTTTCGTGGGGCAAAGATATTGACATGACCGCCTCCCGGTGGCAGATCACTGATGTCGACGAACCCATAGCTGGGGATGGGAGGATAGATTTGCGCAGATGGATTTGCAGGATCGAAGACACGAATAGGGCCCGGGCCTGCCATCTGAGCTGATGGATTTGCAGGGCCAGAGTTACCAGCAGGGCGAGCAGATGCCATTTGAGCTGATGGATGTGCGGAACCAGAGAAAGCAACAGGACCTGCGGGCGCTGCAATTGCAGAAGGACCAACAAGTCTCTGAATCAAAAGACCCGCCAGTTGTCCAGGGTCAGTCAAGGTGATTCTGTCTGGGCCGTAATATTTGCGGTAGAGCTCAGTTTCACGAAGAGCGCCGCAGATGTCTTCGTCCATGGTCGACAGGGCGACTCGTGCCATCCAGTCAACGCATTCTATCTCCTTATTCAACAACTCTAAGCCTTGCAGTCCTTGCAGTTCCTGCAGAAATGGGGCTCCATTGGTTGCGGCATCCATTTCAAGGACATACTTAAGACGACTTTCTGGAGTGTCGATGTCGTACTGTTGTCGTTCTTGTTCTTGAAGGTCAAGCACATAAGCATATGGAGGAAGAGCAGGATCCATCTCCAGATTGATTGGTGGGAGCTCTTGGTCAAGCACATAGCCATATCCTGAAAGAGAGGGATCATTCGCGGCATTGCCTGGTGTGTCGCCGGTCTGAGAGATGTTAGTGAGCTACTACTCAAAACAGGTCTACACCTTGGAGCAGTTTCATACCATGTTATTGTTCGCGCCGACATTGCCTGGCATGGGGCGGATGTTCCGATACATCCTGCTATTGGTTCTCATCCTGCTCGGATGGCCTGAGCCAAAATGGACAGACGTACTTGGTCTGTTGTGGTTGTGGTCAGTTTTCACTCCTTTTGACAGACTGCGGACCGCGGCGAAAGGGAATAGGGGGATTCAGCCTTACCGACAGTGGTGAGAGCAATGGCGATTCTATCAGAGATGCCCATGCGAAGCGTACACAAAGGCGCGGTAGGTTGAAGGTTTGGGTGTCCGAAGAGTGTTTTGGTTAGAGGACGCGAAAGGCCACGGATCTGTGAAGAGGTGCAGCTTTGTTGTGGTGGCCGTCTTCACCGTTGCGATACGCGCTAGTGGTTATGTTGAGGCAGTTGTCGTGTTGTGATTGCGGTGCCCTCCAGGGTGTAGGTGCCATTGTTGTTGGGTGATTTTCACGATGCGACAGACTTGCATTTCTTCTTGTCCAGATGAGCGATCCTGAACAAGGCTGAGCTATAAGGGGCAACATCAATGAGTACGACCAGTCATCAACCACAAAAGGCATATTCCCAGACAAGCTTTGAGGGACTTAGCATGGAGGTAGGTCATTCAGCATCCAAAGTCGTTGACTGTCCAGTTGGCACTCTCTTTTCTGGAGGCATCCCATCGGCGAACAAGGGACTATGCCGCCCAAGTCTCGCACAGCCCTCCTAACCAGCATTCGGAAAAGACGACAAAAGAGGCTCGAGAAGGTATTACAAGACCAGGCCAAGCCTCTCAGCCTCGTCAACTGAGCCCACAGCCTCCCATGCCTCAGGAAGGCTGGTCCGTGCTTCCACGACGCTTCTGCTGTGAAGGACATACGTGGAATGACCCATAACGGACCAGTCCAGCTCTCGGAAGGGATCTCTCAGAGCTATGACGACAATGATATTCCACACTGTTTGGTTATCCATGATCGTCGACTATTCATCCTTACAGCAGATTGCTCAAATTTGGCATATTCTATTCCCATGGGTAGCCGAACTAGACTCAGCTTTATGGAAGATATCCCTGGACAACCGAGATCAAAGGACCTCAACAATGGACATCGGTAACGCTATGGTCTCGATCAGTCAACCAAACCAACAGTGTCCCCAGCAGCACAGGACAATCTCACGAACTTTGTCTGCCACAGATCGACTCGACAAGATCATCTGGTACTCCGCCGTCCCGAATACCTACAGTTCCCAGGCCAGGCCCTAGGATTTTGGTATAATACAACGTCAGCATCTCTCCCGTCTCGGTTCCGGCCGTGGCCCAACTCAACTCGCTGTTGAGGCTTCGTTGGCGTTTCGTTCGGTCAACACGGCCGTCTCGGTTCCCATCCGACCCGGAGACAGAAGGAAGAGGTCAGATGGCTACTTTGGGAGATACAATATCCTACGACTACTTATAGTCTACGAGTTGGCACTGGGCATGTCAGTGTCACTCTTGAGTCTTGCCTGAGTTTGTCGCAGTGAGGAGCCGTGACGGGAACCGCTTGGTGATCAGTGAGCTGATGAGGCTGATACTCGTGGAACGTGATGACAAGGCTGAGTGAATAAGGGGCATGGGTCACCTATTGTTCTGTACGTCCCCTTTTTGGTTTGATGAACTACCTTACTCGCCTACAAACTCGTGATGACTCGTGATCATGCCGCCTTTCCCACCTACTGACTTGTGAGGGAGTGCGAAACACTCTGCTAATTGCGAGAATCACATTTCCTGTATCACTTATTCGACAGTCTGCTTAGCTAGTGACTATGTGAGGAGGGGAGATGAGAACGGTCAACATGGCAGTCACCACGGCCCTTCTAATTTATACGGCTCTAGGCGACAGGATAGGATAGAACCACCAAGTCAGGTGAGGTCGGAGCGGGGAATAGGATGAGTCGTGTGGTGAGACCGGTTGGCAGTTCCAGTTCATAAGAAATTCAAGCCTGGCTGGACAAGTACTTCCAAAGTCGAATCCTGGAAAAACGAGAGCCGATCTTCAGCCTCTCTCTCTGACCGGATACCAAATAACGTGCTGGTGGTAGGTACCAGGTAGATTATGAGAAAGTCATGGCTGGCTGGCTAGGGAAGTATTAATACCAAACTTGAATACTGAAAAAGCGAAGTGGCAGGCAGCCTTGCGATGCATCTCTCTCATCGAAGTGCTGACTAAGGCAGGTCCCAGTCTCAGATGAGACTTCATACGAACATCTGCCCTTCGAGAATGGTACAAGAGCCGGGATCAGCTCTGAGCAAATCTATCGTGACTCAAAGTGCGGGTAAGGTATATAATCAAGGCACTATACATCAATCGACTTGAAAGTATTTGTTGTTTCACACTGGACCTTGTCTCAAATATACGTGTAAGGGTAAGTACTATTCCAAGGCTTTTCACTGGCAGTTGGTTGCATTATGTTCAATTTTCAAATGTGTCCATTACCTTCGCCAATGCTACATACGCCAGTTCCAGTTCTGTCTCTCTGGAGACCAATACATTTCCAAGTCAGCAGGCATTATCAAGCCCGTGCATGAAATCCTGCCGGTCAGATTCCCAAGAGCTAGCCAATACCAACTTGAACCACTTGCCGTTGTTGTCATTGTCCTTGATGTTGGCACCTTCATTCTCCTCATCCTCCACTCAGTCTAGGATTAGACCAGTGTCTGTCATCTCTTGGAAGAGTGCATCAAAATCCGCACCTGCCAGAGCCATATTCTCATCCACCATGCCCATGTCTGAATCACCAGTCTCTGATGGTCTGTCCTCCTCTCTCGAGTGAGGCAAGTCACCACCGTTCTTGTGCATGTTCCAGTTCATGATAGGCAAGATCCACTCCAGTCCTTCGCCATCCATGGTCTCAAAGAGTATGTTCCAAATATCATCCAACCTGTCGCATATAGAGTAACCCTCGAAACCGTCTCCTATTTCGCGACTGATCTCCGCGATTGTAACGGGATCAGGATCAATGGAAAGTTCTGCTGGATCAAGGGCAACCATAGCTTTCTGATAGTTTTTGTAATCAAAGAACAATGGAGGTTCGATGTCGGGCTCGTTTGCTTCGCCTTTTGGTGTTGGATGTGTGACTGTTGCGGCACTGGCGCAGATGCTTCTCTGAGGCTGGATCTGACTCTGACTCTGGAACTGATCAAACCCCGTGTCGTCGGATATCATGGAGAACTGTCTCTTGAGGACGCCGGCTTGTCTGGTGTGTAGTGGTCGAGGCATTTTGATATCCTTGCCTTCCGCGGTGTATTCTTTTTTGATTTTCAGATTCAGGTATGGATACTGACCATGTCTGCGAGTTGACTGCGGCGTCGGAGTAGGGACGTGTCTGGATTTGCACTGAGGCCCTTGTTGGCATCGACGTGGAGTTTGTCTGATCATTGTGACAATGATAACTTGAGGGTGAGAAGATCGACCGGTGATTTCGGAAGAGGCAATGGCTTTTGTGATCTGGTGTTGTGTATAGTCCAACTGCTCGTTCAACACGTTGACTGCCGCCAGTGCTAGAGAGAAAATGAAAGGAATGGATAGAGCCAGAAAGGACAGATATATACATGATAGATAGTCATCTGCGCCGACTTGTAGTGAAGTAGGACCGTGACTGTCACGGTGACTTGTTAGCCAGTCACTCAGGCAGTGGCGACCCAAGCAACACGCGCAAGTGAAGCGCTGCGACTAATCAACACGAGGAAGTGAAGGACTGGCAGTGACTGAGACGGGAAGTGAGGGTGAGAGTGAGAGCGCAAGAACAGGAGTCTGAGACAACAAAAAACATGCGACAACCTGAAGCTTGAAAATTATTTGCAATGTGAGTGAGTCTTGTGACAGTGCTATTGAACGCTGTCAATTCACCCAGCAGCATGTTTGGATATGATGTTCTCTGCTCTTCTCCTAGAACAGCGCATGACACAGCAAACAACCCCATAATGTGTGATCCCATTCACTTAGCAAGCACTCTTTGTTTCCCAGCAACTCAACTCTCTGACTCTCCTGTTCTGTTTCACAGACAACTGATGGAGGGCGGCCTCTTGACGAGAGCATCATGGCTCTGACACATCAATCCGTGCACCCGACCATCATCTGATTCCATTCAGCGTCTTTCAACCTGGTACCGAAGAAACTCCCACTGTCGGTCAAAGTCCTCCCAGTCCTCCAAGATGGCTTTGCAACCGACCATGGCGAGCTTGGCGATTGCCTCATGTCTCTCCGCACCAGGCTCGTATGAGCCGACATAGCCCATGACAGGAATCCCCGCGTTAATTGCAGCTATCGCACCAGCAGTGGTATCCTCGATGGCCACGCACTCCTTCGGCTTTACGCCGTACTCCTTCAGAATATGACGGTAAACCAAGGATTCTGGGCGGTTTACTGGTCGAGAGTGTGGTAGATCCAGTCCGATGAAGATACGGTCACGGCTAAAAAACCGATTCAATCCACTTGCGCCAAGGGAAGTCATGACACGGTTCTCGCTCGAAGTATTGGAGACGACGGCCAGATTGTACTTGTTCTCGTCGACCAGTTTGGCCAAGACCTGCACCACCCCATCACATGGCGATGCGTGCTGAGCGAGTTGGTTGCACACATACTGGTCCACCCGATCAATGTATCGGTCGCGGATCTTCCAGTACAATCTGAAATGGTGCCGGCGTTGGAGTGCCCCTATGATGCCGTACAGGGTCCAGTCGGTGAAGTCGGGGAATACGGCCTTGAGGATGGCTGGTGTATAGACCTGGTTGATACCTATGCCCTGCAAGATTGTGCAGAGGATTCTGGCGGTGTATTCAAGGGCAACGTCCTTGGTCTTGACAAGGGTATTGTCGCAGTCGAACAGGATGTATTTGATCTGTGAATCATGTCTCGTTAGTGTCACTTGCAAACCGATCTAGGGGCAGTTGAACTCACCGTCATTTTGGCCTGACTTAGATCGGTCGCGGTTATGGTCCTACGCGACTGCTGAAGCCTGAGATGATGTTTCGCAGCTGATGCTGATGAGTAGGACCGTTGCCTTGGCAATGAGGTGTCTGAGGTAGAGGAAAAGAAGACAACTTTGCTGGACCTTGGATGTGTGGAGGTGTGTTGGAAAGGGAGAAAGGGAAGGAGAGCGAGTCTGGGAGTGGTTGAGGACAGAAGCTTTATACGACGGTGAATGTAGCCTTCACGTGAAGGCCTTCACTTGAAGGTCGCCAAGAGATAATTCAAACAAATCACGTTGACTTTGGCGACAGTGTCCATCATCACGAAAGGGAGGTGTGCAACTTCTGTTGAATATCACGTGTGGAAGCTCATAGAATGGGCACAGTGTCTGTCTTGACCTAGCAGACCTGGGCAGAAAGCCCTCCAGGCGGTTGGCAAAACTGAAGATTTGTCCTCCGACCGAATTGAATGCTGGAAGAGCGAGGGAACCGTGGCCAAGTAGACAGACAAGGGCCGAGAGGCTCCAGTCGACAGCCTTTCCTATTATTCTTTGTATATTTTGTCATGGTCCGTGTGCAAGACGACAAGCCGCCCAAGGTAAAATCAGCCTGAGTTGGGACGAAAGTGCCGTTGTTTCATGGATACATCAGGACATCCTCGACCTTGCCAACCTCTTGCGGCAGAGGTATTTTCTCAGTAAACGGCTCTTTCGTCTCAACAAGCTTTTCCAAGAGATTGAGGACTATGTCATCGTCGGGAGCTGTTGCACGCTGTGCTTTCCAGTCTCGGTAGATTTTCCACCACCACTGATGGGTTTCGCCATCTCTTCCCAGATGCCCACCAATCCCTCCCGGGCCGAGTTGTCGCTCCCACGGCTTGTCCACAATGTAGTGGAGGACCACCAGCTTTTCGTCCGACCAGATGCGAGGGTGCCAATACCTCATAGTCTTCAAGGCGTTGTATTTCCAAGAGAGAGGCAACCATTTATCGCGGAAAAAATCAGCAAGGAAGTCTTGGTCGGGGAACTGGTAGGTTTTCAGCCGGTCAGACGTGTTGAAGTAGTGAAGCATTCTGGCCCAGAGTTCTCCACTTGGATTGAACAGAAGCATTCCGCCATTGAGTAGACGATAGGTGGGTCTCGATGCAGGAGTTATTTCCGCTGCCACTTCGTCTGGAGAGGTCAGAGGAGTGTAGGCACAGTTTCCTTTGACCCAGTCGGACGGAGCCCAGGAATCATGGTCGAGGTTACACACGCAAGCATGATTGGCACCCAGCCAGTCGCTGCCGGGGAGCTTGCAGTCAAATATTTCGTCGGGATTTCGAAAAACCGCCATGTCCGCGTCGAGGAAGACAGCTCTGGAATATCCCAGCTTATAGACCTCAAAAGCGCGAAGCTTTGTAAACGTGTCTTTGAAGCGCTGGGCAACACTGCCTGTGTTCTCTTGATCTTTCCTCGGCAGCAGAAGTTCGACCTGTTGGAGATGGATGCGGCCATAGTTTCGACCTTCTGCCTCGAGAGCATGGACTGCCTCATTGCCTAGCGTAGACGTGTACTGAATGAGGAACGGATATTTGGACCTGTGCCTATCCAGAGTATAGGCCAGAATGATCACACCAGGCACGTAGGATGGATGCGTGACCAAGGTCACCCAGCAAAACTTTTCAGAAGAGCTGACAGCCGTTGCCATCTTTGCCGACAGACCTTCAGGATGTTTATTGTCAAGACAGAATGGTAAATCAGTTAGATGCAATCAACAACCCTCCCCTCCGCCTCCTTCAGTAATCGTGCAGTATTTGCTGAACCCCATGTTCAAGTTTGCGGTTATACCACTAACTGCAAGTCATGGCGTCATGGTCAAGCTGACAACTTGAAGGCGCCGGACTGGGACCAATGCTACATATAACAGGCACAGTACTTCAGCTTCCATCCATTGTGATTGTGGCCCTCAACAAGGCAGCCAGGGTGTTCACTTTGCAGAGGCGAGTGCTCCAGCTATGGACAACGAACTGATACCGATTGATGGCATTCTTCAGCCTGGCCGTGATACAAAGACGAGGTGAAGCCATGACCAATCAGAGACGTCCACACGTTTAACGCTGAATGCCATGTGATTGGCGGTGCAAACCCGTTTCTCGGCCGACGCCGGCCCGGGGCGCCAGTGTTGACACCATCCTTAAAGTCATCATCATTGGCCATCAATACACTAAATTGTCTAGCGCGTCACTCGAAGAAGGTCTGCCGGCTGCGCTTGTTGCCCCCAACTTCAAGGGCGGCCATCTGCGCACACTCCCACCACGGCCGCAGATGGAATGTAATTGTTATCTCACACATAGGCCTCCTCCGGCTTTCCCCCTTTAGACGACACTCGGGCCTCTACCTAGGTATCCTACACCACCTGTCAGCCCTGCTTGGCTGGGTCTTTTTGGAAACCCGACTGTATCCACCATTTGGGCTATTCAATATCGATACAAAGTAGTCTTGTTTACCAGGCTTCTCTCTCCACATCATCCACCCACGGCAAGGTTGTATCGGACATGCAGCCATGGTACTGTTGGAGAAGCAATGGGTGAATGTCCAAGAGAAAACCTTTACCAAGTGGTAGGAAACCGCAGTAACCGTTACATGTTGCGTCCACAGGCTCACGATGACACAGGTTGAACAATAAGATAGCCCCCCGCGAAGTCTCCGTCAAATCCCTTGTAACCGACCTTTCCGACGGAATCATACTCATCCACCTGCTTGAAGTCCTCAGCAATGAATCGCTGGGCAGATATGCCTCCAACCCGAGGCTGCGGGTGCAGAAGTTCGAGAATGTCAACAAGTCGCTGGAGTTCATCAAAAACCGGGGTATTCAGATGACCAACATTGGCGCCGAGGATGTAGTCGATGGGAACAGAAAGATCATCCTGGGGCTAATATGGACCCTTATCCTGCGGTTCACCATTTCCGACATCAACGAAGAGGGCATGACGGCAAAAGAGGGTCTGCTCTTATGGTGCCAGCGAAAGACAGCCTGTTATGAAGGCGTCGAGGTGCGGGACTTTTCCACTTCTTGGAACGATGGCCTGGCATTCTGTGCCCTCCTCGACATTCATAGGCCGGATCTTATCGATTTCGACACCTTGGATAAATCGGACCACAGAGGCAATATGAAATTAGCCTTCGACATTGCCAGCAAAGAGATTGGGATACCAGACTTGCTCGATGTTGAAGATGTTGCGGACGTGCCTCGACCAGACGAAAGGTCACTGATGACATACATCGCCTACTGGTTCCACGCATTTAGTGCAATGGAGAGGGTGGAGAATGCCGGACGGCGAGTGGAAAAGTTTGTCAGCAACATGCAAGGTGCATGGGAGATGGAGACGGCGTATGAGAAACGCATGCGCGCCCTGCTGCAACAGATCAGGCAACAGCGACAAGCCTGGCACAACTCTAGGTTCGAAGGGACGTACGCCGACGCAAAGGCACAAGCCAACGAATTGGCCAGCTACAAGCGGAATCAGAAGAGGAAGTGGGTGGCAGAGAAATCAGACCTCGCCGCCCTTCTTGGTAACATCAAAACCAAACTCTCAACCTACCGTCTGCGACCATATGAACCGCCGGCTGAACTTCGACTCGAGGTGCTCGATCATGAATGGGCGGCACTGAGTACCGACGAACATGCACGTAGCAAACTCATCAATGAAACCATCCGAGACATCAAGAATGCGCTGAGGCGGAGTTTTGCGGACAAAGCCAACGACTTTGCCCTCACTCTCAACACGCTTTCGTTGGCTGTGTCCGGTCTGGAAGGCGACGTGGAAGACCAACTGCAGCATGCGCAGAGACTATCGGCCAACTTGGCGCCTCTGGAACAGTATCTGGAAGGAATAGCCATCCTCGACGAGAAGTGCCAGGAGGCAAACATTGACGAAAACGACTTCACCACCTACACTTATGATGAATTAATGTACGAGTTGAGCTTGGTCAAGGCCAGCGTGCAGAAAAAGTTGACCTTCTTGGAAAATCAGATGGTGGCCAGAAATATGACTAATCTGACCCCAATTCAGCTTGAGGAATTTGAGTCCGTCTTCCGACACTTCGACCGGGATGGGACAAATACTCTCCACGAATTAGAATTCAGTGCGGCGTTGGCTAGTCTGGGGTTGGTATACGACGAACAGGAGATGCATGAGAAGTATTTGGAAGTCTGTCATAGTGGGATAGATCCCTCCATGTCACCTGTCTCTCGCCGACAGCGGGAAAGTCGAGGGGTGGGCTTTGAGCAATTCATTCGCTTCATGGTGTCTGTTACGGAAGACCAGAATAGCGCCGAACAGGTCTTCCAGTCATTCAGGGAGGTTGCTGATGGGAAGCCTTATGTGACCGAAATGGATCTGCGACACTCACTCATCCCCGACGATCTGATCGAAGACTTGTTGCACAGCATGCCCGAACACAATGGCCCAGACCTTGAAGTGGACCGTGGTGTGCCAAAGTACGATTATATTTCCTTTATGCAGGCCATGATTGGGGATGATCACGACGGGTCGAGCGAGGGCAGTAACGACAGAGCTCGGGAAAATGGTGCAAAGACCCCTACGACGCCCAGGCGGTAGGTACAGAACGTTTTCTTTGTGCCATTTCCCACTTTTGGAACAGCGTTTGGATTTGTACATTTTGCACTGAAGCGGGAGTTGGATTGATTGAATGGGTAGATTGGGGGAATGGTTGGTCTACATGGACACCGCGTCCTCCTTGTCCAGGTGGACTGCCATTGAAAAGAAGATAGCCAAGAGGTTAATATACATACATTCTTCGCCATTTACAGCAGCACGCAACAACTCCCACACTGCACCGTACTCCCTGGACTTCATGGTACTGGTACCGGTATGGAACGGGAGCCTTACCCCTGACGCGCTGACATAAGCCTCGCTAATCTCCACAATCCACACACTCCACGATTGCCGACCCCAGATGGCACCAAATGTCAACCGAGGCTAGGCTCGCGCACCATCATACATTGTCCTCGGTCCCAGGAGCAGCTAGCCTGTGGTACTGTGCCTTCTCCTCTTCAGCGGTGTGGCGTACGGCAGAAGCCAATGCATTGTACCTCCAAGTACATAATGGCCCCCCTTGCAAACATGCATTCGCATCCGCCAGTAGTAGGGAAGGGGGCCCGGGCAGCACAGTACAATCAGCCTCGACTTCCTCCTGACAAGAAAGTTTATCTATCGTTGCATCCAGATGCTCCAATAGCTGCATGTCGCAATGGCTCGAAAGACAGTGTACCTTCCCACGAAGGACTATGAACTTCCGGATATCGATCTACTGACATTGATCTACGGTGAGTGAAAGGAAAAAAGAGAGAAGGTGGCCCGCCCATGCAAGCCAAATGCAGTATCCTAACCCTACGAGAAAAGAACAAAATATTTGATCACAGTTTTCTAACCAGTCTAATGTCTCTCTGTGTTCCGAATAGAATCGCCGGAATCATGGGCCACTGAATCGACGGTCGTACATGCCGAAGCGGCTCTACCGTCCAACTGTATCACCAAAGCCCAGGCGCGCGAATATACCAGGAGAATTGCCTATCACTTGCGACACACGTACGGCGTAGGCGCAGAAGGACCCGGTAAAGACGTGGTCGTCTCGATTTCGTCAGGCCAGATCCTCCTGCCCACAGTTTTCTACGGTGTCATTGCAGCAGGGGGCGTGTATTCTGCGGCAAGCTCGAGCTTCACCCCGCTAGAACTAGCACGGCAGGTTAAACAAGGTAGGAGTCGGTTGATCATCGCCAGTCCCGACTGTCAGGATGTGGCCGTCAAGGCGGCCGAAGAGTGCGGTGTTCCCTTAGACAGGGTCCTTGTGCTGGACACCATGGGCGGCAACCGAAAGTTGCAGAATGTGGTCGGCACGGGGAAGAATCTGATCGAGGGCGAGGGCAGGCCTGATGAACGGCTGAATTGGGAAGTCATCACGGACAAGCACACGCTCGAGACCAGGGTCATCTGTCTTTTGTACAGCAGTGGCACGACTGGAGTACCCAAGGGTATGTACCAGCACGGCCCCCTTTTTTCTCACATGTGACACTGACCTGTGTTTACAGGAGTCAATCTATCGCACAAGAACCTCGTTTCGGAAGGATTGATCCCCCAATACCTGATGCGAGAGTACTTCAACCGCCAAAAACGTCGGGACCCCAACTTCAAATTCGAGTATCGAACCCTGGCACATTTACCCGCGGCCCACATAGCCGGATGTCAAGGATACTTTGTCAACCCGGGAATCGCGGGCGGGACAGTATATTGGATGCCCAAATTTGATTTTGCCAAGTTTATCGAGTACAACAAGAAGTTTGAGATTACTTTCTTCTTCACCGTGCCGCCCATTTATTTGGCCATAGCCAAGAGTCCGCTGGTCACCGACCAGTTCCGCACTTTGGTCCATGCCGTGACGGGCGCAGCGCCAATGGGGCCGGAGCTGACGGCGCTCGCGGAGCAGAAATTGGGCGCTCATATCTCGCAGACTTGGGGGCTCAGTGAGACTACGGGCAGTGTCACGGGAATGCCGTGGGACCAACATGATAGCACCGGTTCCGTTTCGCCTCTGCTGCCGAATGTGCGTATGCGCATCGTGGATGACGACGAAGTCGATGTTGAGGAAGGCGCAGAGGGTGAGTTCATTATGCAAGGGCCTATGGTCACGAAGGGGTACTGGGACAATGAGCAAGCTACTCGTGACGCTTTTACTAAGGATGGCCTGTGGTTTAAGACTGGAGATGTTGGATTGTTGAGGGATGGCAAGTTTTACGTGGTGGACCGGAAAAAGGTGAGACTGTCTACGAAGATGTGTTGCATTTCAATTCTGCGTTGGGGACCACACCTTTCCTTTTGTTGGATTTGACTAACCTTGGACGTTCCCTCTTGTCTATGTAGGAACTCATCAAGTACAAAGGTCTACAAGTCGCTCCAGCCGAGCTCGAGGCGTTGCTGGTGTCGCACAATCTAATTCTTGACGCCGCAGTCATTGGTGTCCCTGACCCATCTGGATCCGGCAACGAATTGCCCAGAGCCTACGTGGTGGCCGACCAGTCGAAAATCTCGGCTGACCAGATCAAAGCCTTTGTCAAGAACAATCTTGCCCAGCAAAAGCAATTGCGTGGCGGAGTCATCTTTCTGGATGCCATTCCGAAGTCCCCGTCCGGTAAGATTCTTAGGAGGGTGCTGAGGGAAATGGCTAAGAAGGAGAGGAATGCGCAACACGGCGCTAAGCTGTGAATGATAATGCTCGTCCGAGTAATGGAACTCACAGGTCACATTTAGACGGGGTGTTTTGGACTTGCTGCGTCGGCATTGTTGGGGTAATAAGCTACAAATACATTGGATATCAACTGCATAAGGCAATCGAGATATGCGTGGCGTCTAGACTGGTATTACAGTACCGGGAGACACACACAATTGAGCTGCAAAGCATGTCGACCATTGCAGACAGATAGACTGAGACAAGAAATCTATATCTTCCACACCTTGACATCATGTGGGTTCTTAGAGATGGCATGGGCAACAATCCGGCTGACAGAGCCTTGTTGCTCGCGGCCATTCCGCCATTCTTTAGGTCCAGCAAGATATGCAATGAACCCCGGAGGACCCGAAATGAGAATTTGGCGTTGTTCCTGCGACGCAGCAGACCCAACGGAGAAGAGCTTGTCATCCAACCGTGAGAGGGCACGGAACACGGCGTCTTCGTCAATCCATGTATCTTCGGCGTTAACAAAGTACTCGACGGTGACTTGGCCAGGATATCTTTTCTGCAGGGTTTCCAACTCCTTAACCATAAGGCCTTGCTCTTGCGAGCCTGGAGGCGGCGGCGGAGGAGCCTTTTTCTTCGGTTTGGTCAAAAATCCAGACCAGGTCGGCTTGGGAGGCACAGCTTCTGCGGGCGGAGGGTCACTAACTCCACCCAAGCAGTCTTCCCGCAGTCTGTTCGCCCATAGGATATGTATTTTCTTTGATTTTTGGTGATCTTCATTCCCCGATGACGGTGTCTTGTTTCCTTCAAAGAGAGCGTATGCGGCCTGGAGAGCGGGAGCAATACCGGTTCCACCGGCAAGGAAGACAATCTGACGAGCATCGGGCGAAATCTCATATTCCATGTTTGGGCCTCTCATCTCAATTTCAGCACCAGGAGGCAGCCGGTGTAGGTAACTGGATACCTCGCCATGAGGGTCGTTCCTGATCAAAAACCTCAATTCTTGTCGTTGTGTGTTGCTATCGTCGGCTATGGGCGGGAGCGGTGTGTAGGCTCGCACAATTTGTAATTGTGGTTGCTTGAAGTGAACGTTCCATATCCCTCTTCTCCAGGCGTCGTTGTACCGCTCGAAATCTTCGTTGGCTCGCTTGGGTTTAAGGTGAAATATGCTGGCTGTCGACGAGACGCGGTCTTTTGACTCGAGTAGAAATGGGACGAAGGAGCTGTCCCCGGCGTACAAGTTATAGACCTGCCAGGCTGCTATGAGACCGACGCCGGAACAGAGGACGAAAATGAGCCTACGCGAGGCATATCTCGAAGTGGTACTAGGACCTTGCGCATCCGGAGACGGTTGCGATCCGCTCGACGTGGAAGAGTTCCAGCGAGTAGTACAGTGTCTTATACTAGTGGGAGCCCATCTTGGAGCATTCTGCAGGTTGCTCGATGCTCGAACCGAGCAGCGTGCAAACATGAAGCCCCTTCCACACACTTGACTTCGTCGGCGTGCAGCAGTTGGTCACGATTGAAATCCAGACTCGGAGACTCGATTGTGGTTTACAGACTCCGACAAAATAACATGCCGCTTTCCGGCAAGGCTGGCAATTAGCCAATTAGACACGTTCAGATAAGCTATGTACTAGTGCAGCAATTCCCCGTGAATTAGCAGCCGCTAGTAACTTGGCAGCCTTTATACGGGGCAGCGTTCTATGCAAGTGAGATGATGGCCAGCGTCCCCTGTTTGTCCGCATGCAGTGCATCTGGCCATCCCCCGACCCAACTTTATCACCACACATACCTTGGAGCCGGTTGAGTTGGTTAGGATGCTACAAAAGTAACTGAGAATGCCATCCACATCGATACAAACACAGAACCAACAATGACGGTCACACGCTGATTGCCTCACAAGTCCTCCTCACATCCTGACCAGCGATGCCACCTCCGCCTGGCTTCTCCGTGATTCAGAAGTCTTCTCAACCGTCAGGACGGGACTCTCTTGAACTTGCCTCCCTGGCTGACTCTGATGCTGACGAGCTCCCTACTTCGGAGTCTTCACGTTCTGGCACCTCGTCGTCACGCCGACTCTCCCTAGAAAACGACGACCCCTTAGACAGCGCGAATCCAGCGGCAACGGCAACTGCATCAGCACGCGACCGCATCCATGGACGATCGTACTCAGTCTCCTCGGCCTTTGACTTCACCCCGGCCCTCTTCCCACTCTCCTCGACCGGGGGGGGCTACACCGCGCTAGGGAATCCGTCCAATGTCTCCCTTTCTCTGGACAGACGGGCGGCGGCGCTGCAGAGTCTGGAGAAGAACAAAACGTTGACATATCTGAACGGATTGTCGTTGGTGGTCGGATTGGTAATTGGGTCTGGAATATTCTCGTCTCCAGCACAGGTGAACTCTCATGCAGGATCGCCTGGGGCATCTTTGATTGTGTGGACGATATCCGGACTATTGGCGTGGACGGGGGCAGCATCGTATGCGGAACTAGGGGGGGCGATCCCACTGAACGGAGGGGCGCAGGTGTATTTGGCCAAAATTTTCGGCGAAATCGCCGGCTTCCTTTTCACCTGGTGTGCGATTCTGGTACTGAAGCCCGGCTCGGCAGCCATCATCGCCATCATTTTCGGAGAGTACATTGTGCGCGCCGCCATCGGCGCCGAGGTCGAAGACGTCAACCCGTGGATCAACAAGGCTCCTGCCCTGATTGCTTTGATGCTGGTGACGCTGTTCAACTGCGTGTCGACGCGGTTCGCCGCCCGGTTGGGGGATCTTTTCATGTTTTTCAAATTCATCGCCCTCCTGGCCGTCACGGTCATCGGCATCATCGTGGCGGTCACGGGCCTCTCGACCAACGGGCCGGCCAACAAGGATTGGAAGAACCACAACTGGTTCGAAGGCACGTCGAACGACATTTCCGATTGGGCTGTTGCGCTGTATGCTGGTCTCTGGGCCTACGACGGCTGGGATAACACCAACTATGTGACTGGAGAATTCAAGAATCCCAGCCGCGACCTGCCGCGGGTGATCCACACGTCCATGCCTGCCGTCATTGCATGTTATATCCTTGCCAACATTTCGTACATCTTCGTCCTTCCGCAGGAGACCATCGACAAATCAAACACCGTGGCTGTACAATTCGGCAGCAAAGTCTTTGGTCCAATCGGAGGGCTCATTCTGGCCTTGATAGTGTCGGCGTCCTGCTTTGGCGCCTTGAATGCCACGACGTTTACGTCCGGGCGTCTGGTCTACGTCGCCGGCCGCGAGGGCTATATCCCATCTGTGTTCGGCAAGATCGGGTTCGGCTACGGGGTGGAGGGACAGCAGATCCCAACAATGAACAAACTGCGCAAGCGGTCATGGCTGTCAAAGACATTGGGCAAGGTCTTTGGCGACGAATCCATCGGCCTGGGCTACACGCCCGTCAACGCCATGCTGCTCAACATGGTGCTCTGCATGGTCTACATCTGTCTAGGCGAGTTCAGGACCTTAATTACTTTCTATGGTGTCGCCGGCTACTCCTTTTATTTTTTGACCGTGTTGGGGCTCATCGTCCTGCGCATTCGTGAGCCTCACCTCGAACGTCCCTACCGCACTTGGATCAGCACCCCGATCATCTTTTGCTGCGTCAGTCTGTTCCTGGTCAGCCGCGCCGTCATCGCCCAACCTTTGCAGACCGTCATTGTCGTCGCTTTTCTTGCCAGCGGCGTGCCTGTCTATTTTTGGCGCGTCGCGGGGCGCGATGGGCCTTTACGTACAGGCAAGAGAGAATCAAGGTTCTGGAGGCGCTGGGGCAGGTCCTAATGAGTCTCATTCAGGTAGCAGCATTGGCGGTATTGCCACGAAAAGTTGAATACAGTTTTGGTGCATGATTCTTCTTGGAAGTTTTTCCAGTAACTCTACGAAGTAGGAGTATATACTGTACAGTACAAAACAAAATATTCCTCAATAACCACTATGACATGGTTAGGTCTTGACCTACGGTCATCGTGATCATGGCCTCTCATTGTCAGGCTACAGTATTTTGTCAAGATAGCTGGCACACTCAACCTGCCCACCAGCCTTTGCCATGACGACCGTCTTTGGCGCCTGGAGGCTTCCTTTTGCTTCTTGCGACTTTGTTTCTGTTAGTAGGGCCAACTGTAGTGTCTGACCTACTAGCACCGGCCCCATCACCTGCAGTCATCGTCTCCTTAGCATCATCAGAGACAACGGCGGCCGCGTCCAGTCTGGCGGCCCCACGAGCCTTGCGGTTTCGGCCGTCAGGGGTAATGACCTGAGTCCCGGTATTGGTATTCGCATCAGTCGGTCTTGGTGTTGTTGTCGAGGGGAGGCTGCGGTAAAAGGTTTGCACTTTATCATTGCGTGCGTCTCGTTTTGAAGCTTTTGAAGCTCCCGCCTCAGCCGACGGCTGTTCTGTTTCGCCGTTTGTCGAAGCTGATGATGATGGATAGTCAGACTTTGAAACTGATATCACGGACTTTGGAGACTCTGAGGTCATTCGTACGGTCGTCCTCTTATCCATTTTGCCGGTGTCCTCTGCGCCTCGTTCTTGGACCACAGACGGATTCTCCGCATTCAAGCTCCTTTGCGCTGTTTGACTCGCATCCAAAGTTTTATTGGTCGTGAGAGGAGGAACCGGTTTCGGCATCGGCACTTGCTCAGTGTGCGGCTTGGACGAAGGAGCCAGTAGAGCAGCCCATTCCGGAGGAGGAGATACTGGCTCCCGTCGCTTGAAGATATCCAGAGTCAAGCGATCTCCATCATGCAAGGGCAGCTGAGCCTTGTCGGCAATTTGCAGAATAGTCGAGGCCGGCTGCTGAACACCAAAGAAAGATTTCATTTTGCCGGGATTCTGGGAAAATGCAGTAAACAGAAAGTATGCCCGAAGGCTCGACAAGACATCCGAAACAAGCGATGGTCTTACCCGCCTGGACGTCCGCTTCAGCTCGTTGAAGCACGGGGTAGTGTCAAACGCCTTTCGGGCCATGGCATGCGCGAGCTTTGCCATGTATTTGACACGCGAATATGTCAATGGCGGCGATCGTGCCAGAAGTAGCCGTTCTCGAGAACCTTTGTGTTCGAGGGATTTGTGAATAGTGACGGGGCCGAACGCAGCGGATGAGCGAATGAATCGTTCGCCTGCGGCCGCGGCACTGTGATTGTTCGTTGGCACCTTGGCACACGCGAGATGGTACAGCTGTAACACAGCATAGGCTCGAGAGGATAGATCTGAAGCTTGTGTCAGCGGTGACTTTCTTGAACTTGGGGAGGTGGTAAAGCTTACGTGTAAAGAAGGTTACGGGATCCTTGGTGCCCACGTTGGAAATGGCCGATGTTATATCGAGGTGTGGCAAAGGGCTGCCAAAGCTGGATGCCACCATTGACGAGATGATAGCAAAGTTCGGGTCGTCCAGATTTTCATGCGCATGTGTTTGTTCGGCCATGCCGTCCAAGGCATGACATTCAACCAGTTCAATGCCGAAGTGCTCTACTAGCATTTCTTGTTGGAGCTTGACGTTGACTCCGACTTTTAAAATAGCAGGATTTCCCAGGGTTTGTGTGAAGGGCCGTGTGAGAAGGAGAGTGGCAGGATTCATGACGCCTAGAGGGAAGATAGCCACCTCGTCATTGCTCGCGAGAACGAGGTATTCCAGGGGCGATGAGCCGGTGGGAAGACGTTTGCTATCCACACTAAGTACGGTGTCCACTCCAAGGACTCGACAATTCGAGAACCGTTCGAGGACGCTGGGGATATTTTCTGGGGTAGTAACGAAGTGGATTGGTATGGCGGCGTCTGGGCTCGGGTAGAGTTCTGCTTTAATCTGCCATGGAGGACTATGAGCAGTAACAGCTGGCAGACAATCCACACTTGGTCGAGGCAAATCCGAGGATGGAGTTTGAGGGTTGACGAACAGCATGAGGTCGCTCTTTTTTCGCGGTCGATGAACGATCCCGAGATACATATTGGCAGTGCCCCTCCAGAGCATCGCAATGTCGAGTAAGTTATAGAGTTCCCGCCGAGCAGCAAACAATTCGTCAGCCAATGTCTGAAGGGCCTTGGCCGTAGTCGTTGAAAGGCCAAGGAAGGTGGAAGTCCGGACCAGGTCCACCAGCTCAGCTGTTTCCGACATTCGACTGATAAAGATGGTGACCGGTCGGAAGTTTGACAGCTGTGCTTCTTGAAGAGCTATGTTTGCCTTCATTCCAATTGCCATGGGAGTACGGAAGTCGTCTTTGAAAATCTGGTGACCGTCTTGGGCAGCCGTTTGCAGCTTCAGCGGGAGGAACTGATGCTTGGGATGATGAACCGAATCAGAATCGTGCCGTCTCGCAAAGGGTGTAGACAGAGAAACCATCAGCCGGAGATTGTGATAATGCGCAGCAATCCTACTGGCGTTATTCACTGCCTGGATGGAAAGCAGGTATAGCCTTGTATGGCGCGCGTTGAAATCAAACACTTCAGGTAACCCCGAGTTCAATAGGTAGGATGTTCTTATCTTCCGGAGCACATGCAGTTCTTGCGATATCTCTTCCGAGCACTCAATGAGGTCCTGACGCAACCACAGGATACTGATCATCGCACGCTGAACACGGGGCGTTTTCGGTCCCCTGAAGAGATTCGGTATTGAAGTAGGACCCGAAATGTCCACGTGGGTCTTCCAGAGTCCACGTTCTCTCAAGTCCAGCGCAATAGCATGCAGCGTCGAGACCGGAAGCAGTATACCGGCGGCATCGGTCATCTTGTAACCGGTCTCTCGCAACACAGGATCCACGCTTCCGGCGTTTTTGATGAACTCAAACTGCCGTGCTGTTGACTTCGCCCGGGGCAGGAGGTTGCGTCTGAATTCTTGCATGCCACCAAGGAGCCGGGTCAGACTGTTCTCTACAGCAGATAATCTGGTGGCCACCTTGTTCAGCCTCCTCAAGATAGGGGCAGTGAGCTCCCGAACGTGGTTTGTCGTCCACCGTTCTAAGACTTCTTGCTTTGCCGTCTGCCGAGCCTGTGAAAGCTCAATTGCAATTGTCTCCTTGCCAAGGTATTCCAAATTGTCAAGGATATGCCGGGCTTGTTGCAGCTTCTTCGCACGAGCCAGGGCTCTTGTTTCTTCCCGTCGAGCTAGTTCATGTCTCCGCCAGATTTGACGCCTAGCCAGCTTTTCTGCCTTGGACATGTCCTGTGGAGCCAATTGTTGCTCGCCTAAGCCAGCCATCGGTGAGAGCGCCTTCTGTCGCATCGACTCCTCCACAGGAATTCGGGGGAGCGCTCGATCGGCATCCCGGACATTGTTGACACGTTTCTTGTTTCCTGACGGCGGTGGAGGCTTCGAGCGAGAAGGAGTCTTTGGAGGGAAGGGTGTCGTGAGGCGCGAAGGAGGAAACTGGGGTGAACCTGGCGGTGTCGTTGTTGGCGGCCTCTTAGGAAGATTAGGTGTCGGAGCACTATTGCGCAGGCTTCCGTCCAAAGACTTCCCGGAACTCGTGTGGAAGCCGTGTGCAAAACGATCAACATGTCCGTGCTGTCTGTATAAAGCCGGCCTTCGACTCCATAAACAAGACCGAGCGTCTGTCGCCGACGTCGTCGTAGGCCATGGCCTCAACGAAGGCGTGTGTAACGATGTAACAGACGCCCTCCGTTCAGCTGGTTCTGTCCTCCCACCGGAACATGTTGGTGCTCTGCCTCTCTTCCATTCGAGGCGTATAAGTTGACTGACCGTGAGTCCGTCCTGCCCACAGGTCGTGCGAAAAGTCAGCGCACGAGGTACGGGCTGGGAGCCAACACAGCCATGTAAGATCCGGTTGCATCCATTGGACATGGACGGGAAGCGATAGGACAACTACAGGCTGATCCCTTTAACTGCAACTGACTCAGTGATGGTGAAGGCTTCAGTAAACGTCCAAGTAGTGGACGACGCCGTCAATCGGAACAAATACACGGCGGCGCGCATCTATCTCCTGCTCCGCAGTACACAGCCTTGCGCTGACTAAGCCGTACTATGTCGAGAGCCTTGCGAGCATCATTTCATGACCACTGTAACCAGACAAAGATCTACTCATAAGAAAGAGGCCAGTCCTGACTCTAGAAGTTTCGCATATTATTTGATTGAGGACACTTATACGGTCAGTGTCCGTCCCTGTTTGGAGCTCTCTCGGGCTAGCTCTACAAGCCGGATGACTCCCACAGCTTGCTCAGGGGACACCGGGATCTGGGAAATATCACCGTCGAGTGCTGCTGCCAGCCGCCGGTAATATTCCGTGTAGGTCGGGGGCTTGACCGTGGGAGCAACCTCGCTGACAATCTGCCCATCATCCTTGACAACATTCAATGTACCATATCTCTCCTCTGGCTCAACAGCATAGCCTTCATCTCCGGGCTTCAATCCCTGCTTTCTCAACTGCTCCTCCTGGATATCAAGATGGTACTTCTTGTACGAACCCTTGACTCCACGGACCCAGAGGCGCAACTGATTGACTTCGGGACTGACAACGCCGGCCTTGAGGGTGGCCAGCAATTTTTTGTCGTCGTAGTGCAGCAGGAGGGTGCAAGAGTCCTCCAATCCGTGAGGGTTCACATCTCTCTGCGAACCCACAAACCCGGTGATGCGCTGAGGCATGCCAAACAGATGCACGGCTTGGTCCATCAGATGGGTGCCCACGTCGTAAACTGCACCATTGCCAGGGGTGTTGTACGCCTTCCAATTCTCGGCCGGCGGCTCAGGGCGGTGACGGTCAAAGTGACTTTCGAATTCGGCGATCCTGCCCAGTGTGCCGTCTTGGATGTACTTCTTCGCGGTTAGGAAGTCGGCATCCCAGCGTCGATTCTGGTAGACTGTAAGGAGGACCCCATGAGATTTGGCCAGATCGACCAATACCTGTGCCTCGGCTGATGTTGGTGTGAATGGCTTCTCAACCACGACTGGAAGCTTCGTTAGCATGTCAGTCCACCACAGCTCGTCGAACAGGGACTGTACCATGTTTCTTTGCCTCGATCGCCAGCTTGGCCATCTGCAGATGTGAGTCTGGGGCCGTCGTGACCACAACCACATGGACTTGGTCGTCTTTCAGTAAGTCCTCCGCGGACCGGTACGACTTAATGCCGGGGTGGTCTTTGCTGGCATCATCTTCTGGTTTGGGATGACGCTGCACAATGGCGTACAGGTTGAACTCCGGGGCGTCAAGGACGAAAGGTATATGGAATATCTTTGCGCTCAAGCCGTATCCAATGATACCAACATTGTACTTGCCTCCAGCCATGGCGGATGTAAATTATGGTGTTTGTGTTGCCTCCGGTAGATCCGTTCCCCCAACTTGAACGTAATATCAAAGTAAAGAGCTTTGTGAGGGTTTCTTAAATGAGCGGAGCGATTTTCAAAGGCTCCTATCGTGTGGGCGAGGTGTGTGACTTTATGCGCCCTCTGTTATAGCGATCTCTGTCTACGTGTCAACGACTGAACATCTGAGTTGATTGTTGGTACTGTCATACGACGTTGATTGGCAATCCTCATATAGTGGGGGAGTCGGGAGCGTTTCCTTTTTCCTCAGTGCTGCCACCAACCAACTTGAACCTCAACTCGCCAACCTCCTTCCCTAACCGTCCATTGAGGAAACAGACGACGAGCAATAAAACAAAGTTTAAAGTGCTAGTAGTAAGGACACCAGTCTCCAGGTGATGCATGTCATCCCGATTATCATTTCTAGCTACATGTGCTGCTGCCACTACAGTGTGGGATAATATAAGCGCAAGGCAGAGGAAACATGCCACGACAGCACCGGCGGTGATGTTCACACCAACCAGTATTGCGTAGGCTCAATCTTTCGCGCCTATAGTACCTAGGTATTGTACAACGTTCCGCACCCGATAAGACGAGGCTATCAGCCTCCCTTGAAGCTCACGACGTGATATCTTTCAGATCAGGGCCGAAAACATCTCCGTCCTTTGCAAGTTTCTCTTTCTCGAGTTTTCGTTTCTTCAATGCCTTTTCCACATCACTACCCTCACCTCCTCTCTTTTCCGCGGCTTTCGCTTTCGCAACCGCGACGATGTCCATCTTTTCGGGATTTTGACAGATGGTCAGCTTCTTGCCTATCCGACCCAGCTCCTTGCGTTGACTGGCATCGTCTTCCGGTGAACGGTACGATTCAAGAAGTGCAGCGCACGCCGCGACGGTTGAAACGAGCTTCTGCTTCAGTTTCATGGTCGCCTCATTCGAGGGCAATTCCTGCAGTTTGTGCTCGAGATAGGTGTGGACAAGCTCCCGATCCGCGACCATCATCGCGGCAAGCCAGATCTGGCTGGGCGTGTACAGGAAGTAGGCGTCAGTCATTTGCGCTGCCGTGGCAAGTAGTCGTTTTGCATGGTCGGCCGCAGTACCTATCCTCTTGGCCGAATTTGTGGATCTGGAAATGCCTCCCAGTCGGCCTTCGTCCGCCATGACGTTCATCTCGATATGGCCGCCGGCGAGACCTTTCATAGGATGCCGCACGTCCAGAGTAAAGCGGAGTCCCTGTAGGAGTAGAAACTCGGGCGCTTTGACGTCGTCTTCGCTCACATTATTGAGTTCGGCCACGAATCTGGATAGAGAAATGTAGAAATGGTCGGCTTTGGTCGCGAGATAGAGGGCGCACATCATGATTTGTTTGGGATGATAAGTCATCGGTGAGTTGGTCAGGTAGAAGCGACGTAGATACTGGATAGCGGTAGCCTAATATCAATGTGCGTGAGAAGCTGGAGAGTAACAACGAGGAGCCGCGAGGGAGTAGATTCTGAATATTCTTACCACAATGTGTGAAGGTATTCTCGGATTCATCGCCTCGCCCATGGCTATGATCTTCGAACAGCCCCATTCCACAATCTTCAGCTCCTCGTCCACGGTTAACGTGTCGACGTTGACTTCGGTGTCCACCTCCATGGCGTCGACGTCCTGGGAGTCCCCTTCGCCATTTTGAGTGCCGTTATGGGCAGATTTCGCAGCATGAGCTCGATGAAAAGCAGCTCGAACACGTTCTGAAGCAAGATTGTTGGTGTTTTGTCGTATCCGGGCAAGGCTTTCTTTAGTGTAGGACCAATACCGATATTGCGACGAGGCCCGGTAGACGTCGTCTTCAATCATTGTCGCGACCCAGGCAACATGCCGGTCAGAATCCGATGCGTCCTAATATTGCGGCAGTATTTGATAAGTTGTATGAGGCTTGCGTCTGTGTGAATAATGAACCTCCGAGGTGAAATGTGTTGAGGCAACAACCTGATAATTGTACTGTGTAAACGCCGCAATAAAAGTGAAGTTTGCGCGAGTTCAAGTTGTGCAGTGTTGCCTCCGCATCTCAATCAAAAACACAGTAAGGGAATAATAGTACATGGTACTGGACGACAACTACACTTCTAACGATATCAAGTGTCAAAGCATATGTTTCATAGCACTTGATTCCGAGATTGAGAGACTTGAGCCTGTCGTAAAGCTGTGGCGTTCGTAAACTACCTACTTGTACCTAGGTACAGCCTGAACGCCAGATTATGCATTGTTGTAACCGTATCAACACCATCGCTCACTAAGCAGCAGCATATCAGTTCATGTCAGGCCATATCAAGGCTCGCCCAGCAGTCGAGCAGTGATGTCGCCCATGTAGGCCTCTTCAAGCTCGTAGTCTTGTCCGCCATTCCGGTCAATACCAACGTAGTTGAAAGCCTCCACCACTCGTTCGACATCGAAGCCCATCATGACAAACCGATCGATTAAATCCTTGTTGTATCCATCATAGACTGCAAGATTGGCGGCCTCTTCCCTCTCTTCACTCTCTTTCTCGGCATCCTCGATAGACTTGTCCGTCGCACCACCACTACTCTCCCCAGTATTGGACGCGGGCGCTCCAGCATATTTAACTGCCCATTCCCTGGCCTGCCTTTCAAACTCTTTTGGGTTCTTGATCATCTGTTGTGCCACCACGGCGTCCTGAGGATCTTTGGGCTCGGGGGAACTGAGCAGCGACTGCAACGAAATCATGGCAGACTTAATGGTCAGAACTGGCGACCAGCCAGTGCTCAGTGTATCTAGGCAAATCGCCCCCTGCAACAGTTAGCACTGCAAGAGTCGCATCCGAAGACTTGCAAAGCTTACCGTCTGACTGGAGATATTGGGGTGCCAGATCTTGGTGGTAAACTTCATGACCGGAGGCTTGAAAGGGTATTCGTTTGGGATCTTGATGGAGACTTCGTAGGTTCCGCCCTCGTATGGCGTCCCAGCAGGGCCTTTGAAAGAGCCTCGAAGGTCGGTGATGCTGTCTCCCACGGTTTCGGCGAATATCTGAGAAGCAGAGTCGGCCCGAATGTCGGCCAGATCTTTGGCTATGCGGCGAGCCTTATGCCCTGCCATTCTGAACGCTTTGTTGGAAGCCGGAACTATAACTAGGAACTTTGTGTAGGCGCAAAGACTGAGAGCACAGATATCCGTGACCAGTTCGCGGGGTTACCAGCGTGACACAATCGTGACAATCTGACTGCCTGGTGCTGATATTGTTATCTCTGGGAAACTGAGAGGTGTCTATGAGGCTCTAGAAGTCAACTGTAAGAAGACTGAGGATGCGTCCCGGAGGCAGAATCACAGCGGAAGAGAACGATACGCAGGCGTCTGATTTAGAGTGGCAGATCTGGAGAAAATAGGTTTGAGGTTTGATGGACAAATGAACGGGACTGCATATACTGGTTTGAAAATCGACCCGCAGATGATATGCTGAGGATGTCGTGTGTCACCAAGATACTGGCTGATGCAGTGGTGAACGTGTTGCGTAGTCTATGGCTTACGACAAGAGGCGCTGTTTGCAACTGCGCAGCTTCACTTTCAGGTTCAGCGAAGTTCAGTTGGAGAAGGCTCCTCCGCCGTAGATCGCGTGTCCTCGTCCCTCAGGCTCAGGCATGGGGTGATTTCATAGGGGACTCGAAATCGACGAGTCGCTTATTCAGCCTCGTGCTCTAGGCTCCGGCTCGCTCCCTAGGCTCTGCCTAGTGCCTGGTGGACTGCTTGTTAGGCGGTAACCCACCAGTAAAAGTACCTACCCGGGTACCCGTAGGTTCATCGGCGCCTATACCTTGGGCACCTTAAAACTGGTACTGCAGTACTACTTAGTAGTAGGCCCATGTTGACCTTCGCCAACCAGCCGCGCCAAGCCAATCATGTACCGTGAGCCGCAGGCGCTGACAGCAATCGTCACCCAGGCCTCGCCTTCGCCTTCACCTTTGTCTCTGTCCCCATCACGCATCTTCGCCCATCCCTTGTACTCCATTTACTCACTTAATCTGTCGTCGGTTCGCCTGGAGCATCGGCCAGCAGCACAACTAACCGGTACCCATCATGGTAAGGAACTCCTCGATCTCACCCCTATGCTATGCTAACAGCCATGACAGGGGAATCAACAATCGAATCTGGGGGGCGGTCCTCCAGGCCAAGGTGGCAGGGATGATAAAGACAAGAAGGTACTTGCTACGTATTACGAACTGTCAATCGCCGGTACTAACAACTCTTCCAGAAAGACAAACCCAAGTACGAACCTCCTCCACAACCTACGACGAGGATCGGACGGAAGAAGCGCAAGCAAGCTGGACCGAACGCCGCCGCGAAGCTGCCCACGATCTATCCAACAGCGCGATGCAAGCTGCGATATCTACGAATGCAGAGAGTACATGATCATTTACTGTTGGAGGAAGAATTCGTCGAGAACCAGGAACGTATACGCAAGGCCAAATCAGCCCAGACGCCAGCCGCTGCCGCCGAGGGTGAAGCCGCCGATCGCAATGCAGACGAACGAAGCCGGGTAGATGACATGAGAGGGAGTCCGATGGGTGTCGGCAATTTGGAGGAGCTTATCGACGACGACCACGCCATCGTCTCCAGCGCCACCGGGCCCGAGTACTACGTGTCTATCATGTCGTTTGTCGACAAAGATCTTCTCGAACCGGGCGCCTCCATCCTTCTCCATCACAAATCGGTCTCGGTCGTTGGTGTTTTGACGGATGATGCGGACCCGTTGGTGTCAGTGATGAAATTGGACAAGGCGCCTACCGAAAGCTACGCAGATATTGGTGGCTTGGAGCAGCAGATACAAGAAGTCCGCGAAGCTGTGGAATTGCCTTTACTGCATCCCGAGCTGTATGAAGAGATGGGTATCAAACCGCCGAAAGGCGTCATCCTGTACGGCGCGCCCGGAACTGGTAAGACTTTGCTTGCGAAGGCTGTTGCGAATCAGACATCCGCCACGTTCCTGCGTATCGTCGGGTCGGAACTTATTCAGAAATACCTGGGTGATGGCCCAAGGCTAGTGCGTCAACTTTTCCAGGTTGCGGCGGAAAATGCACCCAGCATTGTCTTCATCGACGAAATTGATGCTATTGGCACGAAGCGTTACGAGTCGACGTCGGGTGGCGAGCGGGAAATTCAGCGAACTATGCTGGAGCTCCTCAATCAATTGGATGGCTTCGACGACAGAGGGGACGTCAAGGTTATCATGGCCACAAACAAAATCGAAACCCTGGACCCTGCCTTGATCCGACCTGGGCGTATCGACCGCAAGATTCTCTTCGAAAACCCGGACACCAACACCAAGAAGAAGATTTTCACCCTCCACACCAGCAAGATGAGCTTGGCGGACGACGTCGACCTGGACGAGTTCATTGCTCAGAAAGATGACCTCAGCGGAGCGGACATCAAAGCCATTTGTTCCGAGGCTGGGTTGCGAGCACTCCGAGAGAGGAGGATGCGTGTCAACATGGCCGATTTCCGGAGTGCGAAGGAGAGCGTCATGAAGACCAAGAATGAGGGTGAACCTGAAGGCCTGTACCTGTAAGAGCTCTACAGGTGCAATCGGGTGGCTGTGTCTGGTCGTCCTGGCAGGCCTCACTGCTGTAATCTCACCATAGACAAAGATCAACTTGATGGACAACACGGTGTAATATACTACTAGTACTTGCAGCATGCGGGCAGGGAACAAGGGCGTCGTAAGACTGTCCATAAAGTGTACTATTGTTCATCGCCGAAAGGCGCAAGATATGTACGTTTCATTTTGGTCTTCATTGCTGGGGCTATCATGGCAGCCCTCATGTCTATTCTCGCTACTAGTATATCGTTCATTCCAAGACGTGGTCTAAAAATCAGTGAGGACTTCACTATTGTGCGCCCTCGTAATTCATGCCACCAGTAGGGTAGTCTTCTCAAGTCATTTTTAGATACTGCTATCCCAGCGGAGCCCGCAAGCTGCTAGTCGGAAGCAGTGCCTTTATCACAGCCGATGCGGCCCAAGAGTTCCTTGCGATCACTGCTTGCAGCAAGTCGATTGACGCCCGAGGCGTGGGCCGATTCGGGCTTGAGCTTCCGCCGGCCGCTGCTCGAGGAGGTCGACCGGGCGAGCTCGGCACGAGAAGAAGACTTGTTTGAATTGGATAAGGAGAACGTGGGATCTGTGCTGAGGATTTCAGTCTCGTGATGGGGCTCGACGCAGAGTTGGACTGAATCGATGTAATTGTTTGCTTTGTTCTCGGGAGCGCTATGAGGGGCCCTGGCAGTTCGGATGTTGTTGTCTTCGTCCTCTTCTTCATCGTCTTCGTCGTCTGAGCGGACGTCTTCGGCCCCTTGACCAGTGATGACTTTGTAGGCGACTCTAATGATGGCGGCGAACCACACGAGTAGCACGACTTGCAATGCAAACAGCGAGAGCAGAAACGCCCATTTGATCTTGTTGTTCCAACACACCAGTCCGACGGGGTCACGGAACGGTTGGGTCAGGTGGTCCCAATCATCTGGGATGGGCAGTGGGCCCTGGAGATCCAGCACGCTTCCCTTGTAGCACCCATATCGAATCTCCTGTGGGATGTGGGCATAAATACCGTACAAGACCACAATGTACAGCACATGTCGGGTAACGAACCAGGTAACCATGAAGACGCCAAACGCAATGTCACATGCAACGTTGAAGTGCAGATACTTCAGGGTTTTGGCCAAGGGTAGGATCACGTCCACAATGTCCATCAGGGACATGATGAGCGTGCCAACCCGATACTGGTGGTAGCCGTATGAGGTGAAGATGAGACAACAGGTGATGATGTGGTGGACAAACATCTGGAGGTAATCCTTGCGGCGCTCCTCGATGTTGACCACGACAATTTGCTGAAGGTAGAAGCCGAACTGGACCAGGTAGTACCATTTCGCCAGCCCTTCCATCTCCCGAACCGGCCAGTTCCGCCACAATGCTCGCAGGTCCAACCAATAGTCCGAGGTGTACATGGTGTACATGCCGACGGACCAGGAAATGCTGTAGTACAGCAGAAGCCATGCTTGTTCCGCGAATCTGACTTTTGGCTTTTTCTTCTTGATGCCCAGCGCCGACGCCAACGGTGCAAGGAAATAGTCCATTACGGCACATCGCAGCCCGCTGAACACAATGATCCAGTAAAACACGAAGAAGATGTCGTCCCATCCGAGCGCGAACATGCCAGTTAGCGGGTTGTAGTACGATATGCGGAAGAACTTTTGTGTGTGATGCCGTGCCGATGGAAAGAATATGTGCACGAAGAAAAGCATTGATATGAGGTTCGCCGATATAGCTGACAGGTACTTTAGCAAAAGTCCGCCCATATCTCCTCAAAACTGCCTCGACTTACCAATCTGGTGGTCCACCACCCAGGCACAAGCGAGGGCCACGCTGCTCTTTTGTTTGCCTCTTTCATGCCATCTAGGCCATGCTGTCTTTTGGGATGGGGTCTCATTGTGTGGCCGCCGGTTGGTCGTCGACTGACATATTCTCTCTAATTTCTCTTGGTCTTTCAAATTCTTGCAGTCCATGTTGCGAGATCGCCCCCAAGCGCTCGGGATGAATGAGCGGCTGGTGGGAACACGCAAAATCGAACGCACGAGATGGTAGGCAATCTGCTATGTAGCGAGCGGGAAGACGTCTAGTGGTGAGGTGTGAGCGACCAGCGCAGACACTGCGTGTTTCCGGTAGCGATTCGGAACGACTTGAAAGTCGGAAGGGTGGACAAGCGAGTGACAGATGTGGTTGACAGCACACTTTCTCTTGCTAGGACATGATGGTCCTAGAGGAGCGGTGGTTTGGCATTGGGCGGAACTTGAACGATAGTGAATACAAGAAGTGCCGTGGGTGTGGGAAAGACGGTGAAGTCAAGTTGCCCCGGGCCAGCTCCGGGACTGGTAGCGAGTATTAGAGCGGAATTTCTGCTCTGGTATTAACACCTAGCCACGAGTGGGATTTGGCGATCCTGGCAATAAGGAAACATACAATATATCTCAGCAGCAATGCAGTGGTGGACAATCCGAGGCTGGCTGGCGGTGTGAAGCTGCCAAGTCGAGCAGAGAAAGACTACGACTTGAACGAGGCCGCAGTTTTCTAAAGGCGGCGGCAGTTTGTGAACGCGTTCTATACAATTGACACTTCGAAAAACGCCCGCAACGATTGGATTCGATGGCATTTTCCTGGTGACCCCTTTTTGCGCTCTGCTACTACTGCTTTTGCAGGCAAGCTGTCGGTTGACAGCTGCTCAACACTGTCAACGCTTTTAGTCCCGGCAGTGCGCACTTTCGCCCTGCCCTGAGCATAGCGCGTCGAAGCCAAAAGCTTTCAGCTATTTCAGTTCCAGGCCGTTGGAGATCGACCGCTACTTTGCGATGGGGCCAGTGTCCGATCCGTTCCTCTCAGAAAGCTCAAGCTTCCGCTTCACCAAGCTCCCGCAACCCTGCCTCTAACATTTTTTTCTCTTCGAGAGCTTATGCATGTTCCGATCCAGGGCAGGACCAGGGAAGAGAGGCTGCACCAATTGAACGCACTGAAGTGCTGCATGTGTGCACATCATCCACCTATGAGCTGAGCCCCTTTCTGTCAGCCGCCGAATTGTGCTGCGAGTCAGGTCCCTTCGCTACCGACTACTAGGCGGTATAAGAGACAAGGGACTTGGCCTGCAACATCTTACCAAATTTCAGACTGACCCCAGCTGGTTTGCCGCTATTGCAATGTTTCGACGACATTGTTGCAAAGCAGAAGCATCAAAAGCTGATGTCTGTCGCCAGCTCACCGCCATAGGCCATAAGGTCCCTTGCAAGCTTTCCACAGTTTAATAGTTCCGTCTTCACTACCCGTAGCATAGAGCTTGCCGTCGGGCGAGAAGGCGATGGTCCAGATTGGGCCATGATGGCCTTTGAGCACCTCTGTGAATGATGTTAGCACATCTTCGCGTATCAAGGGCCACACCTGTACGTACCCAGTTCTTTCTCCTCCGCGAAATCCCATACTCGAACCCACGTGTCTTTGTGACCACCGGTGACGAACTTGCCACTCGAAGGGTTGATGGCCACGCTGGCAACATCGTGGTCGAAGTTGACTTGCTTGATGAGTTCTGCGGGTCGACCTGCGTCGAAGAAGTAGCACGAATGCCCGGCGGCCACACTTAGGATGCCTGGATCACTGTCCTCCGACCTGTTGGTGGATAATTCGCACGATCCGATGTCTCGTTCGGTTCGGAAGCTTGAGATCATGCCCTGCATTCTTAGATCCCACCATCGTATGGTCTTGTCTTCGCAGGCTGTTGTGACTATGTTGTAGTCGACGTTCCAGACAATGGACTTGATTGTTCCGCCGTGTTGTCCGGCACCGATTTCGAGTCCCTCCGAAGTGACGGAAGGGGTGGCTGGGGATGAGCCATTTGCCTGTGCTGGAGAAATCGCACTGCCTCCTCTGGTGAGGTCGAAGATTTTCAGCTTCTTGTCTTGACCTCCAGTGGCCACGCACTGCGGGTTGTCCTGTATGGGAAACGCAACAGCTCGTACAATGTGGTCGTGGTTAAGGATATGCAGACATTCTCCCGTCTGAGGATCCCAGATTCTCCTGAATTATCATCAGCAAGTTGTGCCAACAGAGCACGAGAACTCATCTCACGCTGAGAAGTCTGCCGAGCCAGTGGCTGCAATTTTAGCATCAGATGACAGTCTCGCCGACCACACTGCGCCCTTGTGTCCGATGAAGGTTCCTATCCTGCATGACTGTTAAGCTTGCTTGAGATCATGGTTGCTTTGGAGCGGCACATACCAGTCCCCTGTAATTCCATCTCTCAACATAGGATTATTGTCTGGCGATATGTTAGGCATGTGCTGAACCAAGATATTCAAGGAGACATACCTTTGCAGGCCGAGATGAGATAATATTGGTCACCATCCACAATGGAAGAGAAACTCAAGTGAGTAACCGGTCGTGAATGACCATGGCAAGTGAGAGGGACAATCTTGGGGGTATCTGGCCCAAGGTTAGCCAGGTCCGAGGACTTAAGTTCTCCGATCAGCACGGGTCGTTGTGAGACATAGATCTGTCGTACCTCCAGACATCGCCGCAGCTCGAGTTGGCTGAAGCCGGCAAAGTGGTTCTGGTATAGTAGATTCTCTAGACAACAGTCTAGCGGAGTAATACTAGTACTGGTCGTGGGAGATTCAACGAGTTGGAAAAGGCGGGATGGATAGTTCAAGTTATCGCAAGAAGAAGTAACGGTGAAAGATGGCACGTATCAACCAGGTTTGGTGAGTAACCAAGACGTGATGGAGGACACAAATTCGTAGGTTTCCGGCTGGACAAGCCTCTTGTATTTTAGATCGTTGATTGTATTCTGCTTCACCCGTCACTAAAGGGTGCTGTGAGAGGCAAGTGAGAGAGGTTTCGATACATGACTAAGCAGCGTACGGAGGATCACTAGTATGAGCTGTACATTGTACTTTCATTGGCCATATCAGCCAGCCTTGCGTCTGAAGCGCACAGTTCCGCAGTACAAGGCTCGGAACGACAACGTACAACAACATTCAAGCTGTGGATGAGACAGAGCGTCCTACTCTCCTTTCGTCGTCCGAAGTCTCTCAAGTCATTGTGAGTGCTCCAATACTAGTATCTCACCCTAGCTGGTTTGGCTCTTTCCACATCAGCCCGCCTGTGACAAGGCCGGTTTCCGGACACTACCCAGGACATTCAAAGCTTGCTTAGAAATGGCACTGCCTATTCGGAGCTGTTTCTGTTCCAGCAGGATGGATGCACTGCCGAAATTTGCTTGTATTTGGTGATTATGTCTTCCTCTACCGAAGGACTTTAACTCTTTGTTCTCATTCATTCCCATTTCTGAACAAAAGAGGGGAAAGCTTGTTGTCTTTGTTTCCGCTCATTGTCATTGTAAGGTCTTGCCCACTGCCTTGCAGAGCTCAGGGCATGCAATCTGCCTCCATTCGCTGATGCATGGCATCAGCGCCGCTAATAGTACAGGGCACTGTCGACGATATAGCAAATGTTAGCCTGTTTCCGGTCATTGATAGATGGTTCCAGGCGAATGCCAGTGCAAACTCACGAAGCAGCTATCTTACCCTGCATCTCCGCATAGGTTTGGCATTATGAGACAACCTGAGACATGGCAGGCAAAGAACACAAAGCAATTCCGACACCGTCTTTCAGGCCCTGGCCGGCAGTGGGCAGTTGGCCGTGGGCAGTGGGCAGTGGGCAGTCAAGAAGATGGCAAATTACTGCCTGAAGCCCGATGTCTGCTTCACTGTGGGATCCAATTAACATAAATATCTCCTGTTTCCAATGCATTCTCTTCACCATTTTCTCAACACAAGAACACGACCCTCAACTCAGAAGTACAAATGCAGCCATCAAACATCTCACTTTCAACCACAAGTTACAGCATCCTGTGCAAACTTTGACGACTGAAGTGTGACTATCGGTAAGCTTCATCCGAACACTCATCAAAAGGTAAGCCATTTCCCCAACAAGATGCCCACGTCCAAGGATCTAATCCGCCGCTCCAGGGCGAAGGTGAGTTCTGTCCTCCGGAAGGTCAGCTCTACCACATCACAGTTACTACGCCACCATTCCTTCCATCATCGAAATGTATCTCCCATTGCGAGACTGGTCCAGGAAGCGGCAGCAGCCAGCCCAAGCAGTTCTGTTACCGCTCCGACCCCAGACCCAATTGAGGAACCTGCAACAACGACAACGAACGCTCATGCTCCAATCCCAGCCGCTGAAACGGTGACCCAAGTTGCTGTTGAAACCACAGCTCCGCAAGTATCAGGATCAATTTTGCGTTTTGTCGACACCAATTACATTGATGGTTCCAGTATTGCGGATGTCTCGTCTACCGAATCATCTAATGATGATGATGAATCCTCTCAAGAGACATCTGGCCAGCGTGGCGGTGCAACCTCCGGCCCAGGCCTATACTATAGAGAATATACGTTCCTGAACCAACGGCGGGCGGCCGACAACTTTGCCCTATGGCCCATCGAGTCAGAACTGACCTTGATGAACCAAGCCCAGCCTCGGAACCAAGATGGCCCGTCCTCTATACCCCTAGTACTTGATACTGTTCCAGCAAACTCCCCGGCCTCTGGCATTCTTCAGTCCGAGTCTGCTAGAACGGGGTCTCCTCTCCCATTGGCCTCCAGACACGGTCCCAAGCCAAGTGTTAGTGACGACGTCAATGCGCAAATCTTTCGGCCGAGGTCGTCAATTTATGCCAGACCCCCAACACCATTCCCTCGGCTGTCTGATATTTTGGATGCTTCTTCTGCACCACAGGTGGTAGCATCCAGCAGCTGTGGCGAGGCATCCTCGTCGAAATGGAGCCATCGTACGCCGGCAATTCTGGGCGACAACTTCGTTTTGACAAGTGGCCTAATCGACCCGTTTGTGGAACAGGGCGGTTCTTCATCAGCACGGGTTTCAGAGGCTGGTCCTCGATCTGTACAGTTGCAAGAGCGTACTCTTCACACTCCGAGTCCGCAGCCTAGTCTTAATATTCCAGACCCAAGACCTACTCTTTACATTGACAGTCCACAGCCTAGTCTCCACATCCCAGATACACGGCCTACTCTTAGTCTTGAGATTGACAGTGAGATTGACAGTGAGACTGACAGTGAGACTCACAGTCCACAGCCTAGTCTCCACATTCCTGATCCACGACCTACTCTTCACATTCCCAATCCATACCCTGCTGCAGAGTCTCCACCACGTCGCTGGTCTGACTTTAGCTCGGACGAGTTCCCCAGTGCTGAGAGCAAACATCTTGTGCGCGTCAACTCGGAAGAATGGGAGCTTCAACCTAACAAAGGAAAAGGGAAAGAGCCAGAGCGTCGCTGGTCAGACTTTGACTCAGACGAATTCCCCAGCACGAGAAGCAAGCATCTCGTGCGTGTCAACACCCAAGAATGGGAACTCCAACCAAACAACGACAAAGGGAAAGAGAACGAGCGCCGCTGGTCAGACTTTGACTCTGACGAGTTTCCCAGCGCCGAAAGCAAACATCTTGTGCGAGTCGGTTCTCAGCAATGGGAACTCCAGCATGGACGTCCTCGACCCCAACCCCAAGGTCCAGCGGCAGCAGCAGCACCAGCTCCCGCACCCCTGAATCATGAACATCGTCCCGAGCACATCTCAACAATCAACATCAACGACCCGGAAGGCTACGGCCACCCAGTCGTCCCCGGCGCCCTAGCAGGCGACTGGTCTCTCCCCAGCAGCATTCAGAGCGAAGGCCAACACCTCCGCCACATGGAACGGGGCCTGTTCGCCGCGCAGAACGCTCTCCCTGCCATCAGAGGACTACGATACGCAGTCGACCGGGCGGCGACCGATTTTCAAGCACTAGCATTGGAGAACCAAGCTCTGCACGGCCAGGCTGCCGAGTGGCAGTTCAAAGCGACCCGCGTCCTTGAGCCTGAGCTGTTGATGGCGTGGGAGGCTTTGAGACACCGGGATGCGGAAATTGACCGATTGAGACGAATCATTGCGCAGACCTCAGATCGAATGGCATCGCGTTCCGATCTCAATGTCAATGACACGGCCGCCGACTTCCATTACCAAGGTCATCATCTATACAATGCTAATGCCAACGCCAACGCACCAGGAAATACTCGCGCCCGGGCGGCGACTCCTCAGAATGCAAATGCAGGAAACACAACTGCACCACGTACACCGCCAAGTCAAATCTACGGCTCGGCGCAACTACAATCTGTATACTCTGAGTCTGAATGGGAAGACGTCATTGAGACGGACTCGGATGACATGTACGGCCCTTGAGTGGGCGAGCGAGTGAGTGACTATGACTATGACAGTCAAATTTGTGAGGAAACTTGGTTAGCTGCCCTACAGGCTATGCATACCTAGGTATGTACAGCGGAGGGTCAGTTGGAGGGACAAATCACTGCAATTAATTCCATGTTTTTGGTTGGATACTACTAGTACTAATTATGCACAATTCAACATTGTGGCAGGAGACTCGGACACCTTCAGACATACTAGGATAGCTGCTGCAAGTTTCTAGGGAATAGTAAAGAATCATGATGCCAAAGAATGCACTACACTTTTTTTCCGCGTGCTTTGTTTTTTTCCTTTTTGTCTTCGTATTCCCTTTATCTCCAGCAGATGGATTCCACTCTCTCTGCCTTTGAAACTCTCCCGCCGCCAATGGGATCATGATGATCTTGGATAAAAATGCAGGGCTCGATCAACCAAGTCCAACCATGCTGCCTTGCCTGGCCCAGCCCAGCCTGGCTTAGCTAAGGTCAAGCTCAAAATCTATCATTATTTCATTTCTCTACCTCACTCTACCATACCACGCCAACATGTGATTGGATGTGCATTGCATGGAAATCTTTGTACATTACTGCAATGCAATGCAATGCAAGTCAAGTCCCAATGACTCCTGAGGAAGTTGACGTTTTGGTCAGGGTGGTGGTATGCACTGGCACAAGAATTCATCCTCCAGAAGCTCCAACGCAGACGGCCTATCTTCAGGACGCCAGCGGAGAATTTTGCGCATCAAGGCAAGGAACAACATTTTGTCGTTACCGTCCAGACGACTCTCGAGCGTTTCAAGGCTTTGGTTTGGGATCGGCGTCGAGGCGATCCAGTTGCCTATTAGTTTGTCACAAAGTTGTAAGTCAGCGTCAGTCAGCTCAGTCCAGCAAGCCATACACAAAGTAAAACGAAACCATATGTGCATGTCTCTTGTATTTTCGTTCCTTCTGCGGTGACTTGCAAGAGTCTGGGTTCAGCTCACCTTGATCGTCCCAGTATCGACTGGCACTGCTCCTTTCTTGGGCCCGAGCCCGTTCCAAAGCCTCCTTCGGCGGCGGACCCATCAGCGCGACCATCTCGGCAAGGTGTAACTCGTCATCGAGGTAGCCGTCCTTTACTGCACGGAAGAGTCGGTGTCCTTCCAAGAGATCCCACATCTGTTTGGTTTTTTCATTGTCTAAGCCGTTGATCGATCTTGAGATCTCTTCTTGTTCCATCCAACAGGGCCTGGAGGGGAATATATACATACCATGAGTCCAACAGCCCAAATATCAATCTTATCATCCCATTCCATACCCAAAATGATTTCTGGCGCCCTATAAAAACCCGGCATGACATCTCCCACAAACTTCTGCTTCTTGCCTGGCTCACCCAACCGAGCGGCGCCAAAGTCGGTAATCATAGGCTCGCCATCGGTAAGCGGCATAGTGTAGGAAAGGTGGATGACTCGACCATCGGGAAGAACCTTTCGAGCAGACGGATTTTCCTGTTCCGCGCGTTCCACTTTGGCAATTGCGTCGTCGTCATCTCTGATACCCAGAAGGATATTGTTTGGCGATAGATCTATAAGCGCAGTGACAGGTGATTCAGCAAGTGAATCATTCAAGTTTGACGTACCCAGCAAAGGCAAGGGAGAATTATACCTGTATGTACCACACCTATTTGGTGCAAAAAGTCCAAACCACCCAAAATCAAAAGTAAGCTTTGTTGTAGGAGTCCCTTGCTAAAGACCTTTTCCGGCAACAAGTTTCGAAAGTCGGTCTCGGTCAAGCCGAGTGGTGTATAGAGTAGACATCGATGAGTAGTTCCATTATGGCCCTGGATCTGAAAGTGGTTGAGAACTATGCGCAATCTTGCTTTGCCGGGGTGGTTTCCATCGGTTGAATTGACAAGGTCTGAGACAGCGAATTCACTCGTACAATCCTCACCAGCAATGCAGACTTTGAGCGTGAGAAGGACATTTTCTCTGGAAAAAGAGAATAACCGCCCCGGTTAGCATGATGCCACAACACAGACAATAGACAAGAGGTAGGGATGCTTTGAAACGTAGTACGTACTCGAGATCTCGACACAGCCAGACGGTAGAAACTGTACCAAACCCCAACTTGGCAACGACCTGGTATCGTGATTCAAAGACCTCGCCGAGCCGCACGGGGTAGAAGCGTTCGGCTTTGTAGCCTGGGATCCCCTCCTCTTCATACTTCTCATGCAATGGAAGCATTTCAAAGCCGTCGGTTGGAAAGGTGCGGGGCAGGCTGGAAATCGCCCTGGTGGAAACGGAAAAGGCCATTGGTAACTGCTGGCACTGCAGTGAACCAGGGACGGTGAGAGGACATAGTGTCGGATAAATCCATCGTGTGAATCTGAAGACAGGAAAGGCTGTGTTTCCGCTTCGTCTTGTCCTAAGGATCCGCAGCAAGGCCGACGACGACCGTGACGCTTTCATTGATGAGAAGCTCGAGCGCGTAGTAGTCCTTGCAAGGTGAGGCTTGGAGCCGGACAGGCAAGGTGGCTGTATTCTTTACTAGCGCGAGGTAGTGGTAACATATCTCAAATCCCTACACAGCCACACTGTTTCACTCGAACCCCCGTCGAATCCCAGGACCCTGCTTCGCAACAACTTGGTACCTTGATTCGAAAACCTCGATCTTGCCCGGGTCGTACAACCCGGGTTACTGATAATATGGCCCGAGCCTTCAACGGGGATTCGCTGCTCTTCTGTCTTCTCGTGCAGCGTAAGGGGTCTCAATTCCTTTCGAATGTGGAAAATAATGCGTGTACTAGTAGTTTGACCTTTCAGAAGAATGCTATACTCGTAGTAGGAGGAGTATACACATACCTACCTAGGTAGGTACCTAGGTATACATAGGTAAGGTACCATAGGTAAGGTACTACAGTTGTACGGTCCCTGGTATCCGTAAGCCTGTATTGTCCCAGTATAATGACCCTTTTTCCGATTGGATGGGTGCTCCCGCGGCAATACTTGACTAGTACTGTAAACAATTAGCGCAGGGCTAATCAGGGCCTCCACTTTCTGGCTCAGGATCTCAACTGATCGACGTCATTCCCCATCTACGATATAATTGTACAACATTACAATTCCTCCACGGTCAAGGAGCTGAATGTTAGTATGATACTGTGACCGATAGCATCCATCAATTTTCAGGAACAGTCCAGCAAGTCATCGTAGCTAAATTAAGAGATACTTAGTTCCCAGGTATCCATATCGCAGCCTCGCAAATAATGCACCATCAGCAAATACCAATGTCGCGTTCAAACGCCTTTCCCCTGGCGGTCGCTGTCCCTCATGCATCCGATCCCATCAAGCCATTCCCATCAATGCCGGTGCAGTGCTCATTAACTCTCAATCGTGTAATCATCCCATCAGTTGTGTTGTGATCCAGTCGCTTGATCATCTGGAGTAAACTCCATAGACCGTCTGCCAATGCACCAATTCCTTGGTCAGTGTTTCCATCATTTCGCCGCTGTCCATGGTTCCGAAATCCTTGTCATCGATAACGCCAATTGCGCCGTCACCCTGTGCCTCATGCAGTCCAGCTTCCACCGCTCGGACCAAACTCGAGGTGGGCAAATGTGTCGATGTCTTGACGCCGATAGGTGTACCTGTACTCTTGGAACTTGAGGCGCTTCCATTTCCGTTGGAATGGTGCGAGTGTGGATGCGACGCAGTTTCGGTCTGCATATGGCCGACGAATTCCAAAATTGCTGCAACGCGTCTCTTCATCTCATTCAGGCTCGTTCGGGCGGGATGGGTCTTTGCTTTGGAGCTTCGTCCACTCTCCCCATGAATTCCGTTCGCCCCTGATGGTGATCCACCGTTGATGTCGTGAGAGCCATCTCTTGCAGGTGTACCCTCATCTCCATGATCTCGCGTGTACTGATTTCTTCCCAGTCTTCCTCGCCTCGCCGCCGGCCGTCCCGTCCGACGATTGTTATTTGATCTGCCCGAAGGAGGGGTGTCGGCTTTCAATTTGCCGTTGACCTGGGCCATTTTGGATGGAGAAAGGCTAGGGGTAGGAGGTGGTGAATCTATCCTGTCAGCTGTGGAACTTGAGATATGTGGTCAAGAGTGGCATACCTTCTCCTCTTCTGCGTTCTGACCGAGCGTTTCGTTTGTTTGCAGCCTCGGCACGTCGCAATGCTTGTTGTTCTTTTTGTTTGTCCTGCATCTCCTTTTCGCGGTTGTTGCGGGCGGCTGCGCCTCTAAGCTTTTGTGAAGCGATCCTGCCTGTGCCGTTTGTTTTGTTCGAGGCATCCTGCCCAGGTGGGTCCGGCGATTCACTGTGCTTGGATACGGTTGAAGACGAATTGGACCCTGTGCGTTGCCGTTTGTTGTTGGCTTTGTGACTGTTTATAATAGTTAGAGGTCTTCATGTGCGATCTCAGTGGCAGTGGGGAATCTTACTCTTCTGACTCGTCGCGTGTACGCTTGCCCAGAGACCCTATCTCTTTGCTGCTTTCTTCAATGGCCCGGCGTAACATCTCGTCTTCGTCGTATGCTCCCCGGCTGTTCATTGTAGCTCGTCTCTTGGTAGCTTCGCTGAGTTTGTTCTTGGCATCCTTCTTGCGGGGCGCCTCCGCGGTGGAAGACAAGGGCGAGGATCGTCCAGAGGGGTTTCCAAGGACCGGCAGGTAGCGGGAGGATTTCGGACTGGTGTGCCATGGTTAGTAAGATTTGCTTCGGTAGAGATGGGTCACTGCCGATGGCACCAGCACCACCACCGCCTGAAATGTGGAATATTGGGACGTTGATGCATCTTCAGCACACAACGGGGCAGCGGGCGTTGTTTAGGAGACTTTGGCAGGTAGAGGAACAAAACTCACCCATTAGCTGACTTTGTCACCTTATGGTATTCAGGCTTGCACAGTTCGCAGTAATATTCATCTGGCAGCATCGACTCATCCAGCAGACCCATACAGCCGCCGTGTTGCCAAACCCCGCACTTGTCGCACTGGACGAAAAAATTGCCAGTTTCATCGGTCAGGGCGGCAGCGTTGGGTTGCTGCTGGCGGATGCTGGCCGAGGGGCCCGGGTACTCAGCTTGTCCGCAGATACAACGAGTCACCTCTTCTTCATTGGTGTCGGCTTCGACGCCTCCTTCTTCGTGGTCATCCCGCTGCTGCTTGACTGTAGGTTCCTTTTCAGCGCCGTTGCGTCTGCTACGACGCGGCGCAAGCAGCTCCGAACGAGAAGCCGAGTCTGCGCCATCGATGGATTCGGATCTTTGTGTGGATGGTCTTCTTTGGGAGGCCGGTCGATGGCTTGCCGGCGGGTCACGATCGGTTTTTGAGGCACTGGACATGGTAGAATTGGTGTGATTGAGGGCGGCAGGAGGTAGCTGGGAGGAGCGGGCGCGGGACGAGCGTCGAGGACTCATCTTCGGGCGGGAAAAGACGAGGTCTGGAATCTCAGAGCTCGAGAGGTGCCCAAGACCGTGGAAGAATCATCCGGGAGTATTTCTCGTCAGTAGAAACGGTTGGTGGTGCGGTGTAAGGCCTGGTTGTGAGGGCGGCGAGGGAAATTCGCAGTCGGCTGTGACGAGGCGGGTGGACCAGGAAACAGTGGTGGGAAAACAGATCGGCCGGGTTAGCAAAGCAAAAGAGCAGGTTGCCAGCAGTTGGGAAATAGCAGAATCACATTTCTGGGCATGAAGATGTAAGAAAATAACAGCAGACCGTGAGCAACAAGCAACTTGAAGAAGAGCAGGAGGAGGAGAGAGAGTGTGTGCTTTCTGCCTCCTCCAAGCAACGGCCAGACTGCGCTGCGGTGACGGCCAGTGAACTTGACTGCAACACACTGCCCTAGCACTTCTGTGCCTGTGGTACGTCGTACTAGCATTGCGCGCAGAGTGACTTTAATGGCCGACGCCGGCTGGAGCCAGCGGCCCAAATTGCTATTGGATATTGCAATGGATAGGCGGGCCTGGAAGAGAGATGAAACCAATGGCATTGCAGGATAAGTCAAAGGCAGCTATCAGTCGGTTGGTCAGTGTTGGTTCCCCTCCGAGGCCGATGTTTCTCCAACTCGCAGACCCTGCCAAATGCCATGACTGTTCAGTGGCCATTGGTACCGTATCTAGGTACTGTTGGGAGGATATGTCAATATCAGTGTTCAAAGGATATATCAGGAAGCATGAGCGCAGTTGCCTTGATCGTTGTTCAGTAAAACCATTGGTAGCATTGCGCCGTGGCAGAGCAATTAACGCTGTCAAGTCTCCATCCCCAGCCTTCTGCAGGTCAGTTTCTGAGCGCGGCACGTTTGTAATCCATCTTTTTCCCCACAACTGGACTGCAGCAATTATTCCCATCACGTGCTGTTGTCGCTATGCCAAGCCTTCTGTGCCGATCGTCGCGACGCGTGCAATGACCCGCAACCACTTTACGCGTCCCCTACGCGCCGCCTGCTTGGGACGGACCCCGCAGATGGGATAATACAACACTGGCAAGGCTGGTAGGACGCAAGGCTGAAGTCTCTGTCCAGCCCAACACTTATCCCCTCCTTATTCTTGGAGATTGGACATAACCGTGGTTACAGCTTCATTTCAGGAGAAGCTGTGTGTGGTAATGCTTGATTTCTGCACTAAACCCGAGCCTTCTATAAGTAAAAGCCACAAACCTTTGCGTCGAGTACTCGTGTATGAATTCTATCATCATGAAGCTAGAAATACAGTAACCTAGGCACTCGTGGCTTGTATAACTCCCCTCTGCGGCCGTTTCGTCATAATATTTATATAATAGCACAACGTGGTGTAGGCCCATACCTAGGTACCGCAGCTGGACACTCCATGGTTCCCCGGCAGCTAGTGGGTGATCTTCAGAACAACGGCTCCGGACTTGATGAGGACTCATAGCGGGGATCATGATGCTCGCTTAATCTCTGCTGTTCGGGGACCTGCACTCCGCCAGCTTTGGTCACTCCGCCCTGTTGGCCCATCGACAACAGTTCTTGCTCATTTGATCTGGTGTTTTCCTTCTCCTTCCCTTTACTTTTCACGTTTCGATTTGTCGGCCCCGCTCCTGGCCCTAGTTCATGGCTTCCTGTCGCGTCACGTTCCTGTTTGATCAAGAGGCTCAACTGACTTTTCGTTCGAGGAAGTCCCACGTTCTCAGTATGACTGTCATCGTCATTTGCGTGTACACGACTGGATAAACTGGACTTAAGCCGTGACGGGCCCGCGCTGTCATCCGGTGGGATCTCTTTTTCTTTACCTTTGCGCAAGTCGTGCGGGATTTCATCGGCGAAGCGGACAACACTTCCAGTTTTCTTTATCCGTCCCAGAGCGGCTAGATTGGTGGAGCTGGCGAGTTTCTTCTGTGTCTCCACGAACCTGCCTCGGAAGTCTCTGTCCACCAGTCCTGAAGAGGCGGGCGGGGAAGCAGCTGTGCCCATGGCCATGGGATGTTCGTTCATTGAATCCACACTTTGCCAAGACGAAGCCGACGGGAGCGCGAAACCCGAGTCGCCCGTCATTGCTGCGAACGATATTAGAAGACGATATCTAAGAAATGGGACGGGAGAGCTCACCAGGAACTGGGGCTAATCCTGGAGGCGGACCTCGGGCATGGGGATAAGGTCCCGCAGGAGCTCCAGCGCTTCTCAAAGCACCACTCATCTCCTCCAAACCACCTTTAGGGGATTTCTCAGTGCTCGGGCCAGAAGGCGATTTTGGTGTGCCGGATCTCCGCCGGGGAACATGTGGGCGTGCCCGTGATTTCGCAGGGGTAACCTGCACAGGCGGTCTCGCGCGTCCACTGCTTGTAGCTCGGCTCGAAGAAGGCGGAGTGGCTGAGCCGGCTGCAATGGCGGGGACCGACGCGGTTGAGGTGCCGGGGTTTGGGAACAGACCAGTCTCCTCACTTCGGTCGCGTGAAGCGCCATGGTCCTCTCTAGATGTACCGGGGCCTGTGGCACGAAGACTAGAATCCGGGAGCGAGGCCCCGACACTCCATGCGGATGGAGTGCTTGTATCTGAAGCCAGGGAGGCTCGAGAGGTGGGTGAGAGAGAAGACGACCTCAGTCGTTCTGGCCCTCTGGTGTGTGCGTCCTTTCCGCTCAGAGTCAGCGCCGGTCAGACAAAAGGATGACGGGGGAGGCTAACCTGAGGCGGCGATGATCTCTGAGGCAGTGGTGGAAGCGTCCCAACGGGGTGCAAGACAGTATCTTCACTGCATTGGCGCCATAGCCGGAGCAAGAGATCGCTTGTTATGGATTGACAAAGCTTAGGGCTGCTCCAAATCCTCCAGAAGAGGTTTCGTACTCTTGGACTGGCATGGTCCGAAGTGACATTACTTTGAGCGTCAAAGACTAGATTGTCACATCAGCCAACCCTTCCCGAAGCGGCTTCCAGCAGAATTACCTTTCCAAAACTTGTGGATGACATCTGAGTTGCTGACTTCGAAACTGAGGTCGGCAGAAGAAGACTGCTCAGAGGCGAATGTCAGATCAACGAGACCCTCGGGCAGAGGGGCCGTCATGACATCGGCGGTCAACAAGGTTGCTCTCCTCCAACTCCACAAAACCGCTGGTCAACGTGGGAAACCTGGAATGACCCCAACATGTCCTTCAAGTTCTGCGCCAACTGCTCACCCACTGCCAGACAAAGCACCAATATGGGCGCACTTTCAGGAAGGAACGATCGTCCCGACCGAACTCTCACCCGGGTGACGATGGGCGGGCGCTAGCAGCAGCACATTGGATCTTAGAGGAGGCGAAGTGCAAAATCCGGGGATGGAGCAGCGACACGGTTGGTATAGCTCTGGAAAAAGGCGACGCGAGGCGAACAAGTGGGTTTTATTATTGTTGTTGTTGGGTTTGACCCTATGCCGCCAACGGGTGGATTGGTTGGTGGTCCAGATTGTGCGTGCGATCGGAAGACCCTACAGACTAGTACCACAGCAGTAGCTCTGGCGCTCTCCGGGCCCGATGGCGGATGGATTGCAACTGACGGAAACGGCTGCAGGTGTTCAAGGTTCTGGACGCGAACTTGGCTGTGCACCAGGCGGATGGCGCGTTTATAGACGGCCTCTCACAGGATCGAAAGGGAAAATGAGGATCGAGGCGGTCACTCTGTCAATGTCAGGAGGGTCTCTTGGGATCCGTTCCCGAAAGCCTAAACTAACCGCAGCCAGTCAAAAAGACGCGCGGAAGACATCCGTTGGGTAAAGTCGGAGCCTGACAGCGCGGACTACTGTAGTAGTACCTATGGTCAATGCGGCACGCACGCGCCTTGCTGTTGAGGCATTGGTGTCTGGGAACTCTGAACGATTTGGTACCTCCGACACTGAGGCGGGCAGATGCTGGAGCCACCGGGGAAGTGGACGGGCGGAAGGCGAGCTAGAAGCCGTGTCAGCCGTAATGTCGGCGGTTCCGGGTGGGCCAGGCCAGTGGGAGATTGGTAAAAGGACAAAGCGGTCAAGAAAAATGGAAACACGACGACGTATAGAAAAGGTGACACTGATCGGTACCGACAGCAGCCTGAATCCCAAAGGTGGATGTTTGATAGTCAGATGACCGGACCGGACAGGGGCAATGTCTTGAAGCAGGCCTTGTATTTCTTGGGCATCCAGAGGACGGCGATGTCAAATGCAAGGTTCAGGTGGCCCGCGGACTCCCACCAACTGGAATATACACAAGGGTCGAGCTGGTCGAGGGAGACCGGAGACCGCAAGCTCGGGTGGGTGGATGGAGCAGTACAGGTCTGACAAGGAACAGGGCCGTGTCCAATGTCGCACAAATTGTGGTACAGGAGGCTGACATGAAAGGGGTGCTTCCGAAGGCGAGGAAGGGTCTGTAGAGGGATTTTCGAAGCACCCGTAGACGGAGAGTGGACGGAAAGGAGCGGATTGTGGAGTTGGCGACTGGATTGGGCTGCAATGAGAGCCGTGATCGTGAATGTCAAGCATGAATTGTCCATGGTCGTGAAGTCGGTGACTACCATGTACAGTAAAATCCCATTGATTCAATTCACCCACTCACTCTTCCACTATTGATACATCAGCCGACCAAGTGGAGTTCTGACAGCAACCGGCCGGGGAAAGGGGGACAACAGGAGGGTACAGTATTGAGGAAATTGTGCGGCAGTGGATCCAGAGGGTGTATAATAAACATAAACAACCGAAGGGGAGGAGAGAAGGGGACTAGAGCCGGGACAGGGAAGGACGAGAAGGCTAGAGCGAAGTTCAAAGTGTGAATGGGGCGAGCACATGGCCATCTCAGACGCTCGCCTTCGATTACAATAGCCGCGCTCGTATGGCGACTTCGGTGATGCCAGGGGTGGCACACTGCAAGGCAGATAGACATGAAAGACCGGGATGCCGGAGAATTCGAGCACGATGCAGTGAGGCGAAGGAGTGAAGTTGAATCGCGTGGCACCCACGTTCCAGTGATCAAATGCCGTGGTGAGGGTAAATTCCGGTTACAAGAATGCCATCCTGGTCAGAGGTCGAGGTCCTTTTGAGCTGCAACACCGCTGTCGACGACTTGATTCGCGCCGAAATGCCATGGGATAGTAGTGGAACAACCTCTAGGACCCTGCGAAGTTGCGACAGCTGTATTGTAGGGTCAAATCAACCGGCCAGAAAGTCGAGGCACCCTCCTAGGTGCATGTTGTAGATATGGCGGAATGGCCCGGTTGGGAGTGGGAGTCTCTCCAGGTCCCTCAGTCTGGTACATTACAATGTTATACAACTTGCACTCTCACCACGCGAACCTTAAGGCAAGACGAGCACTACGTGTATCGGTCTGTCTCAGGCCGACCAAGTACTGTATCAACCTGGAACACAAGGTCTAGCAAGCGACTGGCTGGGTTTGAAAAACGTGGTGCAAGGCCTCTGCCGTTCCTCCAAGTTGAAATAAACGAGAGACAGGGGTGAAGACACGAGGACAGACCAGATTAGGTCAATGGTGAGAAAATCAGTACGGTTTCCAATAATGTTGAACTCCGGGCATGAGTACGCCTTAGGTAGTAGTAGTACTAGGTACCTCTGGATGCCTCTCTTTCAGGCTCCAAGTCAATCCAGATCTGCGTTGCATTGCATTGCATGTGCATAGTACAGTATGGAATGGAAACAATGAATGCTGTGCCGCAATCCAAGGGCAGGGCACAAATTGAATACCTGGACCTACCAGGTAGTATGGTGTTCTGGACCCGTCTGGCGTCTCGACCCTGCTGCCTCATCCAGCATCTGATCGTCGGCCTGACTTGCTTCTCCTACCGTGATCTGGCACAACATGAGCATCAATCAATAATGGGATGGCGTGGGATGTCGGCATGACTCGACGCATTGCTCCTGTCTACGAGCTTCACGCCTCCACTGGCAGTCGGAGACCGTCTTTTTTTATCTACCGCGGCACTACATTTGCTGGCTTGACTCTGCCAATTTGATCTTTTGGTACCTTGAATATATGCTGTATAGTACGCCGCACTTCTATATCATTTGACGCCCTGTTCACGCAACCAGCCTTCGCTTTTTCCCCTCGGGGCTCTTTCCCGACCTATGAACCACTTCCACAGTGGCGGTGCTATTCAACTTTCCACCCGACTGTGCCAACATGCGGCAATTCGCAGCGTCGTGCGATCATGTGCACGTGTATCTGCAGTCGATCAATCAGTAACCGAGCCAAGCTAAATCAAAAGGAGAAGTCGAAAATCTTGTGTAGATGGCCAAGCCGCGGGCAGACGTGTTGATGCCCGACCAGGACAGGAAAGTGAACTTTGGGGTTGCAAGGAACTGGACTCACCCTCCATCAACGCGCAAATCCGCGCCAGTGACATATCGACTGGCGTCGCTGAGCAGGTAAACCACAGCACCCTGCAGGTCCTCTGGCTGACCCATCTTGCCCACGGGGATGAGGGACGTCCATGTCTTCTTGAGCTCTGGGTTGTCGTCCAGGATTTTGCGAGTCCTGAAGAGGTGAAAACACAGTCAATTAGCAAATGAACGCGACAAGGGTCAGAAAGAAAGGAAATCTGAGACATACAGTGCCGTCAACATGTACCCGGGACTGATACAGTTGACTCTGATATGGGCGTGAGCCCACTCCACGGCCAAACTGGCCGCGAGGTGTCGTACTGCTGCCTTTGCAGCATTGTACGGCGCCTGCGGCTGAGGCACGTTGACAATGGCGCCAGACATGCTGCCGATGAAGACGATGCTGCCGTGGGTGATGTTTCGCTGCATCAGGTGTCGGGCAACGCCAGTGGCGAACAGGTATGTGCCGTCCACGTTGACACCCCAGAGCTTTTTCATCCGTTCGTACGGGTACGTCTCTGCAGAGAAGTTCTCGGTAAAGCCAGCCGACGTGACCAGGTGATCGATTTTGCCGTGCTGCTCGAGGACCTCGTTGATGCAGGAGTTGACGCTCTCTGGATCCGCCACGTCACAGTAATGCGCCGTGATTTTTGGCACGACTTCTGGGTCGTCTGGATTCTCGCGGCGGAACATCTCGACAAGTTCTTTGGCTTGCTTTTCGCCTTCCTCCTCTGCGGAACGTAGTCAGTTAGTGTCGTATGAGGGGCAAAGACCATGCTATGCTTACTGTTCAAATCAACAATAGCCAAATCCGCGCCGGAGCTGACCAGCGCCTGTCCCATGACAAGTCCAAGACCACGAGCTCCACCAGTCACGATGGCGGTACGGCCCTCAAGGGAAAAAGTTGGCAACGTCCGGACAAAGTGCACGCCGCCTCTGCCCTGGAGAGGTCGTTGATGAGGAGCCAACGCCGACTCATCCTCCGGGTACTCGACAACAATGTCCTTGTCGGTCCGGGACGCTGCACCTTCGTGGGGGCCGGCCGACGTACCGGTAGCCTCTGTGCTGAGCTTATGGTAAGGGTCCGAACTGTCTTTTCTTCTTGGAGTGTATGTTATCCCTTGGGATGCAGTGCTGCTGAGAAGGCGAGCGCCCGTGGCCCTGACCGCCGGCACCGTTGTGAGGTGAGAGGCCAGGCGGCCCGACGCATGTCGGAGTAAGCGGAGTGTTGAAGCAGGGTTCATTTTTTGTAATTCCAACGGTGGCCGGTATTGCTCTTTGTGTTCTTCCCTTGCTCCTTTTCTCGGTGTGGTTGAGCCCGAAAATCTTGCTATCTCTCTCTGGTTGCTCCCGTCCTGGTGCCCACTAGCTTTTTCGTTGCGTTAAAGGTAGGCGTGTTATGATATTTCCTGCTTTGCAGCGAAATCAGACTCTCGTGGGGGTGTTGGGACTGTCGCTGGTGATGTTACACTGCGTCCTAGTTGCAGCAGTGGCTTGTCTCAACACAACTCAATGGCACCTGGGGGTCCGAGCGAAGTGCAATTGAGTTTTTCACTCGGTAATGACGGGGTGCGAAGTACTACTTCTCGTGAGAAGCTTCGAGACGGAGAGGTGTACGAATGGAGGGGGCGTAGAAGGCAGAGCAACCCAGACGTGGGATTCAGAGCTGGATCCCTCCGGAAGTGAGGACGGTGGGCTTAGACAGCTCGAGACAGCTGCACAAAAAGCTCCTGTAGATCCCTTGCCAGGTATGTACAATCACACACAGTAGTTGCAGATAATCGACACAATGGTCAATAAAAAAATTGTGTTACCATGCATTGCTCTGTACCTACACCTACACGTCGCCTACTATATCTCAGGCCAGGAGGCTGATGTCATGTCTGCCGATTTGGAGCTATGGCGGTGGGCAGCAAATGCCCGAGAGGCTTGAGGCCACCAGCGCAGGTTGAAACGAACGTTAGGCGTAGCTCTAGCTCCTTATCGGCGCCCCATCCGCTAACAAGCAGCATTTCCGGGCTTCCTTAGGTTGCCTTATTAGGGGACGAGAGGGAACGCTGGACAGGTGCAGCCCAGGCACACACTCGGAGTAACTCATGGCACGCAACGCAAGCGCAGGGACGGATCCAACTCGAGTGGATTTTGATCGGCCTCATCGCCTTTCGACTGTGGGAACGGTCTAAGAAATAGACTCCAAACAACCATTTCACTTGTGTCCAAAAAGTCGAGTTTGACAGACTTTCTGTCGTCCAGCTCCACTGATCAACGGTACCGGTCAGAGAGTCCGGTCTTTCACAAGCAGTTTTCCCATGCCATGAAGAAAAGGAGATATCCATCCGGTAAGAGCGCGCTCCGCCCAGATTGGCCTCGGTGGAGGAAGTGGAAATGCCATTTTGCAGCCAACGGGTTGGTGCCTTCAGTCATGCTCTGGAGGTATCAACATTTGCCAATTGCCATATTATGCCTCAGCTGTGTACGTACTGTACACTAGACTTCCTACAAATGTTGTGGTTAAGGTAACCCCGTACTATCAGGTATCAAAAAACTGCTTCTCTGTGCTGTTGTGAGCGGTAAGGCAGGCACTGCGAGTGTCCAGTACATCGGAAAAAGAATACTGCGCTGGCAGTGTTTGTGCCAAATCCTTATCCAAGTCTCACTGTCTCAAGCCTTCCCCCTCCGTCTCCCAACCTTCCCAGCCCATCTCTCCCTGAAAAACCACAGCGTTCCCAACACCGCCGACGCAAACCACAACACCATCCCAGCCAAATCGAACCCGACAGCGACTTTCATACGGTGAATACCTTGGTCCATCTCGACCTTTTCGCCCATATACATTGTTCCAAAGATTCCCGAAAGGGCAGCCCACAGGATCACCAGCACCCACTCCCAGAGGAAATAGAGAGTCACACTACGGTAATGCAGAAACACAGACACCACTCCGTACACGATGGCCGTGAATGCAGCCAGTGATCCGACGACCACCGCATAGACCTGCACGATAAAGATTAGTCTGGCGAATTCGGGAGCGATGGACCCCTCGGAGTGAGAGGACGGGGCTATTCTCACCCATTTGCCATCGGTGTATTTGTCCTGCTTGTGCGCGTGGTTGAGGTCGATTCCGTACAATCCAATCACCACCAAGCCGTCAATTAGCTGCATGGTGCGCAGCAACAGGTTGAGGATGCTGGATAGTCGGAAATTGGTGAAGATGCTGCTGAATGGTGCCATTGTGATGGCAATGATACGCTAAAAAAGGTATGTTGGAGGGAGAAGTGCTGAGTATCAGGACGGTAAGTGACGATGATGGTTGAGCTATCGTTTTCTTTTCTTCGGCTCCGTCTGTTGTGATATAGATGGGAGAGTTTCCTCTTGCGCGCTTGTTGATCTGAACTCTTGCTTGGTTAGCAGAATGGAAAATGTCCTAGTATGGTGGCGGAAAATATGTCTTCGGGGCTCGCCTTGCCCTGAGTCGAAATCTTGATGGAGTGTTTAGTTGACGAGAAGGAAAACGGCGGCCGAGGGACTTGAGGCTGAGGTCTGCTGTACCTATGTGTCGTGGACATACAGGACCTTATGTGAGCTCCTTTGTACCGGTCCAAGTCAATCGCTCAGGTACCTCTTTCTGAGATAAAGGGCGCAAACAAGACCCTCTACCCTAGTCTGACTCAAACAAAGAATGTCACCCCTCAAGGCTCTCGTTTGTCACCCTTTGTCACCCACCCGACTTGGAAGGCGTGGAATTCAATGTTCAATGTCCACTATGGCAGACAAGCGTAAGGCTCATAAATACTTAAACAAAGCCTCCTTTATCCCGAATAATAGTAGTACACCGTGACTGCAACGATGCGTACAGGTAAGTACCTCATGGTAGAGGTCACTTGTGGAGTGTGCCCGCCTTCACGCCGAATTGAATATATGGGAGTACCAGTAGCGATATTTTATATGGCTTGTACGCGGTCGGAAATATTGAAGTTGGTAATGGGAGTATAAAAGCTTGGAATACTGTACTGCAACTGTCGCCCACTGCCAGTGCGTCATGGGACACCAGACACCCTCGTCTTTAGGCCGGTGTTGGAGTGGCTAGATCGTCAGGCATCAGACGAATGGGAATGCTGGGGGCAACAAACAATGTCTTCGTTGATCAAGCCTCAACATCGCCGGAAAGTACCCAGGCCCCAGTTGTCAGGCATATCAAGTCATAATCCCTGTCCGCCCATAATACCACATAGGTACATACCTACTTTAAATCTACAACAATAATGATAGCCAAAGCCTTGGCTGTCTGAACTACATATGCAGGTAACAAGCACACAATCATAATCGCAATGTACTGTACTGATATGGAGAGGAGTAATAGTTATGTGCAGGCTATGCTATGCTAAGGGCGCTCAGCTAGAGCCGAAGTAATGGTAAAACAACTAGATACACAAACAACAGACTTGGAGGGGGTAGGTATTAAGGCGCCAAACGAATGACCAAACAGACCTGTGCAAGTACGGAGACAGAGACAACGAAAGAGCAAAGAATGCAACGCAGACGGGCAACGAGCAAAAGCAGAAAAACGCAAACGGAGCCATTCGATGCTCAACGTCAGCGTATTCCTCCGCCTCCACCGCCGCCCTCTCCGGTCGCTTCTCCAGCTTTGTCCGTTCTCGCATGGGACGCTGTACCTGCCGACGGCTTGCCGGTGTTCGCCTCATGAGGTGTCGGCGCAGGCATCGGAATCGGGTCATCGTCGTAGCCATAGTCCAAGTCATCATCGCCGAGTTGGTCCAGTGGTTGGTTGTCATATCGTTGTTGATGAGCCGGCCCCGTAGCATGGTTGGCTGCTTTGGCCGCGTTCTTCGTCTGCTTCCGCCCCTTTCTCCCCTTCAACTTGGCCTTTTCCAACAAGCGCCTCTTCTCGGCCAGTCGACGCCGCTCTTTCCGGTCCTTTATCTCGTATTGCCGAATGAGAGCATGAGGCGGCTCGCCAAATATGGCCTCGTACTCACAAAACTCGCAGATCCAAATGTCCTCCGGGGCCGGTGGATGTTGGAGGTTGTTGTACTCTTGTTGAAGCTTTCTTTGCCGAGCAGCCAATGCATACACGTCCCCTTTCCGTCTTCGGGGCTTCTTCCCTTGCGCATTGGCAGTCCCGGGCGCAGCGGGCGCAGTCGGGGCCGACTGATTGTTTTGAGGAGGCGCATTCGCAGTGGTGGCCGCTCCCGAAGCCGATTTCTGATAGCTGCCGGATTGAGAAGCTGGAGTCTGATTGTTCCGTTGGTTATACCCGGGAGAATACAGGCTTTGCTCGGGAAAAGTCACTCCTTTGGCCTCCGTCTCACAGGTGAAGGTGAACTGTGAGCTGGTATGTCCTTCTTTGACTTGTTGGTCAAGTACGCCAACATTCTCCTGTCCTTTGCTCAACGGTTTACGAAGCAATGCCGTGGCGTTAGCGATCGCGGCCGAAATGATGCCTTGGTCCTTTGAATCCTCAGCTGCTTGATTGTTAGCCCATTCCACTCCTCGTAGCATTAGTGCGGTATCATGTTACCTTTAGCGTTGGCGCTCATATTCAGGTCGTACTTTGACGGACCACTCCGAGCGTTGGAGCCATTAACCGACACGCCTAAGGGATTCCGACCGGGAAGTTTTCTGCCACCACGTCCTCTGCCAGCACCCTGAACTCCAAGACCGGCACTGCCTCCTGAATGCTTCGTCGTTGTATGGTAAGAATCGTCGGCGGGGCCATCTTTACTGCCGCTAAGACTCAGGCGCGCGAGATCGTTGGTCATCGTCGAATGGTGTAGACTCAAACTGCCGGACGTCGGGATCTTCCGCTTCTTTTTGTTGTTCGTATTTTCAAACGCTTCATATCCATCAGGTCCTGAAGTACCACTTTTCGTTGAATGCCTCGCGTGTTCTGGCGACTGGGGAGACCGTGGCGAGTTCAAAAAGTAATGGCTGACAGGGACCATACCTTCGAGATCATCTAGATCATCCTCGTAATCATCGTGGTGGCAATGATGGTGATGATGGGGACAGTCATGATGGGCATGATCGTCTTCAGGATGATCGTGGTCATGGTCGTGATCGTGATCGTGATCGTGGTCATAACCGTCGCTGTGGTGATGGGCCAGGAGTTTGCCATCGTTGGCATATTCCCCGTTTTCCCCGTATTGAGTGTACGTCGGTAAGCTTGTCGAAGGCAGCGTAGGCGGGTAGGTAATGGCTTCTGCGGCCTCTTGGGACAATCGACTCTTGAGCGAACGCTTGGGGAGAGGTCGAATCAACCGTTCCGGAAATACGGTCGACGGGGTGTCGGGAGAGGAGAGGTAAGACGTATCTGAAGATTCAAGTCAGCACTACAGAACAAAAGACACCGAGGCAGAGGCGAGTCTAATCGCGAGAGACATACTGTACGCCATACTGACTTCCCCCTTCTCTTGTGTAAAACCACCTAGGATTTTTCAAGACCCCATTCGAGTGTGACTAACGGCCGAACGATGAAGTCTGTGAGAAGCAACTTGCTGTTAGCGATGGCCTCACAAGATGCATGGCACCAGTGGAGCGAAGACAGCAGTCTTCCCGGCCACGACTCTTCTCCTTATCCGTATCCGACTGAGGACATGAAGAGGGAACCTACCCTGGTGAGAATTATTCAGCCAGGGCTGACTGGCTCTTCGACACGCAACGCCCGACTGATATGACTGGAACTGCTCAGCTCTTTGGAGACTGTCGATGATATGGATCGAGAGAGAAATATCCAAGGATTCAAGAGAAATTTTAACAGACACGATTGCAAAGTCCGGTGGCCACAATGTATCTTTGAACGATGGAAGCTGGGTTCAAGTTCTACGGTAGTTCCTAGTAGTAGCGGCGCAGTCGGTTTCGGTTCAGTGTCCGTTTCACTTGCCAAGGTTTGCAGTTTAGCATTGTTAGCGGCGTACTAGTACCTACCTAGTCTGTAACTCGCCCTTAAGTGCTCGCGCCTCCACCCCATCGGGTAACAAGGTGATGCCGCCCTTGTCACCTTCGACTCGCGTGAGCCGACGAGCCGGTGAGTGTTCAGCCTTGTCATGACTCCGAGTCACCGGTTGTGGTGACAGCACTGTGTTGGGACGTAGCAAGCATGGAATCTAGGTACTAGGCACTAGGTGGTCTATCCTATCAAGCTCTGTTTACTAGCCACCATGGATCGATGTCACTACTGCGAACTAAGGTACTGATGCAGAATTGTGTCATTCTCGTATTGGATCAGGCGTGCATGCACTTTCAAGTTATGCAAAAGCCAACCCGACTCCTAGACGCCATACAATGATTTTCATTCGAGGAGTGTGATCTTCTTCCAAACCTATCCTAAGAGCGTGGGCTGGCTTGACTCCGAGTTCCCCTGAATGGGATTCCTGAGCCTGGGGTGCTGCTCGTCTAGGTCCATGTCAAAAGTCATTCAGCACCGCCCTTTCCTGGTCTGCGCGCTTACTGGACCTCCTGAGACACCAACGTCAAGCAACATGGTTCATGCGCCAATGGTTGAAGCTCGTTACTCTTCAGCGAGGGTTTGTCCCTCCCTTAATCCCTCGACCTTGAGTTCTTCACCCATGGCTCGGCGATAGAGATCTCTCACATTCTCTGTCACCGTCTCAAAGTGACTCGACGCGTCGAAGCTGTTGGAAATGAAAACGCGGTCGTTGACCCCACTCTCCAGAGGCTGGTACAACGGGATAGGCGGACCCATAAACTTCTCTTCAATACGACCCAACCTCTCCAGGCCAGGCTGGAGTTCGAGATGATGGTTCGCCGGAGTCTCGGCAATCGTCGACACGATTGCAATGTAGTATCCTTTGGGACAGACATTGTGAGCCGACGAAACCATGGCAATGTAAATGTCATGTTTCCGGCCGACTTGCGATTGAGGGATGATCAACTGGAGCGAGTCTGCATCACCAGTCTTTTCAAGTGGGTGGTTGAGAATGCAAATGGCTTTGAGCAGATGGCCCACCACTTGGACCTTTCCGGGGAAGTACGAGGGATCGCCCAGGATCATTTTGGTCTTTGTGCTGAACTTCATGCCCTCGCCTTCTTCGCCTCTCTCGCGCATCGTAGCTTTAATGCCGCTGATCTTGCCGCCGTCGTACAAGAACTCGTCAACCGAGGTGTTGAGCATGTACGTTCCACCATAGATGGCAGACAGACGGGCAAATCCTTGCGGCAGTTCTCCGAGTCCGTACAGGGGGTAGATGTACGGAGATTTGCCGTAGCGAGCCATTGAATTGACGTACAGTCGGATCCGCTCAACTGTCTCCTTGGCCATTCCCGGTGTGTTGATGTAGTCGTCCGTGGGATAAAGGGCCATGGCGTGGCCGATGAAATCCCGGGTTGTCGCTTCAAGGCCGAACTTGTCGTAGACCTCTCTCATTGTGCACTTGTTCAGGTTGAATCCTACTCGACAGAGAGTACCGCGTCAGCATTACCGTCCAGAACCCCATAGACGGGGATACCCACCATTATGTGTTGATGGATTGTTATCGTCGAAAGATCCCACCCATTCCAAAAATTTCTTTGCTCTCCTTTTCTCAAACAATCCCATCAATGGCGAGCTCAAAGCTTCGGCAGCAGTGGATGGGACCTTGGCGACCGTGGCTCGAGGCCCGGAGCCTTGTTGTACAAAGCTTCCGGCAATCTGTTTGAATTCGAGGTATCGAGTAACGTCGGTGGATACGAGGATATTGGTGAGTTCTCCGTTTGCCATCAAGAACTTCGGGACCAGGTCGATATTCCAATCGTTCACACGACCATATTTCTTCCACGGTTCCTCGCCTTCCTTGTAGTTGCCATATCTCTTGAATAGCTATGCGAGCAGACGTGAGTAATTATCCTCTCTCTTGTTGCAGGCTTGCATCGGGGTTCTGTTCACTTACGGCCTCGATATTTACGGAGGCGGCCTCACTGTGCATCATCATCAGTACCATTCGCGACAGACCCATGGTAGTTTATGCCATACCCGCCATAGTGGTCATTCCGGTCAATGTGAAGGACTTTCTTTCCTTTGACGGAAAGAACACTACTTCGCTGTTAGTATGAAGCAGGCCAAATCGACGGTTGGGAGCACTGTACCCAGAAAGCACACACTCCGTCAAACCTGTAAATCCAGTTAACTCGGCGCACGGGGAGGGGTTGATGAGGCGGCATTCATACCTGTGCCCAGGACAATGACATCGTATTCAGGGGCGATCTCATCCATAACTGCAGATTCAGAGGGTTTCTATCGTCGAGCAGACGGTGGACAGACAATCCAAGGGGGGACAGACGCCGCGACAAAGGGATTCAAGGGTCGGTGAACGTTTGGAGTGTTTGGTGTCTGCACTAACGATCCCGCAGGAACGGCGTTGGATGTTGATATCAAGCCCCCAATGAGGTCATGCGCGCCAAGGCTACTGCGTCTCAGATTATGGTTCGCCGTACCTAGTATTGCTCAGCGGCCTCAGCCTTGTACAGCCTTGTCCAGCCTCGTGTCTCCTATTCAAAGGGCTAAGCCTTGCGAATTCCTATGATCGCTCGTCGTTCATATGAGTGCTCTGATGTCTGTATTTTCTACTCTACTGTCTTCAACCAGCGCCCCATTGCACCGGTCGCCGTAAGGCGATACAGCTGATTCCATGTGCTCCACTCGGCGCAGTGCCCCAAGTTTCTGGTAACATACATCATACAAGGCGTCAGTGTTGACAGTTGCAGTCAGAAGTAGTTGTGCAATGCTTTGGCCTGATTTGCTATCGTTCCTCAACGTGCGGCGGCTCAGGAAGAAGCAGCAGCCTCCGCCGCCTTCCGCATCCGCTCTCGTGTTATCTCAATCTGCTTGGTCAGTCTCCAAGGGTAATCGAACTTGTCCATGTGGATTTCACAAAGCTAAAGACCATGTTAGCATTCCGTGTCTGACTGGCCTTGCGCCGCGGCTGCCTACCTGGATACTTTTGCCGCTGCCGAACTCTTCATCTTTCAGGATCGTCTCGAGCTCCTCCACTGTCTTGGCTGCCTGGCTTCTTGCCTTGATACCTTTCTCTTCTGTTGCTCCGAAGAACTCCAGCATCTTCTGGTAATCCCACATCATGCTCACGTCATTGTACTCTTGGTTGGGTCCATGAATGGCTCTCTCGATGGAATAACCTTTGTTGTTGATCACAAAGATAATTGGCTTGAAGCCGTAGCGGATGTATGTTCCGATCTCTTGGACAGTCATCTGCAAGCTTCCCTCGCCCACCACAAGAACGACACGTCCAGGGTGTTGAAGTTCTTTGGCGGCAACTAGGGCACCGAGACACGATCCCACCGTATAACCAATCGAGGACCAGAAGATCTGGGTGATGTACTTGACGTTGGATGGGAACGTGGCGTCAGGTGTGCCGAACTGAGCTGTCCCAGATTCGGTCAAGACGATGTCGTTTTCCTTAAAGAAACGGCCCAGCCGCTGCCAAACGTAGGACTGCTTGATCTCTCCGGAGGTAGCATTGTTCAGGACAGGGGGTTCAAGACGTGCCTTGCTCTGAGGACGGGGGAGTTTGTACTTCTGAGGCTGTGATTCTAGTTCGGAGACAATGCGTTTGAGGACAGGTAGAAAGTGTATGTCATCAAATCGCTCTCCCTTCACTTGACAGTAGTCGTGACCAAGACGAACCAGATTGTCGTCCTTGATCTCTCTCGTAAACCCTCCTGTGTTTGAATCTGACAGAAGCGGGCCCAGGTTCAAAACCAGGTCAGAGCCTTCAACTCCTTCGGCAACGCCCGGGAACGACACTTCGCAAGGCTTAGCTGGGTTTCACAACGCAGCAGGCTGGATACTTACCCTTTCCATTGTACACGCCGTTAAAGTATGGAGCGCCCTCGTCGATGATTCCCTTCGACAAGGGCGTTGAGTAACTAGGGAACTTCGTCAATTCTGCTAATTTCCTCGTTAAATCTTGCCCTCCGTGGCGCAGGGCTAGCACATCAGCCAATATCGATGGGTTGGATGCTTTCTCGATTTCTGAGAGAATGAGACTGACGAGACGATCCTCAGACGCGGTGTCTGAATTTCGGACCGCTGTGTCGAGCGGTGTCTCGAGCCGTTTGGCACCCAGCTGCACCGAGACGACGTCAGTGGGCACGTAGATATAAACCGGAAGTCGGCTGTGGACACAAGCAACGATAACCCGATCGATTTCATCGGCCATGGTCTTGTCGTCCATCAAGTATGCGTAAGTCTTGCGAATCGGTGCAGCCATCTGGATGTAGATCGCAGGATCCATGTTTGGCTCCATGGTATGATGAAGCATGGCGCGGGCTTTCTGCACTGATGTCGTGAACAAGGGCGTCAATTAAAGCCAGCCACAACATATCCATGTGTTGGGCAGAAGGGGTTCAACCTACGGGGTCTCGCTGGCATGCCCACTAGATGAATCATCCCAGCATGCTCCGCGTATGCACCTCCAACACCGTTCATGGCGGACAGCTCTCCCACGGCGTAAGTCGTCACAAGCACAGCTGGCGATGTCTTGATCCGCGTGTAGCCATCGGCGGCATAGGCGCCGTTGAGCTCATTGCAACAGCCTATCCACTTCAACCCGGGAACATTGTAGATCTCATCGAGCAGGGTGACTGGCAGTATGCAAGGTCAGCCGGTAGGGAGCTGGAATGTGTAATATCCCCTCTGGAGGATATACATATGTGTGAACTTACGATTGAAGTCACCGGGAACTCCAAGAATGTGCTCTGTTCCCAATTCCTTGATCCTGCGGAAAAGGTATTGGCCGAGTGGAACTGTAGATGGCGACATGGTTCCCTTGAAAGCGTGTCTCAAGGGTGAAAATCCAAGTTGCTGATGCCCACTATCTTTCAACTGCTGAGCGGACTGATGGTGGTTATGGTAATAAGAGTACATACAGTATACGCAGGGGGGTAATTGAGGACTTGTACGTTCGGCCGGTAAACAACCGAGGCAACGTCATTCGCAATCCACTACCGCACCGCTTATCAACGGACATTCACCATCCTACAGCAGCCGATGAATGATTGGAGACGGCTGGCACCGGGAAGGATGATGACCACGCCCTGTGAATATGAGACGCCTCTATCCGAGATGACTGCCTATCACAAGTGAAGCAAGACGCGTAAGAGTGTCTGCGAACTGGACGGCTGTCTCGGAAACTGCGTCGTTGCTGCCATCTAGGATTAATGTCACTCTTGTCAGAAAGCCTCGCCTTCCCACTTGTTCGACAATGTTTACTCGGTAACTCAGTAGTATCTGTAGCTTAAATTGTATAGCAGGATCTTTCTAGCTTGGTTGTTCCGAAAAGCGCTACACCCATGTCTAGAGGCAATGATCGAAAATAGAGCGGCCTGTATCATCCAGATACAGCTGCGCCGTGTGCATTGCCAGACAAAAAGTATAATATATTCACACATCCGAGCAGGCGGTTGTGACCTTCTGCTCCATACCTTCGGCGTCTCGTAGATCTCTAAACGTCCTGCGACCCTTATCAGGTCCCGGCAGGCTTCCATCCACGCCTTCAAAGAACGATGCAGTGGCCGATTGGGGCTGATATCCTTCTCACCGAGTGAATACTGGGCCGGTGGGTCGAATATTGTCATACAACCGTCTGCCGGAGAACTTCGCCCAGGGGTCTGTTATATAGAGCCGGACTGTCCCGGGTGAGAGACAAGTTGTGGTTTGTAAGCCGTCTCCCCTACGCCGTGGGAACTTTGTCACTGGGAAGGCGTCGTTTTGATCTTCAATCCTTGAACCAGAATCAACTAGGCATTGTTCGGGATGCTCCTTGAAGGGCACCCAATCTGGCTCTGACCAACTGTGGTGAAAGCGCATGCCCTGGTTCTTGGGTTTGGAAGCGTGGATTGGAACACGATTGTTGATGCTGGCGACCGCGTTGAAAGTGTTACCACTCTTGTCAGGTGAACCTGAGTCCACGATCCTGACGCCTGACTTGATGGATTGTCGTTTGTCGATAGAAGAATTGAGAATAGTGTTGACCTGGCGGAGGAGCTGGACAACGAGGTGAAAAACGTATTCTCGAGTGTACGAAGAGTGTTCTGATGAAATCTTGAGGCCGAATTCAATCGTGGGTATTGTCCACGGTTCTGAATTGGGTCGCTGAAGCAGAGTCGGGTCACTGTGGAGTCACGGTCCTATGAAGCAGTTCCCGGCCGCGCTTGAGGACTCTGTTCAGCATCCGACGACGGAAGCTGTTCAAAAGCGGAAGTGTCCTCGTCGAGGGACTCTGGACCTTCCAACAATTCCTTCACAGGCCGTTGACGGATCAGTAATTGGGCCTGCTCATAAGAAAGCTGTCGATCGGCAAGGACTTCGCGAATCAAAGTCATCGTCTCGCGGATCTAGATGGACGACTAATTAGCACTTCACTTCCAGCTGGTTGTGTCCATAGCCAGATAGCTACGGTCGTTCCACCAACTCCACGCTCGTGGAACAAGCATATCGTCCAGTATGGAATGCCTGGTGTAGGCGTTTTGAATGTGGACTTACAGCTTCCACTCTCTCATCGCTTTCCAGACCACCATAACCCGCTCGGACACGGCGTCTCTCCTTTTCTGCAGTCAAAGTACGATTTTGCTCCTTGATACAGACCCAATAAAGCTTGTGTAAGTCGTCAAAGGATTTTACGGAGAGTTCCTGGTAAGTCCACGCTCGGCCTAGGGTGTACAACATCAACTAACCAGTTCCCAATGCATTGTTGGTTAAGGGGGGGATCATACCATGGTTGGATTCTTCCTCCGGTGGGACCATTGGTTCCCTCTTTTTATTGAAGAACCCCCAAAGCCCATGACCTTCCGAGCCTGAATAGTCCGGCGCAGTGCCTGTATGGTCCCGTGCAACAGGCACGGGCAGAGGATGCTGCCATAAGCCCCGAGTCGACCTGGGCCCAGTTCGGCGGATCGCTGACACACCGCGCTGCTTGTTCTTGTCCTGCTTGGGTTTGCGGTTCAACCGCGGCGCCGCGAAAGATCTCGACTGTGTTGCTAGCACCTCCAGAGGTCGCGCGAAAGCGGGAGCGAGAAAGAGAGGGACACTCGTTGAAGCGGACGGTCGCGCGAAGGTCCGGGTTAGAGACGCCATACCGGCTACGAAGAGCGTGTAGTCGTATATATCTCGGGCTGGAGCTCTAATCCAGAGTTGAGATATATATGATGGTGAAGCTCTCCAGTGCAGATGCAAGCCACTGCAACGAGTTATGAAGTTTCGGTCGGGCATTGAGTTGGACGAACACGCCAAGTCTCCGGAGAAGCAATGAAGCGGAGACGACAAATCCTCGCCGCACCTTCCCAACACAGTGTTGATTGAGTCTAACCGCTTCTAGAAGGATAAACAACCCGAACCTGCGACTTCAAGAAACACACGGGCCGTACACACGTCCATATCCATCGCGATCCCTCGCCCTGCTTGCACCCGCGCGTATCAAGATTGACGCTGGTGGCGGAGTGCCCTTTGGCAAGATGAAGATCATCGAACTGATTATCGATGGGTGAGCCGATTATTACCATGGCGTCCGGATCTGGGACTAATGGGGTTCCACAGATTCAAATCCTACAGCCAGAGGACCGTCATATCTGGCTGGGACCAAACTTTCAATGCGGTTACCGGACTCAATGGATCGGGGAAATCCAATATTCTCGATTCGATATGTTTCGTTTTGGGCATCACCAACATGTCCACCGTGCGGGCGCAGAACTTGCAAGATCTGATATACAAGCGCGGTCAGGCGGGCGTCACCAAGGCAAGCGTAACCATCGTCTTCGATAACAGCGACAAGAGTACGAGTCCGATTGGGTTTGAAGAGTATGGGCAGATCAGCGTCACGCGCCAAATAGTGATGGGCGGTACAAGCAAGTATCTGATAAACGGTCACCGAGCACAACAGACGACGGTGCAGAATTTATTCCAGAGCGTCGGCTTAAATATCAACAATCCAAATTTCATCATCATGCAAGGTCGGATCACCAAAGTGCTTAACATGAAACCTGCCGAAATCTTGGCCATGATCGAAGAAGCGGCAGGAACACGCATGTTTGAGGACCGGAAGGAGAAGGCCACGAAAACAATGGCCAAGAAGGAAATGAAGGTGGTGGAAATCGAAGGATTGCTGAGAGAAGAGATTGAGCCTAAGCTGGATAAGCTACGAGGCGAGAAGCGCGCATGGCTTGATTATCAGAAGACACAGAGTGAGCTGGAACGATTGACCAGGGTGGTGGTAGCCGCCGACTATGTTCGAGCAGGAGAAAAGATGCGGACGGCTTCGGAGGAGCATGAGTCAAAGAGAGCCAAGGTCCAACATTTGGAAGAAAATGCCGTCAAGCTGAAACGCGAGATTGAAAATTTAGATGAGGACGCCCAAAGAGTACGGGCTGTGCGAGAGAAAGAAATGCGGAAAGGTGGTCACTTTCAAGAGATCGAGACGCAAGTCAAGGAACTCAGTCACGAGCTTGTGCGATTGGCGACAGTGCTCGACCTGAAGCAGTCGAGTGTGGCAGAAGAAGAGCAGAAGAAGAAAGACATTGCCAAAACTGTGAATGGTCTCGAGAAGCAGGTTAACGACAAGAAGGCAGCTTTGGAACGGCTTCAGGCCAAGTGGAACAGCGCAAAAACGGATCTCGACGCTCAGACATCGGAAGTGGAAAAGAAAGAGGAGCTTCTTTCAACACTCCAGACCGGCGTGGCCTCGAGGGAAGGGCAAGAGACTGGATACCAGGGACAGCTACAAGAGGCACGCAATCGGTTGACGACGGCGGGCACGGAACAGGAGCAAGCCAAGCTGAAAATCTCTCATCTGCAACAACGCATCAAAGAGGACGAACCCCGTGCGAAGAAGGCGCGAGAACAGAACGCCGATTTGTTGAAAGGTCTCGAAACACTTCGGAAGCAAGCACGGCAATTGGAGAGCAATCTACAGAAGCTTGGGTTCGAGCCTGGACGAGAAGAGCAGATGAGAGAACAAGAGGTTGCCTTGCAGAAGAATAATCGACAGTTGACGAAGGAAGCAGACGAACTTAAGCGGAAAGTGGCCAATGTCGACTTCCATTTCAGCGACCCATCGCCCAACTTCGACCGGTCCAAAGTCAAAGGGCTCGTCGCGCAACTTTTCACCCTTGATAAGGACAAATCTATTGCCGGGACAGCTCTAGAGATTTGTGCCGGAGGCAGATTGTATAATGTGGTTGTCGACACGGCCGAAACTGGTACCCAGATCCTGCAAAAGGGCAAACTCAAGAAGAGAGTGACAATCATCCCTTTGAATAAGATCTCGGCTTTCAGAGCCTCGGCAGAGAAAGTTGGAGCGGCGCAGAGAATTGCTCCTGGCAAGGTCGATCTTGCATTGTCGCTGATTGGATATGATCATGAGGTATCGGCGGCCATGGACTATGTTTTTGGCACCACGTTGATCTGTCATGACGCAGAAACGGCCAAGCGTGTCACGTTCGACCCGGCGGTACGGTTAAAAAGTGTAACGCTTGAAGGAGACGTCTATGACCCATCTGGAACGCTGTCTGGTGGCAGTTCGCCGAACACAAGTGGCGTCCTTGTCATCCTGCAGAAGTTGAACGAGGTGACCAAGGAACTGCAAAGAAATCAGGCCGAGCTTCAGAGTTTACAACAGACCATGAGAGATGAACAGAGCAAACTTGCCAACATCAAGGCCGTCAAACAGGAGCTTGACCTCAAAACACATGAGATCAAGCTCAGTGAAGACCAAATCTCGGGAAACTCGTCTTCCTCCATTATCCAAGCCATCGAAGAGATGAAGACGTCCATTGTTCAGCTTCAACAAAACATGTCAGACGCCAAAGCTCGACAGGCAGAAGCCGCCAAGGATGTCAAAAGGATCGAAAAGGATATGGAAGACTTTAGCAAAAACAAGGACAGCAAGTTGAAGGAACTGGAGAAGTCGTTGACGGAGCTCAAAAAATCTCTTGGTAAGACGTCCGCGGCGATCAAATCTCTACAGAAGGAATTGCAGGACGCCCGAATAGACTGTGAACAGGCCGAGAGTGATCTGAGTGCGGCTCAAGAGCAGCTTGCCGAAACCGAAGCCGCCATCGAGAGCCAGATGCAGGAACTTCAAACCCTCCGAGAGGAGGAGGCCGCCGTCAAGAGCAAACATGACATTGCGCAGGCGGAACTTGCCGACGAACGAGCAAAGTTGACCGGTTTTGACGATGAGCTCCGGGAGCTGGAGCAAGCCAAATCACGCAAGTCGAAACAATTAGCAGAAGAGGCCCTTGAAGTACAAAAGCTCGGACATGCGGTGGAAAAGGCGCAAAAGGACGCGCAAGCCGCGGCACAGATGGTGGCAGCATTGGAGAAAGAGCACGACTGGATCGAAGACAACAAAGACCAGTTTGGGCGAGCCGGGACGCCGTACGACTTCCAGGGCAAGAACCTAGCCGAAAGCCGCGCGACACTCAAGAATGTCACCGAGCGGTTCCAGGGCATGAAGAAAAAGATCAACCCGAAGGTGATGCCTATGATCGATAGTGTCGAGAAAAAAGAGGCCAGCCTGAAACACATGTTGCGGACCGTGGTGCGGGACAAGAAGAAGATTGAAGAGACGATCAGCACGCTCGATGAGTATAAAAAGGAGGCACTTCTCAAGACCTGGCGTAAGGTTACTGAGGATTTTGGCAATATCTTTTCGGACCTCCTGCCGGGAAATAATACGGCGAAACTGGTGCCTCTCGATGACAACATTGACCGAATCCAGGAAGGCCTGGAGGTTAAAGTGTGTTTGGGCAAGGTGTGGAAACAGAGTCTTACCGAGCTTTCGGGAGGTCAAAGGTACGGATTTGAGAGACTCACAGATGTGGTGTGGTGCAGCAGCTGACATTTATTGAAACAAACAGATCTCTCATTGCTCTCTCTCTCATCCTTGCTTTGTTGCAGTTCAAGCCGGCTCCAATGTATATTTTGGACGAGGTCGATGCCGCTCTCGATCTTTCGCACACCCAGAATATCGGCCGCATCATCAAGACGCGCTTCAAGGGGTCGCAGTTCATTGTCGTCAGTCTTAAAGATGGCATGTTCCAGAATGCCAATCGGGTCTTCCGCACTAGGTTCAGTGAGGGCACTAGTGTGGTGTCGGTCATGACGCCGGGCGAGCTGAAGGGATGAAATGGATTGGAATGCAAAAGAAAAAGAAAGAGTCAAGACTGTGAGGGGCTCAATGGCATGGTCTGCGGCTCGAATTGACATATTTTCTTGCTTTGCTTTTCTCTTAGGGATGGTGATGGTGATTATGGATGGGTCCGCTGGTCTCCAGATGCATGAGATGAGGCGAGGCAAGCTCGGGTTTCTGGCGTATATATTACTTTGTCTTTCGTGGCGACTGGCAATCTGGATGGTGACGATGCATGACGTGGCGCGATCGGTTTCTCTTTTATTGCCTGTCTTGTTCTTGGACTTGTTGAACATATTGTTTGAAGAATCATGTACAGTACGTTCAGATACCAATGATTGAGATGGAGCACAGTACAGTCAGAGGACCTACAATTACATTGAATTGGCCAATGCAATATCTGGGTACCTTATGCATGTATAAAATTTCTGTTGCGTGGCCCGATTTTGCTGTCTCTGTCTCTGCTCGGTATGGTGAGTACTTTGTACCTTTACCTTGTCCATGCTTTTTCTGCGTACTAGTATCTGTTGAACATGGATTGGCACAGACTGCCTGCCTGCCTTGTCTACGTCATGGTCCGGATATGTGTTTAAGAGCAGACCCCTTCCATCCTAAGGATCTTGATGCTGGCAGACATGCCTCCTCGAGACGCGGCAAGGCTGGTAGGAGGCGCCCAGACCATAGTGGTTGGGCGAGTATAACGCCGCACTATTTGACTCGATTGAAACGAGGATGACTCGACAAAATAACGCTCAATTATGTTTGAACTTGTATAATAATTAGATTCGCCTGCACCAACGCTCGCTTCAAACAAACATCTTCAAAACAATTTCCGCGCCGTCAAATGCTGATTTCATGGCATCGTCCTGCCTGGGATCGTCCCAGGAATTAATATTAATCGTCCATACATTCATTCCCGGCAACAAAGTTGCGGGCCGTCCCGATGGCGCATACCCTTCCGGAACCGGGTACAGCCGCATCGAGATGTGAAGTCTCAAGAATGATATTCGAGCGTCCAGCCCTTGCTCCCGGTGGCCACGAAGGATGCAAAAATCACGTTGTCGCCAAAGAGTGGGCCGGGGTACGTCGAGGCAACCGTCATTCTGGACTATCCAGTCATTGCGAAACAGCAGTGCATGCTCTCCGTAATAGTGTTCTGCGTCCGCGTACGATTCGGCATTGACAGCAAGGTGCGCCGAAGTGCCGCCCCACAGCGACCGCCGCCTCCCGAAAATGCACATGGGAGCGAACTCCTCGTCGAATCCGAATTTCATCCAGCAAATCCGGTCCCCGTTCTTATCTCGTTTCTGCGCGGGGATGTGAATCACCGCCACTGTCCCCCGTCCATCCGGTATGCCAAAGAAGATGGGCTTGCGAGGTAGGTCCGACACGCCGTTGAGACAGTAATGGGTGGCGAATTCAACTTCTTCTGCATTGTAACGGGTTCCAGCGCGCAAGCTATCGCGGAAATGGAATTTGGCGTCCACAAGCTCCTCGTCACTATAATCCGGCAAGTACAGGTCGTGAAGACGGAAACCCGGCCACCGATGCAGGGGAGCGTCAATTATGGTCTGTCGAACGTGGATAGGTCGAGCCTGACGCATGGAATCTCTCAGGATATGTGTCAGTTCGAGTGGCCACACTGTGGCTCCGGCATACTGCACGCGAGCAAATTGTTCCTGGACTCGAGAAGAAGTGAGCCGCTCGAGGAAAATACCGAGTCTGCTTTCCGGACGGTCTCTCAGGGTGCAGTTCAAAATGGCAAGATAGGTCTCCATGGCCCATGGGATGGTGGTCAGTTGGATCGACAGGCCGACATTGGTGATGGAGAAGCCGCCGGTGCTGAGTAACGTCCTGGTTGAAGGGACCACGTTTTGGCACATGACGAACTGGGATGGCGACGTGGCGAGAAGACCGCTGTGTCCGCCAAAGTAACCCTTGTGGCCCCGGTCCCAGGCAAAGATAGAATGGTCATCCGAGTGCTTGATGATTTCTTCTTGCAGACGGATGAAGGACTTCTCCCCTTCTCCATACAACATTGGCATGCTGACGTCAAAAAGCCCTAGAAGACTGTAAGCCCGGTCTTCGATTCGCTTCGTCTCTCGTTTCGCAGCCCACGACATGCGCTGCGCGACCGAACAGGTAGCCGGACCTCGGCGTCCGATCAGAACGTCCATGTCAATGCCTGTGACCTTGGAGAGGTAGCCTGCCAGCTTGTCCTTGGTGCCGAGAAACACCCAATTTCGATCGTGAAAACTGACATGCTTGGGGGCGATGAGCTCCTGTAACGTCCAACCTCTGGTGAACCAGACGCTGGTCGAGATCTCTTGCATGTGCACTTCGATGTCGGCCAAGAACGCGAAGCACACTTCGGCTTCCTTGTACCACCGGTACATGGAATTGATGGCTTCTGTCAGTTCAGACGAGCTCGTCTTGTCAATGCAACATGTGTCGACCCAGAGATATAAGAGACCCTTCTGCCTCGCCTTCCAACATGCCGACTGGATTTTTCCGTAGCCTTTCTTGCCAAAGATTTTCGGTGCTCCCATGTCCTGATAGGAGACTTCTTCCGATTCCCACCTGTGCGACAGGATCGCATATGGGGGCGTCTGCCCGCTGTGGAACTCCTCCAGTTGCATGGTGCGGACGTTGATTAACCGCATAGCGAACCAGATGAGCCCTCAGGGGCGACATTCGCCAGAGAGTGTTTGTACCGACCTGAAATTGAATTAATTTACCCTCAGCCTTGTCAGTTCCTCAACCCCGCGGCCGCTGGTTAGAGGAAAGATAAAATCTCCGTAGCGGGACTGCTCTCTCATGCTGGAAAAGATCCCTCCCTAATTAAATAGGCTGGATATTGTACCACGCCCCGCTAACAATCCCGCATAGCCTTGGATGAGCAACCCTCTACAGGTCAAGAACGACCACTCGTGTAGAGGAGGGGCACTTCATGCAGTGGGCGGACGAGCTGGCAGGGCTGAAACTGGCGGAACTACACTGCCAGTGCCAGTGGGGTGAGGCTCGGCTCCCGGTGCCTGAGAGAACAGGCATTTGAGATCGACCGTATAAAACTCCGGCAGATCATCAGTGGTACTACCGCAACCTGAACCCGCTTGATATTGACTTCCATCTTCCACGGCTCTCGTACGTCTTCAAGGTCTGCATTTCTGTTGACGCGAGACATCCTCGAACACTACTAGTACATCCTGGTTCCTCTCCCTGCAATCAGTACTGCAGTATCTACCATCATGGCTCCGGTAAGTTTGCGCCGGCACTCATGGCAGTGCGGTGCCCAGTGCTATTGCTATGTTGCCACCGCTCCATCTGTTGTCGGCATTATTGACTAGTACCTGTGTCCCCAGCGAGGATTCACGCTTCCCCCTGCAAACACGCAGTCGGCCAAGCAGGCGCGTAGTGCGTTCTTCTGCTCGCTGTGTCAGAAAGGATATAGCCGCATGAACGAGTTCGAAGCGCATGAATCTTCCTATGACCACCAACATAAGAAGAGGTTGAAGGAAATGAAGGAAATGCAGAGACAGGTGCAGCCGAAGAAAGAAGAGAAGGGCCCATTGATGCAGATAAAGCTAGGTCCTACTACGAAGACGACGACATCAGGAGGCGGCGGGTTTAAAAAGGGCGGGTTCAAGAATGCCTTTGCTCCCGTGGAGGGTGGGACCAATACTGGTCCTGCCAAAAAGGAAGCAGAGAGCGATGGCGACGTGAAAAAGCCTGCCGTGGAACCGGAGGACAGCGACATGACTGATGATGACGAGGACTACTACGATCCGCGCAGGCCGACTGGATGTATGCCCGGTTGTGCGAGCTATGTTCCTGCTGGCGCTTGACCTGATACGAGCGCATTCATTCACGTATCAGATTGTCAATGACGCTCGAATACCACGAACCTACTAAACACCATATGTTTAGTCCGGACAGACTACGCTCACCGTGCGAGACGTCCACTCGCCACGAAATTGCTGCTGGGATACGCCTTTGGAGGACCTACACGGTAATCTGGGATGTGGCGACCACTCCCCAGTGGCAACATACCCGCAGAACTTATCCGCGCTGATAAAATTCAGCCCGATTCTTCCTGCTGGTGAGGTGCGCTTCGCAATTCGCTGCTGAGCATCCGGGTCACAGTCGCTGCGAAACCTCTGGAACAGTTTCTGGAAATGGTACCACCGCCCAAGTTGGGCGAGGCCAAGAGGTCAGGGGATGAAGGTGTACAGCTGGACGCAGAAGCCTCCAAAACCAAATATGAGGAAACTGAGAACCGGACTAGCCTGGAGCTCAGGACGTCGAGGCCCGGATAAGCAGGACCATGATCCATCAACCTCTCACTATGATAAGATGGGTCAGAGCAGCCTGGAAGTAGTTCTAATGGGGAGGATTTTACTGCTTAGTATGCAGTATTCAACGCATATGAATAATGGTAGTTCTGCAGCAGCGGTGGTGGTATAACAACTCAATCGATTGCACGGATTTTCCACTTGTAGATCTCAGGCTTGGCAAAAAGTTATGCTTGCTTAGGTACGTCTCGCTTCACTTCCATACTACAACAGTCTATATATCTGTCAAGTCCTTGTCCATCGCACACATCTCACACGCTCTGGTCAAAGTCGGGGAAGGTAATGCGTATTCTAAAATGTTGTAAAAGTTTTCGACCAAACAGGAACACAGTCTTGGGACTACTAAACGATCTCTTTGCAGCCAGACAGGGTTTTCTCCACACTTCCCAGCGTAGCATAGGGACAACGCATCCCCGGCCCAAGATGACTTCCTCGGAGTCGTCAGAGCCAACAATCATCGATGGCAAAAAGTACAGGAGTGCCCAGGAAGGGCTGGCCTCGATTCTCGCTGCATATGCTGAGGAGAAGCCAGCATCAGGAAAACCATCGACTGGGAAGAAAGGGCACAACAACGATGAAGGAAATCAAGCCGTCTTCTACAATCCAATCCAGCAGTTTAATCGCGACTTGACGGTGCTTGCGATTACAGTCTACGGCGAGGGTGCACAGCTGGAGAAGGAAGAACGGTTCCGGCAGAAAACCAACCACGGCAAAGGCAAGAAGCAGAAACGAAGGGAACCCTCCACGGCCAAAGTTGATGAGACTGAATCCGCTCGCAGCGAGCCAGAGCAGTCCAATGCGCTCAAACGGAAAGCGAACAAACTAGACGAGGAAAATTCGGATCCGTTAACCAGCAATGCCAGTAAGAGGCCGAAATCAACGGCAGAACCTGAAGACGGGGAAGATGACCCGATGGTCATGGAATTAACTGCTGATCCAGCTGCTGGACAGGAGCACGACGAGCAGCAGCAGCAGAGAGCCAACACCAACGGCGTGACGGAAGGCAACGGGCAAGGAGGTCCGAGTACAATAGACCCGACCACCCCTACCAAGAAACAACTACCCTTTACCATTCTTGATGCCCTATCTGCAACAGGTCTTCGAGCCTTGCGATATGCCAAGGAGATACCGTTTGCCACGAACGTGGTAGCGAACGACATCCTTCCCGAATCGGTGCGGAATATCGAGCTCAACATCCAGCACAACCAGATCCAGGACAAAGTCCATTCCAATCTGGGGGATGCCCGAGCCTTCATGTACAGCAAAGTCGGAAACGAGAAGCGGGGACAGAGTCCGGAGTATGTTCATCGATTTGACGTGATCGACCTCGACCCGTACGGCACAGCTGCTCCATTCTTAGACGCCGGGCTGCAAGCACTGCAAGATGGAGGGATGCTGTGCGTGACATGCACGGATGCCGGCGTCTTCGCATCGGTCGGCTATCCGGAGAAGACGTACGCTTTGTACGGAGGCATGCCCATCAAAGGGCCGCATTCGCACGAGGGCGGCTTGCGGTTGATCCTCAATGCGGTGGCGCTGTCGGCAGCCAAGTACGGGCTGGCCATCGAACCCCTCTTGTCTCTATACATCGATTACTATGCTCGACTGTTCATCCGCGTGCACCGGAAACAGCAAGACGTCAAACTTCTGGCCGGGACCACGATGACGGTGTATAACTGCGGCCATGGGTGCGGGGCCTGGACGACACAGCCTCTATTACGGAGCCAGGCACAAGTGTCGAGAAACGGCGAGACGTTCTTCAAGTTTTCCTTTGCACAAGCACCTTCTACAACCCCGAACTGTGAGCATTGCGGATCCAAAACACACCTCTGCGGACCGATGTGGGCGGGCCCTCTACATAATCCGTACTTTGTGCAGAGAATGTTGAACAGAGTGCCATCCCTGGACAAGACGGTGTATGGGACGACCGAGCGGATGCAAGGAATGCTGACGCTGGCTTTGGAGGAAGATCTCACCTTGTCGCCGCAAAACAGACCCGACGCCTCGACGACAACCTCAACCGCTTCTGCTTCTACTGCTTCTGCTGCAGCCCCCGATCCCCGCATTATCCCGCGCCTTCCACCCACGACGATTGACAACAGTCCCTTCTTCATCATGCCCACCCAGCTAGCCAAGGTCATTCACTGCGCCACGCCCTCGGAAGACATGATGCGCGGGGCGCTCTTGGGGCTTGGATACCGCGTTTCCCGATCCCACTGTAAGCCCGGCAGCATCAAGACGAATGCTCCCTGGAGCGTGCTCTGGGAGATCATTCGCGAATTCATGCGGACAAAGGCACCGATCAAAGAAGGCTCTGTGAAGCATGGTTCCGCCGGCTACAACATTCTCGCCCGCGTCAGAGGCACCGAGAGAGCCCATGTTGCCGAGCTTAAAGATACCGTCAAGGATCAGCTTGTCAGGTGCGATACCAAGGATGACCTCAAGACTGTCTTGCAGGGTATGTTGTGGAAACTGGAGAATGAAAAGCCTGCGTCATCGTCGGCGGCGCTGCATGTCAGAGGAGAAGGAGAAGCAGAAGCAGATGGCTCCGGTTCCAAGTTATCTGCGCAGCCGCCTGCTAATAACGGTGTTCACGGCGAAATCGAAATTGAAGGTGGAAGGATAGACCAGGGCGAGGAGGGAGAGGGAGACAAATCCAAATCCAAACCTATGCAAAATGGAAGACCAAGATCCCGCTCCCGCTCACCAAGTCCGTCAAAAGTCACCAACTTGAGCAAGCTCAACATTGTCTTCGATGAGAAACTGGGCCGGGAAAGACGACAGGGCAAACTGGTCCGATATCAGATGAATCCAAGGGAGAACTGGGGCCCCATGAGCCGGGCTGGGCGAACTGGCTGAAGAATGAACAAAGAGCGGGTTTGGGATTGTTTTCAAATTAGAGAGGAACTGGGTGGTTGTCTCCCCCCGGTTCCGTTCTACGGGGTATGTTTGGGCAAATGTATTTCATTCTTGTTCTATGGCGACAGCAGTGGTGGACCGCCGGTGGACTGGGTACCCCAAGGTTCAAGTTCCTGCTGATTTGCGTTCCTGTAAACATTACAAGATATGTTCCGTCTATGCTGGAGAGCAACCCGCTATCTTCCATAATCTACTTGTTTTCATGACACCCTCACTCGTCGTGCATGTTCCCATGCGGTCCAAGGTGTTCAGGAATGGATGGGAACATGCACGAGGAGTGTTGAAATCGTTCTCTTCATATTGAGCCCGATGGCCTATCAGTAGGCATGTTGATCTAATTACATGTACAATGATTTTCGTCTCCTCCACACTGACTGACGGTCCTGAGATAGGCTTGTTGGGCTCTCGGCTTGGAGTAGGGTATCATGAATCTCCCTCTTCGCCATGTCAATGTGGTGGTCGCGGTGGGGGGATTTCCAGGGCCCTTGGAACTTTTCTTCTTCTATATTGACTTCCTGCACATCACCTGCCTTGGTCCCTTCCCTTCGTTCTTTCTGTATGGCACACTGGCAGGGCGCGGGCTGCAACCGTTGCAGTAAGTAATCTATCTATTCCCGCTTGAGGGAATGTGGATGAATAAGCAGAAAACGGTCAGCAAAGGGCATAGTCGATGCCATGGCTGTTTCTATGTTTGCTGCGAGACGGCGCGCGCCCCGCCCATATATGGATTGGCGAGTGGCAAGAAGGTTCATCGGCCAAGGCAGGCACCTCTACCCACTGCACCACGGCGCAAAGAAGACCTGGATTGATGGGACCCAGCGCTGTGCAGCATAGCATTGCATGACTGTAGGTACTGAGCGAGTGGGGGTGTGCGGTTGCCAGACACACAGACCGATAAGGAGGCTGCTAGGGCCGCAGGCCGACAAGAACACTGACGGCAAACTGACTCCCAGCGTAGACCTAAGCGAGCACGGCCGATTCTTCAGTGCCAGTGAAATCGATATGTCTTGCCTTTCCCCGTATTGGCAAGCAAACAATTGACCTCCATCGTTGGGTTTCCGTGTGTTCGGTGTCCATCACTCAATATCAAAACTCGTCCCGCAGCCACAACTGCTCGTGGCCCTAGGATTGCCCACGATCTTGAACTGACTCCCGATCAACTCGGTGGTAAAGTCGACCGTGCTTCCCTTTAACAGTTCCAACGACGGCTGGTCCATGACGACTTTTGCCTGACCTTGACCTTGACCACCTCCCTTCTCTTCATTTGTTGTGTTGTTCTCGGCGGCCGCAAACGAAAACACAGTATCCTCCTCCGGGTCGATCTTGGACGCATCCTCCAGCGACATCAAATACTGGAACCCATGACACCCGCCCGAAGTGACTGTGACTCTGAGATGTTGATTTTGGGTTTCGGACGGGGTGGACTGTGTGAGAGTATTCTTTTGTGGAGGTGCGCTTGTGATTTGGTTGAGGCGCTATAGATAGCACATCACATTAGTAAACTTGACACCAGTGGCAATATATATCTAGTTGGGAGATGTCCTACCTTTGCTGCTCGCTCGGAAATCTCAATCGTCATCTCGTTGCCGTCGTCGTCGACTCGGGGATTCTGCAATACCACGGTCGCCCGGCGGACTGCGCTGTGGGAAAATAGTCGCCTTCTGGTCGGCGGACAAGGTTTGGTTCTTGTTCCTCGCGTAGTTGTAGTGGTAGCGGTAGCGATATCAGCAGCAACAAAGGGTGGTTGCTGCTGTCTGTGTCGCATCAACGGAGGCATCGAGGCCGCACTCGCACTCGATACGATCGATCGACATGCTTGGATATAGGATCGCGGGTCGGCTTGTCGGCAGAGAGTTAGAGGTCGGGCTGCGCGGAAGGCGAGGCTGGTTGGGTTGAGGGCCATGATTGCTCGCGGCGGTTTGTCCGTGTATAGATAGATAGATGACGGAATAGATAAGTTCTTCAGGTATACCTACACGAAGGTACCTAGGATGGTGAGGTCCTCATCTTCAAGATCCGGCGAGCAGTGGTTACCTCTGGGAAATAGTTGACATTATTATTTCGGCCAGTCAAAGCGATCCGATGACGCGGGTTGGTAAGCAAGCAGCCGAGGGAATCCAGCCTCCACTCACTGCCAATCCACCACTACCGGAAATGGGTTTCTTCTGTTAACTCCATATGTTGTTTTACTCAAACTTGAAGTATACAAAAAGTCATGATAAGGAGTACCGAGTAAATACAGAAGAAGCCACTACTTGAATATATAGTTGACGTTCCTTGGCCCAGAACGAGGCCAGCCAGGCTTCCGAGGGAATACGACCGTACAGTGCTGGCAACGGGCAGACTCGGAGCATTGCATTTCTACACTATCCATCGAAAGGACAGTCCCCTGTGCCTCCCTGCTTCCTCCATCAGACAGTCTGCCCATATTACTATCAATAAGGTCGACGATGACCTCGACCGACACGAGAAAAACCGTGCTGATCACCGGCTGTGCGCCAGGCGGAATCGGCCATGCTCTCAGTCTGGCATTCCACTCAAAAGGATTGCGTGTGTTTGCGACAGCCCGCTCGACGAGCCAATTGACCAGCCTGTCCGAAAAAGGCATAGAGACACTTCCACTGGTAGTGGACGACGACGAGTCGATCCTCTCATGTGTCGCCAGCGTCGAGAAGTTAACTGGTGGTCGTGGTCTTGATTATCTGGGTATGTATGTTGCTGTCGAGACAAACAAAACACCGCCCCGACATCCTGCCCATTCCAATATAAACCATTCCTTTCTTTCTGCTCACAACTCGTGAAAATCTTCAGTCAACAACGCAGGTGTATCATATGTCATGCCAGCACTAGACATCGACCTCGCCGAGGCCAAGCGAATCTTCGACGTCAACGTCTTCGCCGTAATGCGGTTATGTCAAGTATTCGCACCCTTACTTATCTTGGCTCAGGGCACGATCGTCATGACAGGCAGTCTGGCCGGCGTGATCCCATACGTCTTTGGGAGCGTATACAATGCATCCAAGGCGGCATTGCATGCATATGCCAACACGCTGCGGGTCGAGATGGCCCCGCTGGGCGTCAAAGTCATCACTGTTGTCACCGGGGGAGTGAAATCCAGAATCAACGCACACGTCACCCGCGTCTTGCCGGACCAAAGCGTCTACTCGCCCGTCGAGCAGGATTATCTGCGTCGTCAGGGCCATTCCCAAGAAGGTGCCATGCCCGCCGAAGCATATGCCGAGAGTGTGGTCAGACAGGTCCTCCCTGGTGCTGGGCCTTGGCCGTGGAGGTGGCTGTTGCGAGAAGCGAGAAGGAACTGGATCTGGGAGGGCAATAAGAGTTGGTTGGTTTACTGGCTTGCTGGCGGATATACTTGGTCGGGTGTTTTTGACTGGTATTTCTTGCGGATCTTTCAGTTGTGGAAAGTTAAACGCAACAACAACGAGAAACAGAAGACGTCGTAAACTGGTTTTCCTTCCACTTGCTCCGCGGAATGGCATGCTCGTCACATGAGGCATCACTGGCAGTCACTCTACCCTAGTGCCTGCTCTTCACTAAACGCTCCAAAAATACGCGCCAAGGGCCAGCATTCACTGCACGAAGGCAAAATCAAAAGGATATATGTTGGACTCGCAGAATTCTGTTCAACAATCCCTCGCAGGCTCAGGTCAAACTGACACCGGGTCAGAAGGCGTGTCTGAGACGGTTGTGGCCCCAACACTTCGACGACGGACGGATCAAATCATCACGATCAGATCATCACGACAACAACGATGTCAATGAACAAAAAATCGCGGCAATCCCCTTCCCTTCCCCTCCCTTCCCTTCCCTTCCTCCTGCCCAAGTCCCATGTTCGAACCCTGCTCCCCTCCCCTTCCTAGCACAAAAAAGTCCAGGCCTCCCCCCAAAAAACATGTGAACCTAACATTGGAACCGAAAGAAAACCCCCAAGGAAGGGGGTTTCACTTCCTCACAACGTCCGACTCGAGGACTTTGTGAGATGAAGTTTTTTGCCTCTTTCATCAAAAGTGACTATCCAAGATCTCCCTCGTTGCTGGTGTGCTTGATGTGAAAGTTGGGCTTCAAGCACGGGGACTCCCTACTATCGATGCGCGAGGACTTGATGCCTGTCAGCCGGGATGTGGTTTCACATGCGTCGGCTGCTCACAAGTGGGGGTCTATTTTGGCGCAGGTCAATTGTCCAGAGGCTTATCAGACACCTTTACCACCTGCTTCCTGGGTCATAGGTACGGGGAGATATGAGAATATCTGAAACAGCCCTCGAAAGACAGAAAACTATGAGTACAAAGGTAGATAGACATCTGCCTTGTTGCTATGCGCACGAAAGCAAACCAGATTCATGATGGTACGACTATAGGTATTGAGTCCAACTTTTATTGTTTTGGTCAGGTATCATGGCAGATATATACTACAAGAATTTATACATGTGTATGTAGTTGGCGCGTACCCATCCTCCCCACCAGCAGAAACACGCTGCTTATCTCACTGGTCCTGTTTGCCCCGACGCGGAGGAACTAGATCTGTTACAATCATTCAAGATTCTGTGGCGGAGATGCGGTCGATGGCCTGTTTCCTCGCTGGCTCATCATGGATGCTAGTGCCGCCAATGTTTGGTCGGCAAGAACGTCCGAGTTGTGTGCATCACCAGTATTAGGACGGGCGACACGGGCACGAGGCCGAGGCCCAGAGCCAGAACCAGAACCAGAATCAGCCGGGTTGCCAGTGGTGGTTTCTGAGTCTTCCATATCGTCACCACCAGCGTCGTCGTCGCTGTCGTCGTCTTCCTCTTCGATGGGCTGGTTGTCGCGAGCGAGGTTCATTTCTTCGACCCGCCTAGCTTCGGCCTCGAGATTCTCGATGCGTTTTTGATCTCGAAAAGCCCGCCAGTAGGCATCATCTTCATTGAGCATGTTGACAATGGCATCAACCAGGACTTTGCGAAGAGTATCGTTGAGCAGAACCCGGGATGAAGGAGGACGGCGCTGGTTGTCCTTCTCCTCCTCCACCACATTCTTCTTGCTCGATGGCGAGTCCCGACCCAGCCTCCTGCTGCCGGTCCTGCTATCCTTTGGGATTCGTGAAAGATCGAGAAATCCAAGTTCCTCCCACGCAAGGGCGACAAATCGGCCAATGGTCTTCCTCAACTCCACCAGGATGCGCGCGCTATGCTCCGCTAGGACGGGAGGTGTGCCTTCCTCGGCATTCAGTCGCAGACGAAGCCAGTCGTTGATCTTGACGATGCGCGGGCTCGTCAGGGAGACGGTGCGGCTGAACAGCACGGCCATCAACGGCGTGACCATGGACGTCTGCACGAGCCAGACGCTCTTGGGGTTCGAGTCGGCCACGTACTCCTTCCACGAATACGCGAGCAGCCGCCCGTCCGATCTGTACTTGCGGGTCATCCGGCTCTGCCTCCTGGTAGGCTTTTCGTTCACGCTGTCGCGAGGCACCAGTCCCGCAACATCCGGATTGTCCAAACTCCATAACCTTTTCGACGGTCTCCGTTCCCGCCACGCCGCCAGCTCCGGAGTAATGGTGTTCAGTGCCAGAGCTTTCACCAGGACCATGTTGTCACGGTTCGAGTTCATCGCGGGTGGCAAAAGCTCGAACACTGTGTGTCCGGCTTCCGGACCGGGTAAGAAACCGACATCTGCCAATATGTCATGCACGGCGCTGCTGGCAAGCATCATATCCAGGTACACGTGGTGTCTGACGGGCCGTCTTTGCTGGAGGTCTTTCATGAGATCAACGTCTCCGGCCCGATAAGCTGCGTGGTATTCTCGAAATGCTTCAATCAAGGACACCAAATCGCTTTCGTAATCTGACGCCAGGCGCTGCTTCATTTCCACAAGCTGTCGCGTTGTAAAGTCTGAATGCGAGATCAGCGAATCCGTGGAACTGTGACATGCCAAAATCAACATGGGTTCCAGACACCCGAACAATGCTCCAAGGAAAATGCCTTTGGCAGCCGCTGGGTGTAGAGCAAAGCGAGAGAGTAGAAGGCCTAGGTTTGTGATTTTTTCATCTTCAACCGTCAGGGCATGCAGACTCTGAAGGTCCTTTATGGCGCTTTCAACGGCCTCGCCCGGAGGTGGCTCGATCGTCTCACGCAGGAACTCCCGCACGTCCACCTGCTGCGGATGAGCCTTGAGCTGCAGGACGACGTTGACCAAGTCAGACACGGCGATGGCGGGACGGCGCATCGCTATGAATGACTCCTGTCGTTCTTTAGTGAAAAGCGCGTAGTAGTGCCCATTTCGAACTCGTCCGGCACGGCCACGTCTCTGAATCACGCTTGTCTTGCTGATCCAGTCATATGGCAAGCTCCGCTGCCGTGTAAGCGGATCGAAGTTTTGAGTCCGTAGCAATCCGCTATCCACGACATAAACCACCTCAGGCAGAGTGACGGAAGTCTCGGCAATGTTTGTAGCCAGAATGATCCGTCTGCATCCTGGGCTCAGCGGTTGGAATACCTCGTCGTTGGAGTCGCGTAACCGAGAATGAAGTTTGAAGATTTTGAACCGAGCGGTGTCCGTGAAGTTGACGCCGAGTGGTCTGAGGCTGGTTAGGAGATGATATATCTCGTCAATATCTGCTCTCCCAGGCAGAAAGACTAATATATCACCCTGCGGCTTACCGTGTGCTAGGTGTGCTATCACCGCTGTTGCCAGGCCGACATAGCCACGGTCTATCTCTGAAGAAGCACCTTCCGTGGCATCCGCGACTGTCGACTGGTCAGGTTGACTATTGTGTTCAGACTGTGGACCTCGGGATTGCTTCTTCACAAACTGCATTTCGTTCCGGATATAATCGGCACTGGAGATTTCGGCCTTCTTCCCCTGGAGGAGAGCATGCATGGTGGGGTCGAGATCGTCTCCTTTGGTAAGCTCCGACAATATCTCGGGCAAATAATGCATTTGGACATGGTGCGTGGAGCCTTCAACCTTGAAACTCTCTGCAGTAAGGGCGATTCCGGCGTCCGTCGGTTGCCTGAAATAGTCGAGAAACATGCTTGGGTCAATTGTTGCACTCATCAGAATGATCTTGGGGAATCTTTCGCCAGCAGCTTTCCTGCGCTGCACTGCCTTGCGAAGAATTGCCAGTACCAAGTCAATTTGGACGTCTCTCTCGTGGACTTCATCAATGATGATGTGCGAATGAGATTGCAGTGTCCCCCACTCATCCGCAACCAAGCGGTTCAGCAGGATGCCAGTTGTACAGTAGGTAATGCTCCCTTGTTGCCGCGGAAGCCAGTTCTCGTTGCGTATATGGTAGCCAACAGAGTCCTTCAACATCTCTCCACGTTCATACGCCACCCTTCGAGCGGTCGACGTGGCAGCGATCCGGCGTGGTTGGGTGCACAAAATACTTGTGGATGGTCCCTGATTACTGGAGACCCTGTCGTCAAGGATGATCTGTGGTATTTGCGTCGTCTTTCCGGAGCCCGTCTTGGACAAGACGATAGTAACGTCACAGCTCTTAATGAGCTCCAACAACCTTGGTCGGACTTTCTCAGACATCAAGGGCAGCTTGTGCCTCGAAGCAAGCATCGCCTGCATCTTCTCGGTTCGCCGGCTCTCGGCAAGGTCTGATTTCATCTTTGCAGCAAGCACATGGTTGTGGCGCAAGATATCTCCCGCCCATGTAGGCTCGGCCTTTGCCGAATAAGCGGTGGGCACAACCTCCTCGTCGGTCAGTCCATGTTCCCGGGCGAGACGTATTGCATCCACCGCACTGAGGAGATTTGCTGCTGGAAGAGTGAGGTCAAAATGTTTGCGCTTTTTGGGAACGTTAGACGCCACGTTCGCACCATCTCCGTCGGCTATTTGCCCGCCATCTGCGGCGGTTTCTTCAGCATCATGTCCAGAATCTTCAGCTTCAAAGTGGAAATTCTCCTCATTCTGTGCGCAGGGACCGGTTACGTGTGTAGGTACCGCCTCATGTGGTTTCTCGACATGGGTAGACGCGGTCTTTTCTTCATTCTGTTGGAGCTCTTTCCGAAGTGTTGAAGTGTAATATCTCTTATATACCACTGGAACGTAGCGACTGGCAGATACACGCCTCCTCGAACTTGGGCGGAGATATCCATTTGATCCCACAGTATCGGCTTCAGACGGGCGGACGAACTTTAGCCTGCCTTGATGGACACTTCTGACTTGTGGACATTGGAATATTGCCCGACCAGTTTCTTGACGGACAAGCGGCAGCAGCTTGTGCGGTAGCCTCTGGATCCTTGTTAGTGATCATGTTCCAATAAGATTTACAGTAAACGTACTTGATTGAAAGACCGAACCCGCATGCTGGACGGTTGAGGCACTCATCTTTGCGACATGTGCAGCGGTATAAGGTGTTCAAGGTAATAGGGAGGAAGATAAATGGGCGGGGTCCTCGAGAGTCCTATCTATGGTTTATTATGACCACTTCAATTGCCGCTGCTTAGAATACAATTGTAGTAGAAAGATGCAATTCGATGATCAACTTGAAGTTGGAGAATCATTTTCTGGGGATTCCGTTCAAGCCAATGACGAAAGGCGAGGCTACAGTATATCACATGATTTCAGCCTTGCAGGATCTCTGAGGCTACGATTAGACAAGGCTCTGGCATGAAACCAGCTACATTACAATCGTCGCAACCAACGAAAGGATTGTGGGCTGGATATGGAAGTCAAATACCTCCTGCTACGTGCTTCTGCAGACATCAAAATAGCACTGAGTGTATTGATTTTACATCATGGTCATAACACGACTGCTCAAATCAACCTTGTGGAGCTCACCAAGCCCACATCAGTTTGTGAGCCAGCACTCGGTCTCCCAGTCTCTCATACAGAAACCCGTTGATCCAGCTGTCGTTGGTGCGGCTCATACGGCCGAACACAGCCCCACCTTTCCATACAACAACCTGCGGATCAAGTTCCCGAGGCGGACGTCCGATAAGGATGTCTTTGCCATAGTCAGGTTGCTCGCCTTTGAGTGTGTCCTCAAGATACTGAGCCAGGCCTGGGATGATACTCGTGCCACCAATGACCATGATGCCGCTTAGAAGATCGCTGGTCTTTTGCGGAGAGCCACGTGCCGCATGTGTTACGGAAGCCAGGACGGCTTTATGGAGTGGATAGATTGGAAGTAGATCATCACGTCTCTCGATACTCACCGGTTCTTCCTCCGGCTCCTCCTCGGCTTTTGGTTTCTCGTCCTTCTGAGGCACAACACCATTGTCGTCAGGCTGAGGCGTCCCGTCGAGATTGCGTGCTGGGGAGCTCGCTGTCGATGGCTGAGGTGTGGCATCCATTTCCTTGATATTGCTGAAAGACGGGCGGCGGGAGCCATTGACAGCTTCCTCTTTCACGCCGTTAGCGAGACCGTTGGGCTTCGCGTTAGACTTGGTCGTGGAACTCAAAACCTCCTCAGGTGCGATTATAGTCAGGATCTCTGCTTGTGCGGATGAGCTTGGGTCATTCGGCTTGCCATCGTAGATGTCGTATGACTTGTCCACCAGTTTGCGACGACCGTCCAATTTTCCACTATGATCGAAAATCTCTGGCTTGAATAATCCTATTGGCGCCAGTATCACCTCGTCGTAGATTTTGAACGTGTATTTTCTGGTATCCTGACCTGGAGCTCGGAGGTGAAAGTCATAAAGTTGGACCGAGATATCGGCTTCGTTCATAGTGCAGAATTTCTGCTTGAGCTCTTCGGCAAGCTGGAAATCATACCGACGGTTGACGTTGATTTCCGAATAAGGAAAGTGATTGTAGATGATCATCTTGACAAAGGCGTCGGTGATATCACGTCCCCCATATTTCAGGTTGACCCGCGAGTTATCGATGACCATTCCATCCTCAACGCAGGCTATGGAGGTTTTCTGAGCGCCAATGTCCACAATGCAACATGTCGTGAATCCTGCTCCAAATGAAGCCGCAAGGCTCTCTTGGATAAAACAAACTTTTGCGAACCCAAACTCGGTAATAGCCATGTTTAGTAGGCTTGAGACATATGTTCTCTCGTAGTAATCCGGGATGACAATGACACTGCTGTATTGACTCCAATCGGCACGCGTTCGGATTTTGATATCCAGTTGAGATTTGATGGCATCCTCGATAATGATTCGTATGTCCTCCCACAACAGTCGCTTCGAATCGTAGTCGCGTTCATTGATCCATCCTAGGCGAATGGGCCAGTACAATTTGTACCTGGGCGTCGACTGGTCCGGGATGCGAAGGGCAGCTTTACCGGTGATGTAAGCAGGAGCACCCTTTTCTCCTCCTGATGTATCTGTCCATTCGATCCGCATCGTATCGTTGTGCTCTGTAATCGTCTCGTAGGTGCTTCTTCGATTGTAACTGGTGACCATATCCCGTGACTGTGGCAACACCTTTCTCTTGTTCATTCTCATCCTCATTTTGAGTTCGTTCGACATGCCAGAGAACTTTTTGGCAAAGTCCTCGCCAAACCGTTTTTCCGGTTCAGGCGGTGGCAGTCCATTGTCCAGCTTGGCGCGTTTAGGAGCTGGTTCTCCGTCTCCTTCCTCGCTTTCCGAAAGGGGCGCGCGGCGGGCAATGACCATAGGGACGGTTTTAGGGAGCGCATCGCTCGCAAGTCCTACGCGGAGATTTTGCGATCCAATGTGAATCACGATGGTCTTTGTGCCGCTGGACGCTTCGTCTTCGGCGCCTTCCTCGCCTTCTTCCATTTCAATGTCGCCGTCCGGACCCACGGCTTTCCCTTGGGCCAATGCTCTGTCCCTGTCTCTTGCCTGTTTGATCATCTTGATCCGAGCCTCTTCCTGCTGCGACCGAAAAGCCAAGATCTGTTCGTCTCGTTTCAAGTAGTCTGCGGACCGTTAGTCTGAGTCCATATTGCCCACATCGCCAGTGCATACCTGTGTAGTAGTTCTTCTGGTTGATGGCCATGATTTGAGGCCAGGACGTCAACTCCATGTTGTTGTCCGTCCTCTCCAGGCCCTCCTCCCTGAGGAGAGCCTTTCCACTCTTCTTGCCAACCATTTTGCTGACTGTGGAACTCAGAGATGGCTCAGTGACGAGATCACAAGCTGGACAAATCGCGCATGAACCGTTTCATGCGCCGTAGGGTGGTTATTCAGTTGGGCATTCGGCGTGCTGCATGAGTCGTGAAATAGACGCGGGTTCGGGAGGAATTCTTTTGAGGTTCGTAGTGAGACATGCTTTTCAGGTTAAAGTGAGTGAAGGGGCTGGTTCCCAACTGCTTGCAACTCTAATTACCGCGACAAATAAACTGGTGAACTGAGATGGATGTCAACGCCATAAACCGGCGAGATATCAGATGCTCACGTGACATGGTGTTTCCTTGAAGCGTCGGTGACATCTGGTTTAACAATCAACGACTTGAACAACAACAACCAGCCCTCAACCTTACTCTCTTCCCGAATTATTTACCCGTTCTATTGACAATTCAGGGCCACAAACTCTAGATTGAGCCATTTCACCCTTGTGATCGCCTATCACGCTGCTGGAGGTCGAGCTCTCTACGTCTGGCGGTATGAATTTCTGACCGCTCTCCACCGTATCAGCCACTGCCTCCAACCTGTTTTGCGTCTGTTACGATGGGAGGCTCTATATCTAAATACTTTTCCAACCTGATTTGGGGGAAGAAGGATATCCGAATATTGATATTGGGCCTTGTAAGCCTTCTTGATCCGGCAAACCTCTTGAAAACTAACTGAACCACTCAGGATAATGCCGGCAAGACAACACTTCTGTACAGATTAAAGGTATGTTTCTATGCAAGTCAAGCAACTATACGTGCTTATCTAGTCAGATTGGTGAAGTGGTAACTACGATACCAACGATCGGATTCAACGTTGAGTGAGTCCTCCAAGACCTCTACCAGAAGTCTTGCTGATAAATAACCAAGATCTGTCCAATACGGCAATCTCAATTTTGATGTCTGGGACTTGGGTGGACAGACGTCCATCCGGCCTTATTGGAGATCATATTATGCCAACACTGCCGCGGTCATCTTTGTGATCGACTCGACGGATATTGAAAGACTAGAAATTGCGGCCGACGAATTAAGGTCAATGTTGAACGAAGACGAGCTGAAAGATGCGGCGTTATTAGTCTTTGCAAACAAACAAGATCAGGTATGTTCAGTCTTGACGAACACGTAGGAGACTTTCCACTCACTGTGCTGGGCAGCCTGGGGCCCAAGGTGCTGGCGAGATATCAGAAGCCTTGAAGCTGGGTGAGCTGAGAGATCGCAATTGGAGTATTGTTGCCTGTTCAGTGATCGATGGCAAAGGAATAAACGAGGGCATGGATTGGCTGTCGTAAGTGTGCTTACCGCAAACGCCCAGTGCAGTCCGCTAACGAGACGAAGGCAAACGGTGCAATCCGAATCATGATGACTACGCTATGTCCCCGTGCGCAAACTGGGCTATTTGGTTCAGGCTTTATCTGAGCTTTTTCTGTCGTGACCAGCCGAAGGCTTTTGCTCACTTCGTATGGCAATTTCTCGCCACGTCGGTGGAACAATCATGGTGTTCTCACACACCTCGACCAGCAGTCTCAACCCAACATCCTCACAGGCAGCGCCTTGTTTGCCTGGCGGAGTTTGATAACTGTGCTTGTAATGTGCAACACGCCTGGAGCCGATGAGACAGTCCAGAAGGGATGTTGTCTGGCATGCGTTCGCACACTGATGACGACTAAGAGGCTGGGGCCTGCAAGGGGAATGCTGTGGGCTACTATTTGGGAGATGTGGGAGGATCTTGAGACAAGAAATGGAGAATGCGTGCCAACGTTGGTGCGAGCAGTCAATTGCCTCGGTGGACGACTCCAATGAGTCAGGGAATGCTGTGGAGAACAGGAGATGCTGATATACGGTACGCTGGCACACGAGAGCTTAACGCAGCAAAAGAATTCATGCGGTCAAGTCCTTGGTCCCCCTGGCCGGGTATCCAATGATTGGGAGAGTGTAGAAATCCACGTCGTACGGGCAGGACTCCGTCCATACGGCACTGGTTGATTCCAAGCAGGAAGGCGGCCTAGTATTCACTTCCCAGGTATACGCAGAGATCAAGCCCTAGATACCATTGATAACTGTCATATGTTTGTGGAAGATCGTGGGAAGGACAATGTATTGCAGTATAGTAGTAGTAGCATTGTGTTATAGGTGCTATTTCGCTAGTATTCGCCGAATCGACAACGCGGATCTCGGCTTCTTGCGTTGTACGGGTCACAACTACAAACCATCAATTATTTGATTACCGACACACAGCACTCAAGCACACGGTCTGTTTTCCATGAGAGCTTGACAAGCTTGTTTTCAAAGGCAACGGAGGTTATCAACCATCAACGTTTGTACAGTCCATCCGTCCATGCCCTAGAAGGCGGCACCTGTCATCTATATCAATCTGGCTCGCCCAAAGTCAGTCCTCGTCCTTCTCTCCTCCCTCGCTCTCTTCTCTGTCGTCTGCCTCGTCATCCTGGCTCCCTTCCGCGCCCCCAGCCGGTTAGGTTCTATCCTGAACCAAATTCGACCGTTGAGGCCAGCAACATCTACCATCAGTCCGTTCAGACCGGTGACGACCTCCTCCATGGCGGGCGACACATTTCGCAAGCCTCCTCAGGCACCCCCGCTATTCACGGCCACGCCAGAGTCGGTGATTGAAGATACCAAGAAATTGTTGGATACTTCCAGAAAGATCACAGATGATATCGTGGCGTCGGTCCAAGCAAAAGATGCCAGCTTCCACAACGTCCTTCTGCCCATGGCTCACGACGAGAACAAACAGTCCCTGAAGGCACATATTCTCGGGTTCTATCAGTCTGTGTCTACGGATCAATCACTGCGGGATGCATCGACCGAGGCCGAAAAGCTCATGGATGACTTCAGCATTGAGGCGGCCATGCGGGAAGATGTGTTCAAACTGGTGGATGCTGCCTTGAAGAGAGGGGACAAATTGGACCCGGAGTCGCAGAGGCTGCTGGAGAAGGAACACAAGGGGTTTGTGCGGAATGGGTTGAACATCCCAGCAGGGCCCAAGAGGGACCGGTTTAAGGAGATCAAAAAGAGACTGAGCTCCCTGAGCATTGCCTTCTCCAAGAACCTCAACGAAGAGAATGGTGGTCTATGGTTCACCGCGGAAGAACTGAACGGCGTACCCGAGGACGTCATCTCATTGTTGAAGAAGGAAGGCGACAAATACTGGCTGACGTTTAAGTATCCCGACCTGTTTCCGACCCTCAAGTACGCCACCAACAGTGCCACCCGCCAAAAGGTCTTTATCGCCAACGAAAACAAGTGTAATCAGAACGTCCCATTGTTTCGAGAAGCCATACTACTGCGGGATGAAGCCGCTCGTTTGCTGGGATATCCCAACCACGCTGCGTTCAGGATCGAGGACAAGATGGCTAAGACGCCGGAGACGGTCGACGATTTCTTGGGCGACCTTCGCAATAGGTTGAGCCAGGGCGGATTGGATGAGATAGAAACTTTGAAGGCGCTGAAGAAGTCTGACCTGGAGTCGCGGAATGAGAAGTTTGACGGACGATACTACCTGTGGGATCATCGGTTTTATGACCGGATGATGGAAGAAAAGGACTACCAGCTCGACCAACAGTTGATCTCTGAGTACTTCCCGCTGCAGACCACGATCAAGGGCATGCTAGAGATCTTTGAACAACTGTTTGGATTGGAGTTTGTCGAGGTGGTGGGCGAGGACCGCGACGCCATCTCCGCTTCCGGCAAAGGCTCCGACATTGTCTGGCATGACGAAGTTCAGGTCTTCAGTGTCTGGGACGACGAGGGCGAAGGAAGCGGGTTCGTGGGTTATCTCTATCTGGATCTCTTCCCGCGGACCGGCAAATATGGACACGCGGCCAATTTCAATCTTCAACCGGGCTTCATCACCGAGAACGGCACCAGAAGATACCCGGCCACGGCGCTTGTTTGCAATTTCTCCAAGCCTACGGCCAAGAAACCGAGTCTGCTGAAGCACGATGAAGTGACCACCCTGTTCCACGAGTTGGGTCACGGCATCCACGATCTCGTGGCCCGCACCACATACTCACGGTTCCACGGCACCAACACGGTCCGGGATTTTGTGGAAGCCCCGAGCCAGATGCTGGAGAACTGGTGCTGGACGCCGTCTCAGCTGAAATCCTTGAGCAGACACTATTCGACCCTGTCACCAGACTACTACAGCTCGTGGAGAGAAGCCCAAGGCATAGATGCCACCAGCAAGAAGCCCGAGGAACGCATCCCAGATGATCTCATTGAGAAGTTGATCAAGACCAAGAACCTGAACGGAGCTCTGTTCAACCTTCGGCAGCTCCACTTTGGCATCTTCGACATGACCATCCATGAAGCCAAGGATCACGAGAGCCTCGAGGCCATGAACATCTCCGAGACTTACAACTACCTTAGGAAGGATATCAGTAAGATCGACGGCCCAGAGGCTCTGGGTCAAGGTTACGGCTGGGGTAACGGTCAAGCCACCTTTGGTCATTTGATGGGTGGTTATGATGCCGGTGAGTTTTATTTGTTTGACAGATACCGAAAAGAGTGAGAGGGCTTCATGCTAACGTTCCTTTTTCTTTTGTACAGGCTACTATGGCTACCTGAGTTCGCAAGTTTACTCGACCGACATGTTCTACTCGGTCTTCAAGAAGAATCCGATGGATCCCAAGGAGGGTCGACGGTACCGCTACACGGTTCTCGAAAAGGGCGGGAGCCAGGACGAGATGAAGACTCTGATTGAGTTCCTCGGCAGAGAGCCCAAGACGGACGCCTTCTACGAGGAGCTCGGTCTTACCAAGGGCACGCAGTCGGGAGCCACGACTGCCAGCTAGAGCCTAGTTGGACTCAGCACACCCTGGTCGTCCTTTCTTTCCCCCTTGAGGTAGGTTTGGGTTGGGAGGCTCCAGCAGCTATTGTTTCTCGGTCATGTCTCCTGCGGGCAATTGGTCTCTCACCATCACAATACGACATTACGTTGTACATATTACATTACTTTGCAGTGACTGGTTCAGTATCTGGCTTCGCTCGTGAGCGAGACTAGACTTGTGATGCCGGAGCATTGCATGCAGTGGGTGGATAGGCTTGGGACCTGCAGCCTGTGTCTGAATTACAAAAGAACGGAGGAAGGGGAAGGGGAGACAGGTCACAGATAAAGACCAGATAGATGTACTAGTATGTAAAGGTGCTGCTACTGCTAGAATATGACATCGGTTTCACGACCACCAGCTGGGCCCTTTTGCGATCCAATCGTTCAAAGACCTTTTGACTTGATGACTCCGAGCGTGGCGTGGCGTTGACCTGTATTCGGTGTGTAGGTAAGTACTGGTAGTATTATAACGCCTGTCTACTACATAAAGGAAAACCTTGAAACTTGAAGCCGACCCATTGATACGAGGGTTAGAGGTGCTACCTAGTACCTGTGTAGTAGAGGCACTACCTAGTAAGGTAGGTACTGCACGACTTACACTTCCACGTAAATTCCCATAGTCACTGGAAGCCCAGGGTGATCTTGGACCATAAATGAGAAGCCGGGGCTCTAATGACATTCTATCCATCTACCTATAGGTATATTCTCCTCTTATATTGTATTGCTTTTGTATCTTTCACCAGTCCAGTCATCTAGATTTCTTCCCCCGTTTGTACTGTATGAAATTGTTCTTGTTCCGTAGGGTTGCCTTCTTAATGAGCAAATCGGAAGGTGAGCAACTTATTCCCGCGATCGGTGGTGGTGGCCAGATAAGTCCTTTGCTCCTCGGGCGTCATGGAGTTCCACTTGCGGTCGCGGACCTTGTTTCTCCAGACATAGAAGAATTTGGCAAATATAAACAGAAGAATGTTGTATGCGCAGATGATGATGAGTACTTTGTACCCTCGACGATAGAGGGGTTTGTCGTCGTTTCGGAAAATCTATCAATGTTAACGAGGGGTTCAAACAGACGAAAAAGCAGACCGAGTTAAACTTGATGGGAAAATAGAACTCACATTCGATCCGATGATACTGCTCGCCTGAACAAACATGTTATACAGCGCCGAGGCGACAGTACGCGTGCGCACGGAGCCAGCGTTGCGACTGGTGATGGCGACATGGATGGCATGGACGTAGGGGGCTCCCACCAGCAATGTGGCAAGAGTATACTTGACCCATCTGGAGGCGTCCGGGGACAGAAACTCCGAGACAATGAGTAGAGGCAAGACCCAGAATTGGCTGACCAGGCCCATGAGGAACCGTTGGCCGACCTTCTCCGACAGCCAGGTGAAGAACAACAAATTGATGATGAAGAGCACGTAGGACGGGATGGTCAACATGTTGACCTCGAACCGACCGAACGACTGCTTTAGGATCAGCGACAGATACTGCGTGATCGGCTGGTTGGGGATCAAAAACGACAGGCCGATCAGGTAGATGGGCCACATCTCCCAGTCGCACAGGGCATACCACAGCAGTTTCGGGGTAACTGCTTGTCGGTTGTGCATGTCGCCCTTGGACGGGTCGTCGCGCAGGATCCGGTTGACCATGATCTTTTCCTGTCGCTCCGTGAACCAGCCGTTCTTGCCCCGGAACCGTGATGCCGTTTGGCACGGCGACGGCGGCATGTAAAAGTATGTCGCGACGCCGATCAGACCCGTCAGTGTCCCCTCGAGCGCAAACAGCCATCGCCATCCGGCCATGCCGTTCACACCGCGCATCGTCAGGATCGCGGCCGCGAGGAATGCGCCCACGATGCTGGTCGCTTGATACGATGTCCAGAACCAGGCGAGCCGTGCGGGGAGCTCTTTGCCGGTGTACCAGTATGATAGGTATAGGATGTTGTCGGGTATGAACTGGTGTTTTGTCAGTTATCAGTCTCGAGACTATGTCTGTCTGAGGATGCAGAAAGAACAACGAGAGCCAGGCATAGGCCGAGGGGAGATTGAAAGAAAAGAAAGGGCGTGTAGAGGACGCGATGAGGGACCAAAAACTTACTCCTCCTTCAATCAATCCTAACAAGGCTCGACAGGCATAAAAGGATGATCTTCCGTTGAGAAAGGCTTGGAAACTAGCCACGAGACTCCAGGAAACCATCTGGATAGGAATCCACCTGTCGGGTCCTAGTTTCTTCGATATCAATTGCGACGGCAGTTCCGCCGCCAGGAAGCACAGATAAAAAATGGTCTGGCCGTAGTTGTAATCGTTGGTGTTGATGTGGAGGTCGTCCAGCATATTGTCCGTCAGAGCTTGTACAATGTTGGCACGATCGAGCTGGAGCGCAAAAAACGTGAGGCAGACCCATGTGCATATCCTGAGGTCGATCTTCCTCACGAGCTGTTTCTCTTCAATGGGATCCCATTGAAATTGAGGGTCCCATCGATGCCGGCCTTCGTACTTGTCGATGGGAACATAAATGTCTTCGCCAGGAACCCGAAGAAACGTCTTATCCCCAGAAATAAAGCTGCTGTTGCTAGAGGCGACACCGTTCTCGAGAGAGCTGGCAACGGTTGGCACCGCTTCTTTGTCTCTCTTGAGCTCCGACTCTAGGTCACGCGAGCTACCTGTCGACCTGGGCGTGGCCATCCTGGGTCTGGACTAGGGTTGGTTTCTCTGCTGTATGCACCCAAGCGGCGATGATGTTAATTGGAAGGCAGCCTGGAGGTCAACGTCCGGTAGAATCTCGCAACTCGGTAGAGATTCTCGTCCTCGCCCTACCTTTAGATATATCTTTCGGCCTCTGCAACATGGCCCTTGTTGCAGGGCTGTCTTTCCTTCTGTTACATTCATGATGACGTGCTCTTCTCTGCGTTTCCAGCCGCCGAGATAAAAAGATATGAGCATGGCGTGCTTCTTGAGATCCCCAGCTGGCAATTCTCGATGCAAGGGTAAGAGATCTGCCGGCCCGGAGGGTGTAACCCGAGTTTTCCTCGAAGAACACTCGCCCAATTAACGATCTCAATAGTAACGATCTCAGGGGCCGCCGAGCTCGCCATCGTCCGCGGTGGCAATGCCGTTGTACTGTCAGGAGAACAAGATTGTCTGATCGTCGGCGCTATGGCGGAATGGATCCTTCATGGCGACGACGTTTCGCCCAATGTCGACATAGTCTCGCGGGACTCCGTCCCAACCAAAACACGTTAGGGACAGCAAGCTTGGGGGCGCCGTTATTGGCAGACATGATTATCAGATGGCCTGTCCGTCGACCCAAGGGTCTGATGGAGACGACGATGTTATGTTTCTGGTGCGAGAGACGTGGACGAAGGGGTCCATCAAGGGGAAGCGAGCGAAACTGACCTGCCGTCTTGAGCAAATCACGCAATTCTGAGCCAGAAGGCGTGCGCGCTGCCCATCGCCAATCGACAACCATCCGCCAGCACCAGCGCCCTTTCGCAAGACCGTCTTTGGCCCATCTGTGCTTCATCAGGAAGCTGTCGTCGGGCCACGAAAATGCTTGCGGGGTGACGTGCGACTTAGGTTGCGCAACCGGCCAACAAAGCGCCACGAGTTCGCTCGCTTGTTGGTTAACGACCAGATTCACCAGTTTTCTCCAGCTGCCAGTGGTGCCGACTATCCACTGCGAGCCTGTAGCGCCAGTAGTCGTAGATATATATAACCAAGCAAAGGTCGTCTTCTTCTTCAGGGAGATTGCCGTCTTAAAATTTGGAAAATAGCGTGCTCGTTGTGTACTCGTATACTCGGAACTTCAAAATGGCTACAGCAGTTTCCGCCAACACAGCCTCGTCTGTCCCACCCCCAACTGTCCAGGGCGGCGTTGGTGCTTACAAGGAAATCAACAACACAACCGGCTTCCTTGAGGAGAATGAATTGAAGGGCACCGGCAAGTTCTCTGCAGCTGCCTATCCTCATTATCTGCCGGTATGGGATAACGAGAAGGGACAAAAGTGAGGTTTAACCCCTGCCGTGGCGCCTTCGTGGCTGGCTTGGCCCCTACAACTCAATACTGACACAATGATACCGTCCAGATATCCTCCCCTGGAGCCGTTCGAGCACTACGAGCATGGCAAAGACGCCGATCCGTCCTTCCCGAACTTGTTGAAGGAAGGGGTCAAGATCGAGAACATCACCGCCTCCATCGGCGCAGAAGTTACGGGCGTCCAGCTGTCCCAGTTGGACGACAAGGGTAAAGATGAGCTGGCGCTGTTGGTTGCCCAACGAAAGGTCGTGGCCTTCCGAGACCAAGACTTCGCAAACCTTCCCATTGAGAAGGCCTTGGAGTTTGGACGGTACTTTGGCAGACTACACATCCACCCTACCAGGTAAAGGCGATTGTTTCCCAAGCGCGACATGACCTTGATACTGACAGGGTGTTCAGTGGAGCACCTGCGGGATATCCTGAAGTCCACCTTGTCCACCGCGGCGCCGATGACCGTTCTTTCCTGGACTTCTTGAGCAGCCGGACCAACTCCATCGCCTGGCACAGCGATGTCACTTACGAGAATCAGCCTCCGGGCACCACTTTCCTCTATGGTCTCGACGTTCCGGACGCGGGTGGCGACACCCTCTTCGTTAACCAGGCAAAGGCCTACGAGAGACTGTCGCCCGCTTTCCGCGAGCGTCTGGCGGGCCTCCAGGCTGTTCATTCGGGATACGAGCAAGCCATAAGCGCCGAGAACAGAGGTTCTTTCGTCAGAAGAAACCCGGTCTCGTAAGTTTTGGGCAACCGTGGCCAGTTCGGTCGACGGCCAGTAGCTGACTCGTGCCCAGGTCCATTCATCCGGTTGTGAGAACTCACCCTGCGACTGGGGAGAAGGCGTTGTATGTCAACCCGCAGTTCACCCGTTATATCGTCGGCTTTAAACAAGAGGAGAGCGACTATCTGCTCAAGTTTTTGTATGACCACATCGCTTTGAGCCAAGATCTGCAATGCAGAGTTAGATGGAAGCCGAACACCGTTGTTGTGTGGGACAACCGCGTTACTGGTAAGTGTCGTCGTCCCTTTTGACCTGTGAGCTTTGCCTGACCTGCCATAGCACACTCTGCCCTGATTGACTGGGAGGACGGTCAGCGACGACACATCGCTCGCATCACTCCCCAGGCGGAGCGTCCGTACGAATAAATGATTTAAGATCCGTTATCGCTGCACAAATCGGGTGATGACGAAGTCCCCTAGTCCCCGCCAACATGTTCCCTGCGGGTCAATGTTGGAGCTTCTGAAGTGATAGACCTAGATTTCAGCAGTAGCATATAAAACAATAAAATTTGGCGAGAGCTTGTGTGCATGATCGTCAAGACTCTTTCATTTGTGCTCGAAAGCGAATTGCTTGCCGCTCGAAGCGGCTGCCCATTGTCGCGCCTTGACGCCAGTATCATGCTTGTGTCTCGACTGATTCAATTGCAGATGTCGACCATTTATTTGACTTATCTTCAGTCACCTTCCAGTCTTGCAACCACCGTGCTCATCTGCTCGTCACTGTAGATCTGGAAGCCCTTCTCTTTGGTGACGCTGGCCAGTTGCACGTTCTTCGCATCCAGCTTTTCCTCCATAACCTGCTTCAGGGTCTTCAATACCAAGGTCTCGGCTTCTTCTAGCGTCAATGATCTGTGATATTCTGATTGTAGCTCAGCCTGGGCGCCTTCACTACCGGATCCGATGGCCTTTGCATCATAGCGGTAAAATGTGCCTGACGGTTCAGCATGGTATCTGGTTTCGTCAGTGGTAGCTGGTGACAGAGAACGACACGGCTTACAATTGTGGCCCGTTGTCTTCGTCCCAACCGGCAATCAACAGAGCAACACCAAATGGCCGACTCATTATTGATTCCTCGCCTTGAGCTCCCTCGCCAAATCTCAGTGCCAGATCACAAATGGCTTGTGTGCAACTCTCCACTCCCAGTTTCTCGTTGAAGTTGAAGGCGTGGTTTTGCGACTCTATCCGGGCATGCTCAATCATGCTCCGTGCGTCAGCTTGGAGACCGGACATAGCGCAGCCAATATGTCTGTCAATCTCGACAATCTTCTCTATGCTGGAGGAAACAAGCAGGGGCGAAGTAACACGCTTTTCGACACCGAGGAGGACTCCATGAGACGTGGCAACCTATGCGGGTAAGCAAGTGGTAACAGTTGCTGGAAGATTCATCTGCATACCCCAATAGCCGTGGAACCAAGTTTGATGGCTTCTAGGGAGTACTCGACCTGAAAGAGACGGCCTTCGGGCGAGAAGGTGCTGTTGCGGATTAGTACATGCCGAACAGATAGAAGAAGCCTGCTCACTTGATCCCGCGATCGTATTCGCTCCGTGCAATAAACATTTTGGAAGGATAAGTCTGGTAGCTTGAAGGCCACCCAACTATCGGGGGAGGTAGCAGTCGTCAATCCGCGGCAACCGGACGAAGAGCGGTGGTGTCACTGATTTATTCGAAATACTGGTTTGTGCTCGAATGGGGCTTGTCGAAGCAGCGAAGGGCAAAGCACTCGGGTAGAAAGCTGGACAAAAAAAGGTTTCTTGAAACGAGATGTACCTTATGTTATGCGCTCTTGGAGACAGGCACGGTCAACGCGCAACACTCCATGGCACGATTGCTCCCAGGTACCGCAGTCTGCCAAGATGCCGCCGCTCTAGCAGCCTTGTGCTGGTAATGTTCTAGCCTCTGCTTAGTCAGCTGTCAGTTAAGCCAGCCTTGCGAGGCCCTGAATAGAGGTTCATTGGTTGTGTGTCCGAGAGAGTCGCGTCAATGTCCGACGCGCCCGCCATGCTCGTCCACCGCACTGCACCACCTACAATGTTGTAGATACTCCAACGAGACAATCGAATACCGATGCAATAATGCAGACCCCATGATGAGCCTCTGATATCGAAACGAACAATGACGTGTTGAAGACATGGCCTCCATGCATTACAGGAGTGCCTCGGCCGCTGAGCGACGAAGTAGTCACCTTCCTGACGGACCATCTCGTGTAAATTCAACTCGGTCCAGGCATTACGAACGACCCTTTACCCGCGACACCGACTCCCCCATATATCCAACGGCCTACAGCGAGGTCGGTGAAGGGACACACAAGCATACCAAGAGCGAGAACAGGTTTAGCGGCGTCGAAAGACGGCGGGAGAAGTCCATTGTTACCACGACCGAGACACTGGTGACACGAAGAAGTCCGAGGAAGGAGAGCTCGAATGTCGAAAGTCGGCGGACCAATCTCGATCGCCGGCGGAGTGTTGGAAGCCCTGTCTCGAAGCGACCGCCGAAGGATGAGGATACAGGTGTGTACTTCACCGTTTGTTGGAACGATCATGGAAAGGCGCTTACAACTCTGTAGAAGGATGGGCTCCCACAGTGTCGCTGATCCCACACTCCTCAGCCCCTCTCGCGACCAGGGTGACAGCACCACCGCTATCGCGAACTGCCCCTTCGACTCTTGATCCCATGCCGCTGGAGACAATGTCGATGCAAGAGCAAGAACGAGTCATACTGGACGACCTTCTGTATGTCTTCATGGGCTTTGAGGGCCAGTACATCCGTTTCCGAGACATCTATAACCCCAGCGATGAGAAGGATCGACTGAACGGGCCAACTTTCCACCCATTGCCGGGCCTGGATCCGAGTCTGAAGGATTTGACCAGCTCCATGCTGTCCATGGCTACTCACCACTGCGCCCTGGAGGCTTTCACCGAGGTCCAAAGCAGAGAGGAGTTTGGCTCTGTGAACCAGGCCCTTTGCGCCGCCATTCGTAACATCCTCAAAGACTTTCTGATTCTTGTCGCTCAGTTGGAAATGAAAGTATTGAATGACCCCAGCTTCACATTACACAAGATGCATATTGCTGTAATACCGACGATGCAATGTTTGGCTCAGCTGTACTCACTGGCACAAGAACTACTCAAAAAGAATTCGCTTCTCGATGAGGACATTGACGACTCCATCGACGACTTTGACGCGGACAACATCATTGAACGGCTCAAGGAGGGAGGCGACCTCCTTCCAGGAAGCCTGGCCCAGAAGAAGTGCATTGGGGGCAATGTCTTGGGCTTATTAACACATCGACTATCGACATTCTCCGGAGATCCTGCAGCACGAAGGATCCTGGAGATGCTGCTCCGAGAGTCCAGCAGGCCGTACATGGTCATGCTGAATGAGTGGCTCCATCACGGGGGCATCAAAGATCCTCATTCTGAATTCCTGATCGGCGAAAGAGCAAGTATCAAGCGAGAGCGCCTGGACGAAGACTACACCGACGAATACTGGGAGAAGCGGTATTACATTCGGGACAAAACAGTCCCTCCACAACTCGAGGCGGTCAAAGAAAAAGTGTTGCTGGCAGGGAAGTATCTCAACGTCGTCCGTGAATGCGGCGGCGTCAATGTGTCCAGTAAGATTGTCGATACCCCAGCGACGTTCGACGATCCGCGGTTCCTCGACAATGTCAACAATGCCTATTCCTTCGCAAACAGGGAGTTGCTACACTTGCTCCTGACCAAGAACTCACTCCGAAGCCGACTACGGTCGCTGAAACACTATTTCTTTCAGGACCGTGCCGAGTTCTTCCTCTATTTCCTCGAACTCAGCGAGTCGGAACTCCGCAAAAAGCACAGGGATGTGAACGTGGGCAAATTGCAGTCCTTGCTGGATTTGGTGCTCCATCAGCCTGGTAGCATCGCAGTGGCCGATCCCTTCAAGGAAGACGTCAAGGTCAAGTTAAACTCGGTAGGGTTGACTCAATGGTTAATCAAAGTTGTGAACGTGCAAGGCATGGACCAAGACAACCCAGAATCCGTGATGGACCAGTATAAGACGCCAGGGACGGCGGTCGGTGGTGGTTCCCAGGCGGCGTCAACAGAAAAGGCTCGTAGAGACAAGAAAGATGAGGAAGAAAAAGACATCATTGGATTCGATGCCCTCGAGCTCGACTACACGGTTCCGTTCCCCTTGTCCTTGATCATCAGCAGAAAGACCGTCATGCGATACCAGCTCATTTTCCGGTACACCTTGGCCCTGCGACACCTCGAGACCCAACTCGTGGCATGCTGGGCAACACACACGAAGGAAAGAGCATGGAACCACAAATCGTCAGACCGGCGGTTTGAACTGTGGAAAAGACGGGTGTGGACTCTGCGGTCGCGCATGCTGGTTTTTGTGCAGCAGATGCTCTTCTTCGCCACTGCCGAGGTGATTGAGCCGAATTGGCAAAAGCTCATGGTGAAAGTGGACGAGGCGGAGCGTGAGGATGAGGAGGATGAGGACGAAAGCAAAAAAGGCGAGCCCAAGCCCACTACTGCTGAAACAGCAGAACCCTTGATGAAACAGGGGCTCCATCATCCCAGACCCAAACCAACCGTCGACGAGCTCATGCAGGACCACGTTGATATGCTCGACTCGTGCATGAAAGACCTCGGCTTGACGCAGGCCAAGTTGCTCCGCTTGCACGCCAAACTCATGACTGGCTGTGGCATGTTTGCCGCATACGTCGAACATATCACAAAGACCTTGTACGAGGCAGACACGAGTCTTCAAGCAGCACAACAGGTCGGATCTGGATCCAACAGGACCACTGCTGCTGCTGCCCCTGCTCCACCCACCGATCCGGCCCGCATGAAGCGGATCGAAGAGTCGATTCGGAAGTACGAGGAGCACTTCAATCGCCATTTGAAGATCTTGATCGACGCGCTCAATTGGTTCGCCACCACCGAGACCGTCTCGCTGCTCAGTCTTTGTGGCCGCTTGACTAATGCTGAAGTCCAGCGACGGGATGATCTCTTCCTTTGACAGCTTTGCGATTGGTTAATTTTCTGGCTTGGAGCACAGTATTGACTGGATTACGAGGACTGCCAGCGATAAGGTGTCGTGGAGGGTGTGTAAGGTTCCAGAACCATTATGGGGAAGCAGTTAGTTAGATTGCTACTGCTATTGTTGCTTCTTTGTTTGCACTGCAGTACCATGCATGATTTTGACGAATCGCACGAGGGATGAAACAAAAATAAATCACAGCCGATTTTTGGGATGATTAATACCCGGCTGGGTCACGGCAGACAGTGCTGCTCCCAGGTTTTATTACATGAATGTGTTCGGATCATCGTGCTAGAATTCACGCCATAAAGCGGACATCAATCAACTGGTCCAAATATCATCTGGTCTTGTACACACAAGGCTTCAAGACCTTTGCTTCCTCCTCTGGCGACACATCGTCATCGTCAGCACCAGCAGCAGCATCTCCTTTGCTAATAAACCTCATCTTGCCATCATGGACTCTCTTATACTCGTGACCGTTCCACTTGAGCCACTTGTGCTTTCCTGCGCTGGGCACGCCGGACTTGACAAAGACCATGCTCACAAACATTTTGTTACTTTTGTCGACCGATTCGGGTCGTAACACGAACCCACGGCGCGAAAAGACTTTGACGAATGCCGAAATGTCCGTGTCATCTTTGACAGCAACGGCAGCACCGCCTTCGGCATCGGCAAACACTTCCTCCTCGCCATCGAGTGGATCGGGGTCGACAGCAGTGCCCTCGGAACCGTTGAATTTCTTGTGCTGTTTCTTAGGAGTCTTCCGCCTCTTGCCTACGCTGTTCTCGACGACATGGCCCGGTCCCTTTGTCACACGGCCGAAGCGAGACTTGACCTCGGAAACCCAAACTTCACCCTTGCCGTCACCGCGGAGGATGCGCCAGGCTTCCTCGACGAAAGAAAGCCAGTTGGTGCCCATCAGACTTAGACAGAATACGGCCACGTCGACCTCGCCATCGCGAAGCGGTAGGTTCGCGATATCTGCCTTGGTGACGTGGCTGTTCGGAGCGTGGAGATCGAAGTTGTGGAATTTGAGCTTCAGGTTCTTGATCTGGGATTGGCACCCTCGTGCAAGAGGAGCATCTCCACAGCCTAGGTCGGCGATCGTGCAGGTGCCTGTCTTCCGTCGAGGGAGCGAGTCGGATCCTTGACTCTGTCCTCGCCGCTTGAACGTCGCAATGTACTGGTCGACTGGATTTTGAGGCCACGAATCCTTGACTTGTTGGGAAAATCCGGCATGGTATTCGGCGAATAGGTCGGGGGAGTTGGTGAACAGGTCCATCGCGGCGGCCGAGGATGTGGTATACAAGGTCTCGTTGAGGTGCCGGAAGCGGGCAGACGTGAGCTTGCTGCGCATCTTGGCTTGGAGTGGTGTCAGTTTGGCCGGTGTCGGTACGGGAGGGAGGGCTTTGATGACGGCTTCGGCAGACGATGTGGTGGTCTGCGATGGGTTTTTGGTTTGGCCATTATTGCCATTTGCTTTGCGGCTTCCGTCTATACTTTTCTTGCCAGCCTTCCCTGAGGCTCCTGTCTTGTTGTCTCGAGAATGGGAATGCTGGGACGTTTTAGAATCCTGTGCCGGCGCCTCGGACGTTGTATTCTCCTCGTGAACTCTTTTCTTGTTTTTGTTCTTGTTCTTGTCCTTATGCTTGCTGGCCGCGGGTGTTTCCTCGCCCTTGGTCTGGCTCTCTGGGCCGCCGGTCTCGTTTGACTTTCGTCTGGCCTTCGGGGTAACCTCTTGGGTCCCGGCATGCCTTTCGACGGTCTCGGACGCCTTGCGTTGGTTCCATAGCTTTTCGAGTTCAGTTCCGGTTACTTTGGCCGCATGGTCTCCATCAGGGTGCATGTTCTTTCTCTTCTTCGTCTTTTCGCCCGTCTTCGAGTATTGCGATTCTGGGACCAGGGCGGCCGGGGACACAGCCCAACCGGGAACGGCGAACATGGTACAGGAGACCGCGGAGATGTTTTGGGATGGTCACGAAGACACTAGGTCAGGATTGAGATGCAGCGGTTAGCTCGCCATGCAGGTTTCAAATAGTTCGATGCTTGTGCATGGATAAAGCTGCACAGCGCATTGCCATTGTGTTACGGCTTCAAGCAGTATGAGGTCTGATGTCCAAAATTTTAGTTGGCGCCACGGTCGCGGCCGGCGGGAGGACGACTGGCCGGGAGCAGCCATTATTATTAGGCACTGCACTAGTCCTGGTCGTGTTAGTAGGTAGGTAGTGTGGAGGGGGAAAGAATTTTATGTCAAGATGCCTGCCTCAGGCAGCCTCGTATTGGGTACAACAGGCATGGACTTCTGGGCATGGTGCCCTGCTTTAACCAGGATCGGTGCAGTGGGGGAGCACCGGATCATGCACCCAGTCCCGGGATTTATTCAAGCAGGGGCCAAATCCCCCCAAGACTCCGGTAGTGTGCGCCTAATTCCGCCCCTACCGTTAGCCAGAAGTACAAGGCGCCGGAGTGACCTTGCAGGTGCTTGCCTTACCCTGCCGGTGCAGTAGTAGTAGTGAGCAGAGAACCTAGGATAACTTGACCAGTATGAAGCTCAGTCGTCGCTCAACGGCTCGTTCAACGGCGTTCCTAGTTGGTGCAGGGTTCAATATGAGAGGGAGGCAGCAATCATGCTGAAAGTACTGTACTCCTCCCCTCCAAGTTCCTCGTCGTGTCTTCCCTGCTTGCTCACCCACTCTAGCAATATCCTTGCAGAATGACAACAGACCAGGCGAGTAGTATTCGGTAGGTCTCCCGCTTCGGCCGTCAGACCTTTTGGCAGCCTTGTGCAACCGCCATTATACCTATTAATGTTGCCTGTCAGACTTGCCTCATTCCGCCAGCCTGGGCTGTGGGCGTCCTTGAGGCTTGCACGGTGGCCGGGCAGCACTCTTCAAGTTGTTGGATGTCTGTTTTTCATTTACTGTTTGACATTTGATTGATATCTCTGGTATGGTCATTAGAGGAAGTACACGAACTCCAAAGTATCAGTGTAATCGTCTCTATTTTGGAATATCCTATCAAAAGATAATGGCCTCGTCTAAGTTCGTAGTAGTTCCCGGAATGCGTGCTAATTCGCCGAGCATGTCTATTTGTAGGGGCTGGGCGGAGGTCGTATATCTTCTATCTGCGAAACTAGGTATCTTTCTTCTTGCAACGCAATATTACACTGCCTGGCGCAAAGAAGGGTAGGAAATCCACCCAAGGAGCGGTACAGCACGGCCACCGGGGTTTAACCATCAAAAGCACATCGTGCGAAGGTTGGTCTCGACAGAAATCCTACTACGACTCGGAGCACTAACTAATAAGACGCCTTCAGGATTCAGTCGATTAGCGCCTCTCGAGCCAAACCACCAAAGCACCATGACCCCTTCCGGTACCCGCCCGTCAAAAGATCGTCGTGGACGTCGGCCAGGAATCTGGCGCCTCTCGCAGTGCTGGTCTTACCAGAGGCCCAGCTGAAAAAACAGCGGGTCTGGTGAATGCCCACGTTTGTGGTGCGATAACTGTACAGTAGTAGTACATCAGAGTGGCTCCTCATCGCGAATCTTCAGGTTGACCCTCCCCGTCCGCCTCGTGTTCGAACCATTTGGACACGGATGATCACTCCAACTTTCTCACGTGAGCGATCTGCAACCCACTGGCAATGCGACTCGAGGTGGATCTTGGTTCTTCCACGACGTGGCTACTATTTGGTAACGCGTGGAGTCTAGCAGGCTAGGGAGGCATACACCAGGCAGAATTCCGTCTCGCCGCAGAACTGGGGGATCTACGGTACCTGCTTCGTCCGTTATCACCAGAGGACAGGGAACGATGGCAGCATGAACGCACCTCGACAGTGGCCCAGCTGTCCAGTAGTAACGAGGCAGTCAAGCAGACTCCCCAACACGACGTACCTACCAAAAACCAGGAGCGCCGTCACAAAGACCCCATGCTCACCCTGGGAATTCATTCATGTATCCTCACACCAGATAGGGCAAGCCTACAGGCCCCACGGTAATCCGATTTGCTGAATGTTTGCGCCGACTTCCAAAGAGCTAGGGCACATCGATGAATGTTCTTACACTCCGCTTCACCGAGATGTCCAATGTAAGGTCAACTCCAGTTGCTCCGAGAGCCATCGCGACGAGAGTCACAGCCCTACTAGTACACAAAGCTGAAGCGGCTATCCCCAAGAGTCCTGGAGCGGTCCTAAAGCCGCTAGTGTTTGCTTTTGACAGCCGCCACCAACAGTAAGGTACCAATTACACCCGGTATCAGCTCACTTCTCCCTTTGATGAATCCTGAAATGGGTTCAAACCGCCATACGGCGTAATCAGCGGCAGATACGGGAGCTTTTCGCAAGGTCTTTCTATGTTAGGGTACACGCAGACGGGTCCGCTGTCCTCCATAACGGGTCTGCCAATCGTTGCTCTTTTCGTTTTGCGCTGCATATGCGGCTACGAAAAAGCCAGTCTCACAGGCCCGTTCGTTGCATGAGCACAAGCTCCCTCCCTCCTACCACCACGTCTCCGGCGGAGGCTCACCGTTCCTCGGCAACTTTTACAGTGTGAACGCCCGTCTAGAGTTGCTCTTCATGCTCCTTTTATCGGACGCTGTTCGGAGTGTGCCAAACAAGGAAATTGTGCTATGCCCAGGCGCCCGAAGCATGCCCACCACTTTCCGTTGCGACGACCATCATATGCAGACAGCTGCCACCAGCGTCATACAGCGCCTCCTTCTTTAAGGGGTCTCACTCCCATGCTGCTGCGGTTGGAACGTTTGCTTCAGCCTTCATTAGAAGGCTCCGCGGCCGTGTTACGTTATGATTAATGGTTACAGAGACGCTCGGCAGACCTTCTATAGCCGAAGAGCGCCTTGGAGGTGGACAGTCAAGGGAAGGCCCTTGAGGCTCCCGAGTTAGTGTCAATGTCTTCGACTCCTGAACAAAGAGATTCTGTCGAGGTAAAGGAGTCAAGTAATAAGGCAGATGGAGACAGAGCGTCAGACGCTGCAAAGAAAAATGCTGCGAAGAGGAGAACCAAGACGGGCTGTTTAAGTGAGTCTTCTGGTCTACGGCGGGCACATGCCCTCGAAGGTCCTGCCGCATTCATATTTAACGATCTTGCAGCATGTCGAAAAAGACGAATCAAATGCGATGAGGGGAAGCCTGTGAGGCCTGATTCCCGAGTGTTGTCTTCTATATGGCCGTCGCTGACCACATCACAGTCGTGCAGGAATTGCATAAAATCAAAGCGCGAATGCGCCGGCTATGTGCAACCGCTCGTCTATAAACAACAAACCCAAGGCGACACTGCTGCTTTCCACGACCCTACGGAGCCGTTCCTCTCACCTCAAAGCGAAGGGGCTTTTTTCAACCTACGCTTTGAGCAGCCGTACTTGGGATCATACCGCCCACTCGACCCCTCGACTGTGTCTCCTTATCAACACCCTCCATTTGGTGCCGGCGACATTGGATCGTCCTCTCTGCGCTCGAATGCGCCTTTCTCGGATGGCTGCGACGTGTCCGACTTCCACCGGTGGTCGGACGCGCAGCAACCCAGAGCTGCTACCTACCGCGGTACGCCAGACCCAAGTGGAAGGAGTAGACATGGTGGTCTAGACGCATATTATCACAGTGGAGGGCTTCCTGCATCCCCCTCGCCTCTTGATCGTCGGTGGATGACCCAGTCAGGACATCACCTCTCCGCACGGACTGAAGCACACTATCCAGGCCCTATTCCTCCTTTTCCTGCCGGATATGCCAGATTTTCTTTAGGGCAACCGTCAGCTTATGCCAGGCAGCCGCAGGCATTCTCCCACGACAGCAAAGACGGTATGTAGACGACCATTCTAGATATCCAATGAGACGATTGCAATCGCTGAGATATCCCACAGGAAACTTTGATAGACAGTACCACATCCGCGCCTCCGCTCGAGGTCCTCACCCTTCATCCTCGGTACCGCCCCCTACGACCACTGCAGCGTTTGCTGCCACCTGGGATGATGACTATGACGACCCCGACGATCCCTTCGATGTCGAAATGGACGAGAGCCGAGTCTCTCACCACGACGCTGCAGACAACCTCACACAAATACTGGATCCATCTGGCCGGCAGATTTGGGGACAAAAAATGTACAATTGGCAGAGGGTGCAGGCCCAATCAGTCGCAAGCTTTCAACTCCCGATCGCCGCGTCGCCGCTACAAGACGAAAGGAACGAGCGTGCATTTCGGCACTTTGTCGAGATCACAAGCCACTGCATCTCCATTTTCGAGAGACAACACTTCAGCCCTTTGGTTGCTCCGGCGAGGACGCTTTGGAACTTCACGATGCCGGCCCTGGCCCTGTCGTATCCCGCCCTTGCCCACGGGATTCTGGCCCTGGGAGGGTTGCATTTCGCGAAGGTGAGCAGGAATTCCGAAGATCGAGCCGCGAAGCATTTTATGTACGCGGTCAGACGAGTGGGAAGACTGCTGAGTCTACCCAGACGACGCCATGAGATTGCGACGCTGGCCACGGTACTTGTTCTCGGGTTTTATGAGGTATTGAGCGGCGACCACTCCCGCTGGAACCTGCATCTGTCAGGCGCGACGAAACTGGTGCTGGAACACGACATCGCTAGCCTGACTCGCAACGCACGTCGGATGCGCCGGGGCGCGAAAGCAAGAGTCAACCAGTGCACTGCGCAATTTGCTTATGGCCGTGTCGCCGGGATCCCTGTTTCACTGTTGGACGATATAGATTGGGAGGTCGACTCTGCGTTGATTTCCCGGTTAATCGGGGTTCAAGTGGACTATGACCGTCAGGTGCAGCCAGGTTTGGAATCGCAGGCGTACCCATATGACCTGACCGAAAAGGACATTGATGATTTCAAAACCAAGCTGGATCTGAGATGGTGGTATTGTAAGCAAGACGTCTTTCAAAGCATGCTTAGTGGAGATCGACTCCTCATGCCAATCGAGGACTGGAAGTACTGCCCCCCACGAGGACAATTGGGACGAGCGGATAACCCCTACGCGACCTTCGATCATTTGCTTCTTGTCATGGCACGATTGGCCGATTTTGGCGGAAGAGACCGGATCCGCAAGCAGCGGGCAGTTGAAGCTCAAGGAGGAGAATGGCGGCCTCCTTTGTGGCTCTTCGGGCCCAGGGGGTCACCGGGACCCCCTGGAAGCAAAGGTAAAGAGAGGTCCGGTACAGTAAACAAGTCCTCCAGCTCAGGCTCGGGAAGAAATACCGCGTCAATGAGGTCCGCTGGCCAGAACTCCGTGAAACCTGCGCCAGCGCCCAGTGCTAATGAGGGCAGAGTCAGGCAGACCAAGCCAACTCCATCTCAAGGTCCGGGGCCGGAGTCGACGAACAGTCCGCCAATGTTTGGGATGATGCCTTCGGCTGGAGATCCGCAAGTGCATCCTGCGGTGCGGACCATGCAGGCCAACATCAAGGATCCGGCATTTATGCTAAGACCGGAGTCAAAGGGGGCTTCACCACCACGAGACCTTGATGACGAGACCGCAAAAGCCTTCTCCGAGCATGCCGATATCACCAAAGCATTCGACATATTCCGTGCGGCCCTTGGCCCGGAGTTCGACCCTCTCCCACCTTCTGACCCGCCGATAGCGACGCCATTCGGGCCGGCTCTGGTGTATAAAAACGCGGCCGTTGCTTGCATATGGATATTCTACAATGTCGGGCGGATATTGTTGCATCGCTTGCATCCAGAAATGAATCCTGCTGCCATGATCTCGGCCGGTTTCGCAGCGCCGCTGACACACGAGTACGCCCAGACGGTGGGCAAGATCTGTGGTGGGCTCTATTCGGGACAACATTACGGTCAAATTGGAACGTTGGAGCCTAGCTTCGCCGGTGCGTTGATGGAGAGTACATTCTCCCTTCTCTTTGCCGCGGTACAATACACGGATCCGGGCCAGCGTGGATGGACAATAAGTAAACTACGAGATGTCGACAAGCACTGCGGTTGGCGCACATCGGCCGCCATTGCGGGCGGTTGCGAGAATGCCTGGGTAAAGATGGCCCAGAAAGGCCGAGGACCTCCATACGAACGTACGCTGAATATGCACGACAAGGACGAACGTGTGAGCGGACAAAAGCCGCGAGGCAGTCCCTCGCCGGGAGCAAGCGGTGGCAGACAAGAGTTCAATCCTGAGGCCGAACATGAGTCGGAGTTTGTGCATCATGATCGCAGCTTGATCGATCGATCGGGGTCTACCCGCGTGCACTGGGCCTTGGGTTTACTCTCGGTCGAGGAAGATATCAAAAGGATGACATTGGAGGAAGGATGATCCTGGATTGGATTTGTTCATGCCAGCCGACAGGAATGTCGATACGTCCATCACTGTCCTGACGACCATACCAGGCACTGTCATCATCCTTACGAGAATGTGTGCGGGACGGCTGAACTTCACGGACTTCTTCGCCACAACATCTCGCTCCTGCCGGATGGAGCTGGGTAATGCTGCGATCCAGGCGCCGCCTGTCACTCGGCAGCTACGACGATATCCGTCGAGCATTTTATGCCGTCGCATTCCCCGGGCAGTCTATCTTCGCCTCGATCTGTCGGCCAGTATCACTATCACTGGCATGCAGTATAGGCTCATATATAGTAGTCAGCCCACAGTCGGACCTGTTTTCAGCCCTCACAATGCAGGCTCTCCGGAAAGACGTGTCCTCTTATTTCGACTACCGACCCAGGAGAAATGCTTCTTCGGAGGCCAACACGCCCATTTCTGAGCCGATCAGCCCCGGAACCCTTCCCAAGCCATCGCCCCGACCAAGACCTCGACTTGGAAGCCTGCGGTCCCAGTCTGAGCATGCGACAACTCACAAGAGGATTCATGTGAAAGCTGTTCCCGAGGAACAGGGTAGTCACCATGGTTCAGGCTCGGGGGCGCCACCACGTACCGCCGAAGACAGAGGTCAAGAGCAAGATGCGCGACCTATCTCCGAGCACCTCGTGGACGAATCCCAGGAAACTGCGCCCATCACCCCAAGCACTGCCGGTCCAGGTGGTGGGTTGGCCGGTAGAAAGGAGAGCCAACCGCGTTCTGCCCAAAGATCGATCGTCGGTCGTGGTTGGGCAAGGTCGCCTTCAGGGGGCCTCTGGTTCCGGGCGAAACACTCTTCCAGTGAGATCGGCCGCCCGTCATCGAGTCGGGATATGCCCAGTCCTTCTGATTCTGAAGTACTTGTCGTGCGTACGGATCAAACACCGTTGCGACCGCCATCCGCCCCAAAGAACAGGGCAGCCCTCAGTCGGTCGTCTCCGAGTACGATCAGAGTCGAGGCGTACTTCAACGAAACGGATGCCCAACCACATGAGCCAGGGCATTCCGCTGCGGACCGTCGTCGCGGCCAGTCTTACGGCGACGAGGCTCATGGTGGTGATGCGGTACCACGCAAAAGTTCCTTCAATCCTCTGCATTTTTTCTCGGCTCCCCTACAGCTCATACGACGGGCCAGCGGCACGAAAAGGCAAAGCAAGATCAGGCCGGCTGAACCCAGGATTGTTCTCCCCCAGTTCGAAGACCCACTGCTTGCAGATCATCCGAGCTTGCTGAGGAGAAATCACACGGCCGAAGCCCTGGCCCGGGTCAGTGCGATCCTACAGGATCTGAGGCAGTCTCCTCAAGCATCCTCGCGGCCGCCGACCGGGATCAAGCCTTTGAGATGGCGGACTTTCTCTAACAAATGGGGTTCGCCGAAGGTGGACAAAGATCATCTCGTGGTCCCCGAAGACACAGAGCATTTCACGGCCCACCAGCGGAGGAGTATGGAGCATCTGTGGGACACTCGGTCGTACACGTCGAGTGAAAGAAATTTGCTGATGGGACGGCTGCCGAACAACAGTCCGGCCGAGCAGGCCACGTACAAAGTGAAAAGGAGCGCCAGTGCTCAAACCGAGGAGTTTCTGAAAATCGACATCAGCATCCGCGGAGGGACCAGCTACTTGCCGAGCGAGGCACGTCGTATACACACTCCACCGCTGCCCGAAGAAGGGCCTGACGGGAAGTATCGAGGTTTCTTCTTTGACTACAACGCCCCAAGACGGGCCAGCACCATCCCGCAGTCCTACGATGGGAAGTTGTCAGCAGAAGAAGTCTCTCCATCTGCCGGTAAACCTTCCCCACCACATAGTGGCAGCACGAGTGCCGAGAGTGCCATGGAGGAATCGCAGTCACAGAAGGGCACGTCGAGCTCTCATGCAGGGAGAGGTCACGGTGGGCGTAGTAAGAAAGGAAAGGAGCATGTCAAATCAGGCCCTTGTGGGTTGGGAAAAGATTGGTATGATGTCAAGTTGGCCGAACTCGGACTGGGAGATGCGTCCGGCTGGGGTCAAGCGGTGGACGCCAAAGAAGGCGAAAGACGGGTCAACTTGAGCGCGTTGGAAGCCATGGCTGAAAAGAATTTATCGACCGGCAGGTCCAGTGATGCGGAGCGCCATCTTGACCTCACCATACCGGAACATCTGCCGAGCAGTCCACTGTGCCCAAGAAATGCAAGGTACTGGCGGGTGGTCAAGGGGAAGGGAAGTCAGTTCAGGGGCTGTTGGATGCATGGAATTGGGGTGTATTCAACCAATGATGGTGAGGGTCACGGTAGTGATGATGACGATGATGTGGAGACCAGTCATGGCTAAAAGATGGGAGAAGCATGCGAGGATAGACATTTCTCTACGCCGTGATGAATGTCTGCTTTGTATGCCTGAGGCCTGTATGCCTTTTGTTAGCAACTGCTAGTCATCCATCGCGATGGGATTTTCTCTGCCAGGCGGGCCAGAACGTTTACAATGAGTGCCAGTGATCTGCAGCAGGACTGTATTGTGTCACTGCACGGCGGAATATTGGTAGCAGAGGAAAATGGATAACTCTGAACTCGATAATGATGCTTTTTGCTTTTGCTTTCCCATATTCCTCTTACTTGTCATCCACTGGTTCCAACTGCTGTTGATGTTGCCGTATAGTAGGTAGACAATGGCACTGTTCCGGCTGTTGGTTGTCTCGAACTCCCAATGCCCAAGTTCAAGTTGAACATATGGAAGATTGTCCCCGAAGGACAACATATATTGGGACCGGATAGTTTTGTCGTCGCCCCAGGTGTGAACTGCCGGTGTCTCACCAATTACGGGTTGGATTTTTGCATTGTCAATAAAGACGGTCCACGTATCCAAACGGGTTTTGGTTTGCACGGCTCCTTTTCCAACTAGCCATTCAAGTTCATCGTTTCAAGTTCCCGAGATGGATGGCATAGGTGGAATGTATGTTTTCCCCGGTCCATTCCATTCCATCTGGCTCTTTCTTTTTCCCTTCTGTTCCTTTTTTTTTTGGTGTCATGTCACAGTGTCATTCATTTACAACTCGCCAAACTTCTCCTCATATTTCGAAATATGAGCGACCTTTTCCGCACTCGCGCTCTGTTCGTCAAACCGCAACTCGACCCACTCGTCGACCAGCTTCTTCGCCAACTCGAGTCCAATGACGCGCTGGCCGAAACACAGCACCTGGGCATTGTTGGACAAGACACTCCGTTCGACACTGTACGGATCATGCGCCGTCACGGCTCGGATCCCCTCAACTTTGTTGGCCGAAATGGCGACGCCGAGACCGGTGCCGCAGATGAGGAGGGCTCGATCGGCCTAACGAAACGTACAGAGAGAGTATTAGTAAAAGAAAGGGGGGTTTGGTGGAAAAGTGTTGTTGTAAGTGTGTTCTTACCTCTCCAGATTTAATCTTTTTGCAAGCATCCACAGCCAAATGCGGATACGCCGTGGCGTCGTCGGCGTCGACGACACCGACGTCCAACACTTTGGTGACGCCCTTGTGTTTGCTGAGGGTTTCTTTGAGGGCGGTTTTGTAGGCGTGGCCCGCGTTGTCGCTGCCGACGACGATGCGGAGCGGGGATTTTTGTTGTTGTTGGCTGCCGTTGGCGCTCATGGTGGCTGTCTGTTCGAGATGGATATTTGGAGAGGATAGATACTGTGGAAAATAGAGCAACAAACAGAAGAGACGGCGAGCGGTGTGGTTAAAAGGAAGAATACTACTACTACAAAACAGAACGAGAAAAAGTCAAACGTGATCTCAAATATGATGAGTGATTGAGTTAAAGATGAGACTCGGAGTCAAGACCGGTCATCCATCGTTCATGGATGATGTCGCCCGCAAATAACATCAACGTTCCTTACTGCCGCGGTGGGTGGACAATCAGCCTGAAACCTGACCGTGGCGGCGGGACATACAATTGATTGTACACGGCGTTGCGATCCCGGGCGGCGTTTCGTCGAAGCCAGAGTCGGATCCCTCGCCGGGCTCGTCGGAATAACGCCGATGTGAGGCTCGGATTTCTCAATGTGGATATGCCGCCAGTCGTTCCATCTGTTCGCCGTGGGGGCCTCTCAATTATTATTTGAGGCGTTTAACGCGACTGCGGGGGACAGAAGCATTGGATTTTATTTTGGTACTCTGCAACTGTCCGTATCAATCTGAACCCTGTATGTTGACGAAAAAACGGTAAAAAAAAACGGTAGAACAATAACAGTCCAATTCGACCTCTGTCTCGGTTTATCCAATATAAAATAACCAGGACTAATTCTTGCCACCGTCTCTACAACCCGGGCGATTCATTACCTACGCCGACCGTGGTCTTGTAACCATGTCGTCCTCATCTTCATACCCTACGCTCCCGCCCAAGCTAATCCTCACATCAACCAAGGCCTACTTCTCCCCTTCCCGGACGATCAACTATCTCAACTCGATCCTGGACACTCAAAACAACAAGATTCTGTCGCTCCTCTCGTCCCACCACGACCAAGTCCGCTTCGTGCTGATCCCGGATTTTTTGACCATTTTCCCATGCTCGCAAATCCTGACCACGAGGTTTTCAACTCCTTCAGACTCCAGCTCCTCTTCTTCATGGCCCGTCTCGCTCGGCGCCCAGAACGCATTCCAATCGACCTCCTACGGCGCATATACCGGCGAGATTGTGCCTCCAGCCCTCAAAGAGCTGGGGTGCTCCGTGGTCGAATTGAACCACGCCGAGCGGCGCCGAATGCTGGGTGAAACCGACGAGACCGCCGCCGCCAAAGCATCCGCCGTGTGCGCGTTGGGCATGATCCCGCTGGTGTGTATCGGCGAAGTGGACCGACCACCCCAAAACGGACGCCTGAGCCAGTCTGTCGGGCTGGCAATGGCCCAACTCACACCGCAGATCGAAACACTCCTGCGTGCCGTGCCGTCCGATGCGCCCGTGATTTTCGCCTACGAGCCCGTCTGGGCAATTGGCGCCGCCGAGCCCGCCGGCGTCGACTACGTCGGTCCGGTCGTCCAGGCCATTCGCGAGGTCGCCCGACGCGCCGTTCCTGGTGGTCGATCAGGTCCTGTCAAAGTCGTCTACGGCGGCAGTGCTGGACCCGGCTTGTGGAGCGGCAAAACGAACGGGGGCAACGGATTGGGCAAATATGTTGATGGGTTGTTTTTGGGCCGCTTTGCCCATGAAATCTCCGGCGTCAGTGCTGTTGTCGAGGAAGTCGTCGAGAGTTTGAACAGCAACAGCCAGAGTTGATAGGGTGGGCCGCTTCAAAATCCGAAGAGCTGTTTCGTGGGAAACATTGATATGTGATTCCTAATAACTGCGATGGGAACGGAAAGGAAAGTCGCCCTACAGTGTGCTATCGCGCAATGATGTTCGCTCGACAATGGTGGGCGGAATTTATCCTCCTGCGTTACTTTACCTGCGTTTAGTACTGCATGCATTTCTCCACCTGCGAATAAATCAATCGACCAACCGCGTTCAACAGCATAGCAACAGCATAACCGCAACTGCACCTGCACCCGCACGCCGATGAATTCAGTCCACCCTTGGTGGGAAGGAGGTGGAGGAGGAGGAGACGGTGGTGGTGGTGGTGGTGGTGGTGGAGAAGAGAGGAGATGATTGCAAGCAAGGAGCGAGCCCAATATAGCGTGATTGCTGCTGTCATTGCCTGATCTTCCAATGCAAGTTGAAAACGAATGAATTCAATTGAAGACACCAATTTGCAGCTATACTGACCCCGGCGGGATCCTGGGCCGGCGATGATGAGTCCATACCTGACTGAACAGAATAAGAAATGAAAAGAGGGCGGCCCTTGCATGATGCAAGCTGGCGGGTTTACTTTCTCCATACTAGTATGTATATACCAGGAGCAAGACATTAGATCCCCCTGCTGCCTGCATGTTTTATCGATTAATCTCGACCCACAAAGGCCAGGTGGAGAGCGATGAACGTGGACACCGTCGTCAGGCTTTTGATATAGAGAGAGATGACCACGTCAAGGAGTTTTGAGTCTGGTCTGGAAGTCATTTATTTCCCTAGCTGTAGGACATACCATAAGTCTACATAATACTGAGGTTCTTGCTGTAGATTGATATTCACATTGTATTCACTACATAAGGTATACGCTAAATTCACTAACCGCAACTAGCGCACATACTTCTCCACTATTATCCCCCCTTCCGAAAACTCACCTATATAAAATTGACCAACCAAAATCCACTCCAAATTACGTTTCGAAACTGAAGCGAGTTGAATGTTTCGGTAGCTCAGTGGTAGAGCGAGAGATTGCAGTATTCGCATCGCAGCTATCTCTAGGTCACGTGTTCGAACCACGTCCGGAACTTTATGCTTTCGCAGCCCTCTTTTTTGTTTTTTTGGCTCAAGTTCAACTCGCCTCACTTCGCGTGCGGTGCAGTGCAGTGCAGTATGGTCTATCACTTCACTACTGGGCCAAGTTTGTCAGCTACCATTCACTGGCAGTGCGGATGTAGGCTGTAATTATTTGTGGCGCACACTGGCACTGCAACTCTTACGCCGGACCCCAGACAACAGACAACGCTGAGCGGGGAAACATCAGAATCAAACTCCCATTATCGACCTTCCGGGGAACGCATTATCATCATTACATGTATACTACCTAGGTACCTCTGGCTGCTCCCATATATACTACTGCAGGGTATTCTCACCAAACTTTCGAGTCTCATCGTTAGGCCATAGTTGCTATAGTAGAGGGTGCCGTGCCCGGGATCAAGTACCAGGTAGACTTGCCGGGCCGCTGGCATGACGCACTATTTGGCAGATCTCTCGAATGGTAACACGGTAATAAAAGGTAAGTAAGCTGAGGAGGTAGGTACTAGGTACCTAGCTATGCATGACCTCCACGCGGCGCCAATGGTGGTGCGGCATCAGCCTCAGGCATACCACCACCTAGGTACATAAATGCAGGCGGCCCCATGTCAGCCGCTGTTCTCAATGTTTACCCAAGTCGTCCTCTGGCTTGACTCTACATAGGTACTGATCTTGTATCCCTTGTGCTTACTAGGTACAGATGTGCGACCATTTGCGCGGATCGTAGGTTACAGACCTTTGCCAACTGTAACTTGCACGACTCTGATATTCTTCCCTTGTGTTGGGACGACCGCCATGTCTATTGCAACCACGACCACGACTTCGCCCGATAAGGCCTTCCTGGACAAATTCATCTCGCTCCTCTCGCGGGCATACTTGACCACGCCTCTCACCACCGCCTTCATCACAGAGATCGACAATACCCCGCCAACGGCGAACGCTGCGGAAGTCATCACCCCAGAGCGCCTGAAGAAACATTTCACTCTAGGCATCACCGCCGCAGCGCAGAGCAATGTTGTTCTGATCGAGGCGGGGAACTTTACAGCGGCGGCGCTATGGGAGCCACCGGACTTCTGCGGGATCCCACCGTCACAGGCTCGGCGGAATCCCGGGCCAATTCTGCAAGAGTTCAGAAGTACCGCGCGCACGCTCAAGGCAAAGTATCTCTCCTTGCCTGACCAAGGGCCTCGAAGCTACGACCAGCCCGCAGCGCCCAGTCAGTCCTCCGGCGCACCTTCCGAAGACCCCTACCCGGCAGACTTCAACAAGGACGTGGATTATGAGACACGCCCGTTTTTCCACCTCTCCCTTATAGCGAGGGATCCCGAGGCCGATCCAGACGAGAGCTTTGCCGCGCTTAAGGCTTGCATGGACCCGTTTTTGAAGAAAGCCCAGGAACAAGATGTGCCTGTCTGGCTGGAGACCGCCAGTGAAGACTCGAAAAGAGAATATGAAGACATGGGATTCAGAGTATGTGAAGAAGTCGTGATCGGCAAGGGCCGAGTAAATGCTAAAGGGTGGCCTGAAGAGGGTGGTGAAGGTGTGAAAAGCTGGGCCATGATATATGACCGACATCTTGGTTGATCAAAGATCGGGCACATGCGCAGGTATTGGACGTCACCATGAGTGCTGCTTCAATCTGGTGTTTTAATCTGTAATGTCACTGTCCAAGCGATCAATATGGCCAGATTTCACAATGTTCTTCATTCAACAATTGTCTGCCCAATTTTCGCTGACCCATTTGGAGATAAGGGTCGTCATGTCGTATCCAGGTAAGTATTTGTCCACATCCCTGTCCGAATAGTCGAGGCCCAGGAATTTCAGCCCGATAAGAATCCACGGTTGGATAAACTCATTGAACACGACATCCACGACTTCATCGTCCAAGTCTATACCACGCGGGTTAATCTCGGCTTGGATGCAGTTCGGCACTCGGTAAAATGATATTGGAGCATGAACGGTGTCGTCCCCTTCATCTCCCGCATCATCCACTGTGGTGTAGCCTGGTATGACCGCTTTGTCGTCCGAGGTCAAGATCGGAGTCTGGCCAACGTTATGAAGTTGCTCGTAAGACGACTGTGCTGGGGCAACGATCTCTTCTGGGATACCCAGCTGGCCGGGAGGAGACATCTTCCACAATGCCAGTGAGGAGTCGACACTTTCGAAGATCTCACCCCCGCTGTTCAAGAGGTGAATGAGTTTCCGTGCTGTATTGTAAGGCACATCCTTGAGGAAGTGAAAGCCGCTCGTAAACGGACACACAATATACGTGGAATCCTTGGTGAAGGGCCCTTTGAAGATGTCAAACCGAATAGCTCCGGTGTTGGATATGACCAGTCTGGGCCTATCACCCCGCCGCGTATCGTGGATTATGCCCGGAAACACTTCTTCTTCAAGCCAGCTGAAGATGCTGCTGTTACTGGGATATTTGGCCCGGCTCATCCACAGATCCCGCGGTGCACATCCGAATGTGTCATCGAGGTTGAGAGCGTTCCGAGCCTCTTCGATCCCTTTGGTAATGTTTCGACCACGCTCGGAATGGAAGGTCGACGCGTTGAGCCCGGTGTGGTGGTAGAAGGAATACAGGTTGTTATCGATGTACCTCCGGAAGAAGCTTAAGCTTGATGCGGTGTCTGTGCTGCTGTTGGTCGATAAGCCACTGATAGACTGGAACCCGATGGTTTCCATGAACCGCCCGCTGGCCAAACCGTGCGCTCTACTATCAAACACGCGGTAGTCGCGGATGTGGTAATGTCCACCGAAGAACTGGACGGGTGTATCCGACCGAACAGAGCGGATAGCCTCGAATATTACATCGAATTCGTCAGATCGAACGGGGGCATGTCCCGCCACGACAAACAAATCGATGTCCGGATCTCGGATGGCTGCTTGAAACCAGTCTTCTCGAACGGTGTCCTCAACTCTCTGCACGATTGTGTTGTTGTAATTGCGGTCGAAATTGTACAAGAACCCAAACGCCATGATTCGTATTCCTTGCACCTTCGTCGTGAATTTCTTGTATCTGGGAGCCAGAGGTACAATCTCTCCAGTTGTGGGATGGACGATATCGATATTTGAAGCCAGGTAGCTATCCCGATATGCAGGAGCGGTGATCAAGTATTCGTTCTCGGACGAGTTCTGCTTGTAAAGCTCATGGTTGCCAGAGCAGATGATGTCCATATGCTGCGCCCGGAAAATATCAAATGTGAACAGCCCCTTCGGGTCAGATGCGTCATAAAGCCCGTTGCCCTCGACACGATCACCGGTGTCGACCAAGAGTAGATCTCGGCCCTCTCCTTCGAGTTTCTCCCTTAACCGAGCCGCGAAGTCGACGTAGTCACCCCAGTCCGCACTGAAAGACGGCTCAAGCAGGTGGCCAGCATGCCAACCATGGGTGTCGGTAGTATGTAGGAAGTTGAGCTGTCCAAACCGCAAAGCTCGGAGAGGTGCCTCGAGCGGTTCGGGTGCGTTAGGTTGCGCCGCGAAGCCTTGCGATGCCAGCAACGCAAAGGCCAGCCATGATTTTGGCGACATGGTCAAGACCAGAAGGGTTCAGGATTGGGACAAAAGAACACCCAGACGAGAGGGTGCTTTACACCCTGGTAGTTGTAGACCTGGACAGACATCTGCCTGCGTTGGCCCATGCGACACCTCATAGTACCCTTTGATAGTCTCATATGACGAGCCTGGGTTGTCCTCATTCGCTGCAAACCTTGCAAACCTTGCAAACCTCACAAACATTACAAACACACCCAACCCAGCACCGGAGTTTAAGCTGTGATGTTCCGGTGCGAATTGCTATTAACAGCACTAGCGCGGATTCAGCTTCCCAACGACAAGCTTTCACTCGACAGACTTCGGATCCCCAATCGGCCTTCCCTCATCGGACCTCAAAGGAGTGCTGACTTGTGGTTTTTTGAGCCAGCCTGCCAGTACCAGTCTCCCGTTGCCGTCTGCTGAGGTCGTTCTCATAACATCTTTCTAGTAATCTCACCACAGAAGCCGTCGCCATGTCAGTGTCGCGGCTGTTCCGGCCCGCCTCGCGGCTGCTCTCACAACGGTCTGCAGCTATTTCCTCAATACGACCATCATTCCGCACAGTCGCACCAGTTTCGCTACCTGCGATCAGAGGATACGCGTCGGAGTCGAACCAGACGTTCACTGTCCGAGACGCCCTTAACGAAGCACTTGCTGAGGAGCTTGAAGCCAACGAAAAGGTCTTTATTTTGGGAGAAGAGGTTGCTCAATACAATGGTTGGTGTTCTCGGTTGTAGGAAGGTTGAAGTGGACATTAACACTTCTTGTTAGGCGCATACAAGGTTACAAAAGGACTGTTGGACCGATTTGGCCCCAAGAGAGTGATTGATACGCCCATCACAGAGTCTGGCTTCTGTGGATTGGCCGTCGGTGCGGCATTGGCTGGTCTGCAACCCGTCTGCGAGTAGGTCGACCATTACATCGTTTCACAGACAATCACTCACATTCGTCGCTAGATTCATGACAATGAACTTTGCTATGCAAGCCATCGACCAGATCATCAACTCGGCCGCGAAGACACATTACATGTCCGGCGGTATCCAGCCCTGCCCCATCGTTTTCCGAGGACCGAACGGTTTCGCCGCCGGTGTTGCTGCCCAGCATTCGCAAGACTATTCAGCCTGGTATGGGAGCATTCCCGGTCTGAAGGTGGTGGCTCCATGGAGTGCAGAGGATGCAAAGGGCCTCCTGAAAGCCGCAATCAGAGATCCCAACCCTGTTGTGGTGTTGGAGAACGAGTATGTGTGGCGTGTTCCCGCGACGAGAATTACGGTCGACTGACGTGGATTAGGCTCCTTTACGGCCAAGCTTTCCCCATGAGCGCTGAGGCCCAGAAGAACGACTTCGTCCTCCCCTTCGGAAAGGCCAAGATTGAACGACAGGGCAAAGACCTCACCATTGTGACCCTCTCGCGATGTGTTGGCCTGTCGCTGGAAGCTGCCGAACAGCTGAAGAAGAACTACGGTGTCGAGGCAGAGGTTATCAATCTGCGCTCAATCAAGCCTTTGGACGTGGAGGCGATTGTCAAGTCGGTCAAGAAGACGGGCCATCTCATGGCGGTCGAATCTGGATTCCCGTCCTTCGGTGTCGGTTCCGAGATCCTCGCTCTGGGCTGCGAGTATGCCTTTGACTACTTCCAGGCACCTCCTGTTCGTGTCACTGGTGCAGAAGTGCCGACCCCCTATGCTCAGAAGCTGGAAGAAATGAGCTTCCCTCAAGTCGATACCATCACCAACTATGCCGCGAAGCTGTTGAGGGTCTAATCTGAGGAGAGCCAGGGCTGTCCGAAAAGCATTCTGTAATGTAGGTTAGCGCAGCGTTTCTTCGAGTCTGGGGGACTGGTTCCGGCGGGTCCGGGGTCTGGGACATACATGGTGGCTGCCATATGGCCACCGAAATCGATTAGTTTCAGCTTCAGGTCCTCCGTGTATTGCATGGACAAAGGTGCTGTGAGGTGTGATAATTGCTATGCCATTTTTCCAATCTAACTTCCTCGCTGTTCCTACAAGGATGAATATGGGTGTCTTTGCCATCGTTTCCACAGGCCTTACGTGGCAGCCGAGTAATGCTGATTAGGTGGCAGAGGATGAACGGTTAATACAGTAAACTCTCCGGGAAAGCCGTCCATTGGTTTTCCGCGCCCATGGCAACTTGCTTGGAAAGGAGTGCACATGTTGTAGCATGCTTTGTAGGGTGTGATATTTCAGCGTATCGATCGCATCAAACGGTCTACAGAGAGGCCCATACACCAAGAAGTCATCTGAAGCTCTAAAGACTGCCCCGTAACAGGTAACCTACTAGTCTACAGCAAGGGCAGTGCCTACCTACTTGGGCACGATAGTCTGAAAGAGTGGCTTCTTCAGAAGGACAAATCGAATCAGCACAAATAATTGATAGGACATTCGATAGAAGGATAGTAAGTGAACGCTGGACTCCATCTAACCCTACAGAAAAAGGCAAGCAATATTCGACATTTGTAATTATCGATCGACCTGGACCTGCATCCCGCAAGTGAAGGTCCGGCTTCTCGGGAAACAGATGTCCCAAGACAGCAAAACCAATCTTCCCGGCTACGATCTGAACATGGACCCAAGTAGCGGCACAGCAGCATAAATGCGATCCCAATTCTTAGCCTCCCAGCCCTGACCTAGGCCAGCGCGACCCACGACACCCAACCCTCCGGCAATCCAGACAGCGGCGACAGTGGCAGCGACGGCATTGATAATCCTGCCCCTCCACTTCCGTCTCTGGGAACCGGAAAGACCACCTTCAGTGATATACTCACGCGAGAGCTTCAGATACTTTGCGGTGCCCGTGACGAAATGGAAACTGGCGATGGAGATGAAAGTGGCATACCCCAAATGGCCGATCCAGGGGTTATGAGCAATACCGTGGGCGAAATACCGCAGCCCGACGCCAGCAGAGCTCCCTTCGACCTTGAGCGGCGTGATGCGCATGACGGCCATATGGCCCACGAGCAATGGATACATCATGTACCCGAGAGCAGAGGTCAGCGACAGTTTTGGCCAGGGGATGGATTTGCGTTGGGCATGTGTCTCGGCGCCGTGCCGTTTGGCCACTATCCGTCGTCGATAGATCCGTAGCGCGATGCCCGAAGCCACGTGTAGTGCGACCGGAATAAATACCATTAGGGGCTCAAGCGGGAACGACTGGTAGTACGGCCGTGTCAGGAGCAGGTAGGTGTCGGCGGCGCGCGCGTCTCGCAGAATCAAAGGGATCACCGCCGTGTTGGTGTAGTGCATGGCTAGGAAGAGTGTCGGCGGCACAGTTGTGTATTTCTGCACACTGGATAGAATGTGCGCTGTCCGAGCTGGCGTCAGGCCTAGGAAGTTGGTTGACGATGCAGAAGATGTGACACCCCGTCGGGAAACTTGGTATTTCTCGACGTCTGCTGCCACGTCGCTGGGGTTGGTTGGGTAATCGGGCGTATCTATCCCATCATTGTTGTCGTTGCTTTTCTCATTCCACGGGTACGAGTCGTCGTCGTCCTCCACGGGGCTCGGCTCGACTTCGTGGAGAGGGATCGCAGAGATTGAGCCCCGCGTGTCGGTCGTGGTTAAGGGCGGCAGGTCATCCTTTGAAGAAGACATCGTTCGGACCGTAGCCTTGGGCGGATACAATCGGGATCACGGCAGATGAGTACGACTAGGCTGGGGAGTGGTGCAGATGAGAGACGAGTAGTGACCGCAACTGGCGGATTGTCTTGAGGGTTATTGCAGCATGACTCCTGAAATCGACAGTTTTGTTGATTGTGTTCGTCAGGAGGCAGTCAAGACCACTATGTCCAGTCGTGTAGCTGGCAGTATCCGGATCAAACCATTGACTTGTACTGCAGTGGACGCATCTCAACTTGAGTTCGACTTGGAGATGGACGTCGATGCGCGTGTTGGAGATCGCTGTGGAAGATGAGGCGGACCAATGACCAGCGAGCCGATTACCGCGTGGAGTTCTGGGTGTGCTTATGTAACTCGTCGGCTTATCAAATACAGCTGAGTGGCACAATGGTACCGTGGTACATGTACATTATAAGGTAGGCTATTGTACCTGGTATTTGCTCTTAGGGGCAGTTGATGTCTGTCCAAGTATTCCCCTGCTTCATCATCTTGATCCAGATACGTCGCAGTGGTCGGATGATGATATCGCCACACTATTCTGATTCGAATGCAACGAGAATGACACGGCAATATAACGCTTGATTCTGTTGTGTGGGACTTCGACGGCCAGTCGAGGAGACTTCAACGCGATAGAGATCGCGATAGATAATGCTTGTCCTTATTCCGTCCAACTTTGCCAGTGTCACGGCATACCGGATACCGATGTAGTGCATCCGGCATCACTCCCCACAACTAAAGCATTCTTCTTAGACGTCTTCGAGAGACGGGCACTGGACCCAGCCTCCGACCATCGTAGCACATTCTCGAGGACCTCCTCAATGCTAGGATATAACAGTTTTCCCTGAAGAAAAGGCTTATCGAAAGTCGCTCCCGCGTGCCTCCATTGCGTAAACTTGCAGGGCCAGGACCAATATTCATATTCGTGACGGCCTCACAATCAGAGACTTGTATTGGTTCCTAGAGAGATGGAGCATCAGAGAAGTCTCAAAATGCTAGAGGCAGCCTGCGTTTTTGGTCGGTCTTGTAGCGCATATCGGTTTGAACGGCCACGTATTGGTCATCAATGAGGTTTGCGGCATTTTCCGAGACACACTTGAATATCGGTGTACCATGATCCGCCTGGTGAGAAAATCATCGCCCTCTAGATCAAACTAAAGCTTGAGACCGCTCAGATGCTCTTTTCCCGAGATTGTTGCCATGCCCGTTGTGCGGCTTTCTCATATTGCAAGTCCGAATGCTCCTGTATAGTGCTCAAGTGCATCATATCTGTGGGGTTCGTCTGTCGGATAGTCTCGTCAGACAGATCAGGCTCGTTCCCTACCTGAAAGATCTCGGTCTTCACTGTCCCGTTCACAGGAACGGCCCCAAGTCCTAAAATCCCCCACGTCACCAAGGTGGTGCTTGATTGTGAGTTTCACATATTCAGCTGTTTCTCGCCGGAGTACGCGACTCAAGCCCTCGCTGTAACAGCAGCATCATACAGTTGAAAACGACTGCTTGGGAGAATGGCAAGTCTTTCTGATGAATCGATCCTGCAGGGTGAAAGCCCTCCAGCCATCATTGAGAGCAACTCGAGGTTCCTTTCGACGGGGACTTCATGTTGGCAATGCTGCGGTTGTGCAAGAGATGCCTGCTGCATCTCGACCGCACTATACCAATCACAATGTGCAACCAGCAACTGCCTAGCCACCAGGGAATGGTTGCCCTAGCGCTTCGGCATTCGTAATGGGGAGCTCTTTGTGCCAGAAGGCGCTGAGCGCTGAGTATTTCCCGGATCTCCACTTCCCAATGCCCTTGGGCGTTTGGATACCAAGGGCGGCCCCGAACAATCATGACAGTCACTTCAATGTCAATGAATGAGCACTCCCGCATGAGTTGGCAGCATACATTCTTTCCCACCGGAGACCATGCGTACTACCGCGTAGGACTCAAAGGTCTGTTGAAGCCTCCCACCCGGTTCATATACTGTCGGTATTCTGTCTTCTTCTCCTTCCTCACACCATAAATCTGATTCCCAGGGACTTTCTTGTTTTGCGTAGTCTTGAAAGTGGTAAACCCCATCATTTTCTTCAAGAGTTCTTCTTCATCAAGTTCATCGACCGCCATGTGGTCGCCATTCGTCGACGCGGTCTCTTTCTCCACTGGTCCAGCTTTCAATTCACCTGCGCCCTTTCTCTCTCGTGACCGCGGCCGGTCGTGTTCTGTCCGTCGAGGGGGTGATCGTGTCCGCACAGAGGTGCTGCCGCCATTTGTTACCGGGGACCGGGAGCGTGACCGCCGAGACGGGCGATCGTTGCGATAATCTGGGTATATTGGTTAGCTTACATGTATACGTCCAACATTGGTAAATCTCTTGCATACCTCTAGCCGGCCGGTGTCTGTCACGACTTCTGCTCCTTTCCCGCCTGCCAGTCCCATTAACATCCCGGTCCCTCGCACCTCTATCTCTCTCGCGACGTGATCTCTCCCCAGATCGACTTCGATCTCTCCTCCTTTCGTAATATTCTCGGGATCGGGACCGCTTTCTACGGTGGTCATCGTCGCGCCGAGAGCTCCGGTCCCCAGTCCTATCGTCGCCATAATGTGGCCTAGGTTTTGCGTCTCTGCCACTCGAGGATGGCCGCGAATCGACCTTTTCGTCCTTGTCCCACATTGCGGCACTGTCAGTTCGCTTCGGCCGTTTCGCTGGGGGTTCGTCCATATGGCGAATTACAGATTCTTGCCAATGATCGAAGAGCTTCTGTGGTTATCAGGTGTTGCAACGGCTTTACAACCACTTGCTGATGTTGCTCTGGGGAGGGCGTGGGCTTGCCATAAAGTTGGAGTTGTGCCTCTACGCTGTAGTACGAACCACGACTAATCACTCCACCGTACTAGATGTACGGTGAATTTTTGGAGACTTAACGGCGTTACTATCTGCATGTTTAACGTCACTTCGTGCCCATAGGCGCAATAGCTGCAACTTCGGAGTCACTACTAATAGTACTTTTATTCTCTGTCGTTCGTTGACTCCCTTGAAGCTGCGGTCACCCGGTGCATGCGAGCTTGGTGGGCTTCTCGCGAGAAGCAAGCTGGCAGTGATCTGGGCGCTACCAGAAACACTTTACACCATCATTAGACTCGTTTTATGGGGCCAAATGCCAGGGGCTTCACCGAGTCTCGCCTGATGCCTTATTGAGAAGAGAACGTGGTCGGTCTTTTCGGCGACCACAGTTTCAGCATGTCTCCTGCTGCAATCCTTGTGAAAGACGAGTGGTTCGGCGGAACTTGCCGCTGGCAGCTTGCTACTAATTGTACAACTACCTAGGTAGTTAAGTCTCAACAAGGTACGCCAGGACATGCCGCGCCACGTTAACTGTTTCTCAGGTGCTCAAGCTCTATATTGAGACACTTTAAAGCACTTGGCAGGCGGCCTCATCAGTATAGTCGGCGGTCTCTCTGGGTCTGCCCTCCAATGTCGATATAATGTTTGAGACTGAGGCGGTCAACCTTGTTCAAGTTGCAATTTCCCAGCCACAGTTGGGGGTCACGACCAGTGCTTCATCCCCAGTATGTGGCAGACAGCGTTAACCTGCACAGTCCTGAATGCGTTGTCCATTGGTTGCTGTTCTGACCAGCGCCGCAAGTGCAGACTTGGCCCTGTAGGGCGCAACGGCGCCCTTGGGACTTCTGCCTTATATTATGTCCATGTCCATGGCTAGGCCCCCCTCCTTCTTTTATGTTTTCTCCTCTCGATACTGCTGCCCGCATGGATGGGCTTCAAGTTGCCCAGCCTCCTCGCGGGAAGGCATTCGTGCCTCCAGAGCACGACAAGTTCGGTGCCAATGCCACACCCGGAGCGGTAGATCCTGGTTATGCGACTGAATATACCTCCCAAGTTGGACCGCACAGTCCTCCAAAGTTATCATATCGCTTTCCTTGGGGCCTATCCCTCTTCACATACACTCTGCTTATCGTCGGAATAACCTTTGTGATATGTGGCGCAGGGTTTGGGGGCGCCATCGGCGCGGTTGCTGCGAACAACAAGCACTCGGAGTAAGTCATGTTGAGATAGCATGTATGGTCGGACACTGATTATGCCAGACCAAATACAGAGACGGTTTTTCAGACTACGACTGTCACAGCGACGGCGACCGCTTCCGTTCCCACCGCTGCAGTCCCTACCGCTTCTGCAACCGCCTCTGCGGGCTTAGTCAATGACTACGTCGTTCTGCCTCCGGACCAAGTTAACACCACGACGCTCACCTGCGCCGACGAGAGTACGATGACTACCAAGTCAGGCGCACGGTATCAGCTCCATTGCAATGTCGACTTCGGAAACAACGATATATTGTGGTTTATCTCTTACAGCCTTGAAATTTGTCTCGAGGCCTGCTCCAATCTAAACACCCGCACAGGGAATGCAACCTGCAATGGCGTTATATACAACGCCAATGTTGGACATTTCCCAGCCGGAAACTGCTGGCTGAAATCTGCAATGCTCAATCCGTCGATTGAGGATATTCCTCCATCCGTTGGTGCTACACTGCTGACCTGAAGTTCCAACACACCATGTCACGGCTCCATAACTCAGACTGGAAGACCTGGTCTCGCATGCTGTTCACTTGGAAGAAACTGCACTGTATTCTCCGCAGGACTCGACGTCTTGGTGGGCCATACAACAATCGGTAGATGTCTAACTCTCAGAAAGTGGTTCGTGCTGCGTGTGTGCCTGTTGTCATGCACCAAACTCCCCTTAGAAGGCCGCGGGTCTTCGGTTGGACCTATACTAGTCAAATACTAGCCCTGTCGGTCACCAAAACAGGTCACGCTGCGTTGCAAATGTTCAAAATGCAATGGAAACTGTTCGCAATCACCGATGTTGCCCAAGCCTCCAACAAGGAGGATCGAAGCGGGCCACAACCTGCTCCGGGGGGG